TTACACATGCTCACAGTTTTTGATGTATTTATTTTTCCACTACTCCTGTTGCCAAATTAAAGTCTGCACTTCCATTAGAAAATATAATTTACAGTAGACACACTTAATCTGTGTAAAATAGTACAAAATTGTTGCATATTATACTAATTCTTCCTTTTGTACAATCAACAGCATTACATGTACATAGTATTTAGTACTAATTTGGTCCATGGACTAAGTGTGTCTTCTTTACTTATCATTATGAATTTAATTATAACTTCATCATTTGATAGGACTACACAAGGACGTCAACATATCAGAAAGCTATGCTTCAGAATCATGTTGATTTTGAAGATAAGGTATTAGATTTATTATTGTGATATTTACAGTTCAGTCTACTAAGACATAGCCTGGTTATTAGCAATATTTGTCTTTCTTTATTATCCTTCTTATACAATGTATTAATTTACAATTTACACTTAACATATCCTTAGCAGAGCAAACAAAAACATATCCTTAGCAGAGCAAACAAAACATAACTTTTAGTGCGATAAAATTTGAGGCCATGCATGACTTTTATTTTTTAGGTTGTAATTGATGTTGGTGCTGGTTCAGGTAAGATTACCATCCTSAAGTACATAAACTTTTTGTATTGACAATGACATGTTGAAGAATAAATTTTGAAATTTTGTTTATTAGTAATAATGTATTATAGACTTTTGACAGCTATATTGTAAAAAGATTATATAATGTTATTAAGTTTTGTAAATTTTGGCCTAAAAACCCTTGTTTATGAGAGGCAAATAAAGCATTTAGTATTGTAATTAATATTTCTGGAAGGCATAATCTGTTATGAAGGTGATAATTTCATTAACAAAATGTTTTTATTTAAACATGTTTCCATTTCTGTTCAGGAATCCTGTCATTCTTTGCTGTCCAGGCAGGTGCAAAGAAAGTATATGCAATAGAAGCTAGTTCGATGGCCAAGCATGCTGAGGTACAAATAATTTGATCCAACATGATATTAAATAAATGCATGCAGTATATAAAATAAATATGATTATATCAATCTATCTCAGCTGCTAGTCAAGAAAAACAATCTTGAAGGGAAAATAATTTTAGTTCCAGGAAAAGTTGAAGAGGTAAGTGGGTATCTGGTATATTCTGACTGGATTTGATAATTACTAACATGAAATGCAATAGTAACAATGGTTTACACTGAATTTCAGGTTCATATACCAGAAGAGGTCGATATAATTATCTCTGAACCAATGGGGTATATGTTGTATAATGAACGTATGTTGGAGAGTTATTTACATGCAAAGAAATGGCTCAAACCAGGAGGTATGGGTAACAATAAATGCCTCTAAAAGAACTTTTTTTGATTATTGGTTTATTGTTATTAAAGGAAAAATGTTCCCAACCCAAGGTGATCTACATATTGCTCCTTTCTCTGATGATGCATTGTATATTGAACACTTTTCAAAAGCAAATTTCTGGTAGGTGATACTTAATTTCAAGATGGCATGAGTGTGTTTACTGTTGCAACCTTTATGAACTGAATTGGATAATTACATTTACAACAGGCATCAAAAATCGTTTTATGGTGTTGACTTATCAAGTTTGAGAAAAGCTGCTCTAAAAGAGTACTTCAGACARCCTGTAGTGGTAAATATTGTAAAGTGTATGTTGTAAATGCATAATCTTGCGTCCTTCTCTCTGACCCCAAGTCCTCTTTTAACCRTGTCCAACTATATAATTCATTTTGACTAGGACACGTTTGATGTGCGTATTCTGATGGCAAAACCAATCACACACACTGTTGACTTCTTGACATCAGAAGAGGATGACCTTCACAGGATTAACATCCCCGTCAAGTTTTCTCTGTTAAACAGTGGTTCTCTGCATGGACTGGCTTTCTGGTTTGATGTGGTGTTTCAGGGAAGTCAGTAAGTGTGTTTTAGTAGATTTAAGAATGGTATTATTTTGAAAAACTCAGGTAATCAAGATTCCTTGCATTCTGATTTATTCCCTTAGGCAACCGGTATGGCTGTCAACAGCTCCACATGAACCTTTAACTCACTGGTATCAGGTATGAATACATGTATACTATAATCTATTGGTTGTTTTCATAAACCCATGAAACAAAGTAACCAGTGAATATAACCCTAGCATCAAGAGTGTGTTTATGTTGTGCATCTATTATGTAAAAACAGGTGCGCTGCTTGTTGGAAACTCCTATCTTTGTTAAAGCTGGTCAGACAATAACAGGGACTGTACTCCTTATATCTAATACAAGGTACTTTGATTATTAAGTCATGAATCTATTTGTAGTAATCTAGAAACGCCACACAGAGATTGCTAATCCTGTTCYGAATAGATTACTATGATACAGTAGGTAGTACATTGTATTTACTTTCRTTTTGGAAATATTGTAGACAAAGCTATGATGTAGAGTTAGAYCTTGGGCTTGAAGGTACTACCATTCGTTCCAAGAATACAGTGGATCTGAAGAACCCGTACTTTAGGTACACTGGCTCAACTCCACAACCACCAGCTGGATATAACAACGAATCACCAACTGATGTGTACTGGTCCCTAACCAGCAATGGAGACACACACAATGCTACTGAAAACTTGTCTCAAGATGGAGGATGTGGCCAAGGTGTTATCCTCACAGACAATGTTGTTGGTATGCAGTCAAACTCATTTTATAACAATACAGGTAATATACTCTATATATTTATATTGTTTACTTTCTATGACTGTCAGCATTCTGTGGGTTTTTGGCTATACACTTTTTATGTTATAGGTATAACTGGATATGTTGGAGGAGGGCACAATCAGTACTGGTCTTCAGGCAATGCTATTAACATCTCAAGTCTGCCAACCATACAAAACTATACATCCAGCTTTGGTGCCATGAGTTATGCCAACACAGGTTCCAGCTACATAGCCAGCAGTCAACCCGCAATGACTTACAGTCATACAACGTCGCGGAACCTACTAAGTGGACAACATGGCCGACCTTATCAATCAGGGTATTCAAGAAATAGCAGCACATCAAGATGATTTAACTGTAATAATATTAGATAATTAAGAAATAACCATTGGTAATTCGCAGTCTCTTAAAGGGTAATGGTTTAAATTCGGGTTTCCCAATTATTTATATGGTATACTGTATTACATATTTGGCAGGTAATGTGTAACATTGCATAAAATTACACTCATATTGAATGTTTTTTATCAAGTTGAATGATGTATGTATAGTATGTACATACACTAYGAATGGAGAGATGTATGAACATTTCTGGCACAGGTAGCCCAATTAGCAACAAAATAATRAGAGTGTTATATTTTGACTGTGAAAAAAGTCAGTAGTAGGCTCCTTGCCCTTTATCATCTTGTGCAAACTTCATGTAGGATGTTTTTTCTTTTCATGATTGACAGAAAACCATACTACCATTAATATCAATAACTGGTTGTCACATTATTAATTTAGGAGAAATGTGATGAAACATCTCTAATGTACTACTTCACTGTAGTACCTATTCCCATCTATTCCAAAATATTTGGAAAGGAGATCTAAATTGTCAACTTATCTAAAATTGAATATCACATGAAAGACTGGACTACTTCCGTGTTTGAGCCCTGTTTACTTGAATAACCACCAAAGTGAAAGAATGTATGGTGTTTGGGAAGAATGTATGGTGTTTGGGGAACACTGTTCTGAAGTTCCACTCCTTTTCTGGATTTTGGAATGGCTAGTTGTCATAGTGTCTAATTTGCTACTTTCAGTTACTAAATTTCATGATGCCAAGTGTAATTCCACTAGTAAGAATCTATTGTAGATGAACAAGACACTTTAGCAGCATAAATGTCTCATGTCTAGTTGTGCTTGCGATAATAAGAGTGGTCAAATTACACAAGACAATGATTAACTCATGATAATTTCAGTCTGTCATTTTTCATAGGTTAAGTATGATTACTTATTAGACTGAAACAATTTTAAATGCCATTCTTTTTAGTTCTATTGGAGTGTATAAAATTTATAATAAAAGTATTCTTTACTACTGTTTGTGCATCTGTCATGTTTTCTCACACAAGGAACCTGTAATGTTAGAAAATACTGAAAAAACTAACACCAGAATTATTAAGGAAACTATATCTTCATTGCACAAATAAAACAGTGCATGTCCAAAACAGTTGTCTGATTGGACACTAAACATTTTAATTATTAAATGGTGTTTCAAAAAAGGCAAGTCAACAGTGTTGGGTGTTTGTTTATTATTGGTTACCACAATGACTGCCATTCATTGGGCATGAATTAAACAATCATCAGACTTTACATAACCTAAATTAGTAGATATAAATTGAATGGACAGCAGTCAATGTGGACAAGGACATTGGTACAACTTTATTACAGTCAGAAAAAGATTATCCCAGGATATTTATTATACTTCTTCCTTGGATGGCTCGTCAAAGTTCTGTACTAGCACTGAAAAGAAACAAAAAGATTTAGTACAACAACATACTAGAGTACAAACACTAAAACTGTGCAACATAAATACCACTAAATATTGCTAAATTATGCTAATTCTATTTTTTAATTAACACTATTTTGTAGTAAATAGTGGAAAGTGTTCACACATTTAATGTTTGTACTCTAATGATTCTGTGTGCAATAACAAGTCTTACTTGGAACTTCATTGTCATCATCCTCTGCTTCATCAACATTTGCCTGTCCGCTGCTTACATCACCTGTAAACAAGAAAATGTGATTACAATATTTTCAATGATAACACTATATACTATTATAATTATAGGATTAAATATGCCAGGTAATGCATACGGTGTAATATATACCATAAAATATAACTTGGGTTGTGTAGAAACTTACTTGGTGGGAATTTCTCAGCAAGCCTTTTCAAGTTGGACAGACTTTCACTTCCCTGATAAAGAAAGAGGATAAACCATCAGATGATAAAGTGGTAAAATACAAATTGACAAAAATAATCCAGGGAGTTAATAAATAATGTACTTACAAGCTGATTTAGAATTCCAGGCAACATTTCTGTAATTGCTGGAAAACAATAAAAAATTATCATCTCAAAATAGGTTAACATGCGAACTGAAATACATGCACATTTAAACTGATAATTATTGATAATTCTAGATACTTGATCGATAACTTACTCTTATTCTCAGGATGTCCAGTAACAGCAACTGTGTTGGCAGCCAGGGATGCTTGCACTACACACAGAAAATAACATTAACCATGTGTGATCTGAGGTTTACGTCCCATCAGGAAGAAGGCTAGAGTGAAAGTATAATGTACATTGTACAAAGTTACCTTTAGGATTGGTGAAGTGAATCACTGTCCCATCATCTTTGATCATGTTTACCTGAAAATCAAAAACAAAAAAAAATGTCCTGAGATTGTACTATTTCATCACTTTTACAAGGAAAGAATCAGTTACCTCCTCAATTCCAGGAATTGGGTTGATTGACAGCTTTTTAAGTGTATTCTACAAAAAAAATATTCAGAATWTAATACAAATGACAAGATACCTATCAATGGAGAAATAGGAGGAATCTTCAGTCACTTGTTACTCATTCCCAGATAGAATATCCCTGAGCAAGGAGTATGTTAGCTTGTTCTTGATTTAAAATTCTAAACAATGACCAGTCTTTATGTGCAAGCTCCAAACTGGTAGATTGATTTAGGAACAAGCTCTGGGAGACTCCTTGCCCAGGAATATGCTACCTTGCACATTGATCTATCTTATCTCATCAGGCAAGATAAGCATTCATACATAACTTATAACAAACTACAGTGTTCATGCGCTTTTGCTAAATATGAGACAAGGTGCTTTCAAAAGAAGTCCCAGTGTGAGACTAGCAAACACTAAAATGATTGCAATATATCTATGAAAGCTTTGSASCTATATGTTAACTGCTGTGCATAATTGCATAGTTTTGTTTGCAAAGTTTTGCACAAATATAYTGTCAGCACACTAGAGATTTGCTTGTTTCCTATGAAGCCTACTTGTAGTTTCTTGTCATCTGTTGTGGCTGTCCTGTGTATGACTTTCTTCTTTCTTCTTGGTGTTCCCTACAATATTATTGTATTATTTTGTGGTAACAATAATGAGCTCCAGCAATTAAGACTTATAATGCTTTGTATTCAACTACAGAAATATTGGAAAAACAGAACTTTAAATAATTTTCTTACAACAACAATCAATAAGAGCTTACCTTTCCACCTATTCTGACTTCTTTTTGGAGTTTTTGTAACTTTTCTGTGTTCATTGTGTCCTAGCTRAAAACGATATCACGTTTTAAAGGTCCCAGTCAATATCACAAAAATAATAAGTCTTAACRAAATTAACTTAATTATGCAGTAGTTTCAATCAGAGCAATCTTTGTCTTTCTGATACTCCCTCATAATACAAAACAATACTAAAATGAGCAAAGAGCGTTATTACAAACAACGATTATAGGACAAGAATGACTATAAAACATGAGCATCTTTTGAGAATTCATTCAACATTTAATGAAGTTTTCACCAGCAAYAGTGGATCGTTCCGCTCTACTTCTTCTCCTTCTTCCTCAGATAATACTCATTGGWACAGCCCAAAGAACACACCGATCAATAAACGAGTGATACACTTTRACGAATAACCACTAAAGGCATAACAGACAACTTTCTAAATTTGCAGCATGACATGTGACGGCTTGATTGCTCGACCGCCCWAAGTATTCTCGCATCGCTTAAAATAACTCGTTTTAGACCTCTTTTCTTGAACACAGAAGAGAMAACTTTAAAAACTACTTACCCGAGTGATAAGACGAGATAAATGAAGGTCTTTGGATCCTTTTTCTTCTATAAAAGCATGAAGGAGGATTTTATAGAAAACCACGAGGATGACTGTGGCGAAAGAGGACCTTTCTCAAAACGCATGCGCGTAAATGTCAATCGATCGAACTATTTCCGAGAGATTATCGGAAGAGTATTTGTGATTCACATCGATTTCCATATTTGTCGTTGTTGGAGTTATCCTTGGTACGAAAAATATGTTTAACTCTTACTAATGATATATAAATCATCATCAACTATTTAGATTTATTTTAACTGCAATCTGTTGGTAACCGTTATATCGGAGATCCATCGTAAAATTTCCGTAACGTCTTCGAGCTACGTGCGTATGATTCGGCATTACATCCAGAAACAGTCTATTTTTTTAATATTTAGAAGTTGAATTGATTACAGTTATTTAGATATTTTACATGTAAATCTGGTATTTTGTTCAAGCAAAATCTAATGTTAAATGGAAAGTTTTCGTTGTGTTATATTTCGTGGATTGAGCCCGCGATTATGTGATCGTCCAGCGTTTCACTATCAAAATAACAAAATGGCGGCGGAAGAAGACGAAGTTGACATCGACATTGAAGGGGTTGTAGAAGGCGAAGGTTTGATYGACTACAAAGACATGATAGATAATACGGGCGATATCAACTAGTAGGTTTAAAACTTCTTTAATAATTTTATAGATTGTCCCTATTTTCTTTATCGTGAAATGTCAATGGAAGTTCACCGCTGTTTTTTTTGTCAACACAGTTGAGATTTTAGCTTACCCACGGATAATATAAGCTTAATTGTAATTTTTCTTCCAGTAACAAAAAAGGAAMTTTAGACCGCCCAAGCTCTTCCTTTTTTTCGGAGTTTTGTGATCCTAGTTCATGGTTTGTCGACCCCAATTCAGTAAGTGATGTGTGATATTTTTGTCCATGAAGTCAATTTCTTTATTATGGGTTTATGTATTTTTTATGTATTTTGTTTTGCCTGTTTATTTCAGATTTTTATGTTTTTGTAGGTCCTGTCATTGGAGCAATGTGCAGATGAAAAAAGTAGAGCAACTATTGAGAAAATGATTTTAGAAGAAGAGTATCTTTGTCTATAACTTAAATCCCAAACATTTTCGTCCTTGTTACTAATTAGTTATTGTACATAGTCACTTGCAAAATTTTCGATGGCTAACATTTATCATTATATCTGATACATCATGGGTGTTTTCAAGTGACTCAAACTCTTTGGAATGATGTTTATTTAGGGTATGATTTAATTTCAATATATTCTGAGGGTTTGATGGTAAACTATAAAAGGACTAACTTTGAAATATAAGCTAAATCCTATATACTGATATATCTCTAATAGTGGTTGGAATTCCGTCAAATGATTGTATCACATATGTCCTTAATCATTGTGTTAAGATTATATTCACATGGCTATGGTAGAATGCTTGAGGTCCCAACCACACCTGTATCAGGTAAAACTATGTTTAAGATAAAATAACTAAACACTGATTTCTTTTTAATCTTAAATACAATCTAGGTAAACTTTGATATTTTTTTAGGATCAAGCAAAACATCTTTGTCTTCAAAAAAGTAAGTCTGATGGAAATGTAGTTTAAGTTTCTCATTAGTTTAGAAACTATACATGTATGGAATGTCACAGGTGTATGTTGATCCTTGTGTTTTGTATAGCAAAGAAAAAAAAAATGGATTTTTCACCCTTTTCATWTTGATCAATTTCTTCTTCAGAAATAAYGTTTCTYTCAAATCCAAGAGATGTCTTCCAAGTGAAAATATATCAACTCACAGGAAACCTTGGACCAAAGAGGAACAGCAGCTTTTTGAGATTGGTCTTGTAAGTGATTTCCASTTATCCTAGCTTTTATGATATTACTGATCAAGTGCATGATTGTCTTTTCTGATTAGAAAAAGTATGGCAGAAGTTGGACAAGGATAGGCTCCATGATTGATTCAAGAACTGTCCTTCAAGTCAAGAACTATGCAAATCAGTATTTTAGAAATAGGGAAAAGGTGGGTTTTGACAATAAAATGATATGAAAAAATAATAAAAAAGTGAATGRATGGATKTTTAAAGAAAATATGARAGAAAAATGAAACAGCACTCATGGCTGAAAAATTGAATGGAAAACAACATTTGAATATTAAATGAATGAATGAATAACAAAATATTTTAATTCAGTGTAAATCAGGTAATGAAGATCATCTAATAKCATGTGGCTTGAATGGTTCCTCTGAAATGCTTGAATCACCAACAGAGTACATGACCGCAATCAAAACTCCAATTGAAACAGGATCATTAGTACACATTGAGAAGACTAGTGATGAAGAAGAAATTGAGGTTGATATTGATGGTGAAGTTGAGAGTACTGTAAGCAACCAAGGTATGTATTGAYTGCTCACAAATAAGCAGGGCTTGTGGATGGARGGCTGCACTATTACTAGTGGTATCATTTTAAGAATGTTTTAATGAGGTATTTTTTGTTTTTGAWTTACAGGCAATGTCAATAATGAAGTGTATGAAGCTTTGTTGAAGTCAGCAAGTGACTCTCAGGTACATTTGCTTGTCATCATTGATCTGAAACATAAATTCTAATCTTTCTCATCTTCAACAGGATTCTGGAAGTGATGAAGAGGAATTAGTGAATCAAGAGGAAACTACATTAATGTCTGACCAATCACATGATCCAAAAAATGTTGCTATGAAAAGAGCTGATGAGACTGACCAATCAGATAAAAGTGAGAATATTAATATGGAAACATCAACTCCAATTGAAACTAAGGATGTTACTATGSAAACGTTAAACATCAATCAATCACACGATGAAGCTTCAAAAAAATGTAAAGAAAAAAATATAWMTTGTACAGAAATCACMGATTCTAAAAGTGACATTAAWTGTAGCGAGATGATAGAAGCAAAAACAGACGATGCGTGTTTCAAGGAGAATGTACTCGCAAATTTGGATTCAGATTTATATGACAATCAAAAAACTAGTGAGGACAGCTCTAATTGTAAGGATGCAGTCCCTGCTATGGGTAAATCTCCTGATCGGGAATGTACATCTTTTGGGAATTGTACTGAAAATACTTTAAGCGATTCAAAAAGACCGCCCTTGCAAGACGCAAGTCAMATAAACTTACAGATCAACAGGGATGAAATTCATGAACTYGAAAAAGTTTGGAACCAAGAATTTTTCCGCTTGGGACGATCATTAAAAACACCAAGTCGATACAAGAAAATACGAAATTATATACTGGACATGTGGGATAAATCTAAACCGAATTATCTGTACAAAACGTCTGTTCGCTCTGGTTTAAAGAACTGCGGTGACGTCAATTCTATCGGACGGGTACATGCATTTCTAGAAGACATTGGGGCAATCAATGGAGGTTGCGCTGAAAGACCAAGACAGAGACAACGTCAAACCTCGGAGAATGGGAATGAAGTTGACGTTCTCCCTGCGCCTATGGAATCATGGGTAAATTTTTTGCGTCCAAGAAAACGACGAGGAAAGGACGTGTCAGGTGATTGGGTAACGGAGTCTTCAGCTGAGGGGTTGACGACTGAAGTAAGTATTTGTATACCCGTTACCAAAGGGTGGTTTTGAATGGTCCACAAAGTAACTGAAAAAATCGCTTGATTGACTTGGGACTCCTACCATAATCTGCAATTGTAGGGAGCGAAATTTAGAAACATTAACGCCTTTTCCTCCTTTTTCCACACAGCATCCTCCGATATGCAACGAAGATCAACAAGAAGTTCCTGACCAACCTACCAAACGGCCAAGATCAACCAGAAAAAAGAACTCGTATAACCCTTTCCTTTTGGTTCCCTGTCAAAAGTTCCYGTCATCCAGTTCGTACCCATTTACTGTCATTTTCCAATCAGATGCGTTGGTTGTGATTGACATTCACTCCCACTTGTCTACTACTGAAGTGATTGGTTTGCTCGGTGGAACGTACTCCGTTGCTGAACGCGTATTAAAGGTAAACTCCAGTCATCCTGCTATCCTGGTTGTAAACAAGTGTTAATAATGGACTGTTTAATTCCAAAGCACGAGGAGTGTGTTTTCTAGCTATCCAATGCAGATTTACTAATACCTTAATATTTTTGTAAAGATTCTTCGCGTAGCTCCATGTAAAAGTCTTAGTACAGGCATGCAATGTGAGATGGACCCTGTATCTCAGACTCAGGCCTCAGAAGAGCTCGCATCTCTTGGTCTGTCCGTTGTGGGCTGGTACCATTCACATCCTACTTTTGCCCCCAGTCCCTCTGTAAGAGACATTGAAACRCAGGGAAAATTCCAGGTAAGTGTGTATGTCTTATGTCAAGGGCTTCACAAATCAATCATGATATGATTTTTCCCATATTAGGAATGGTTTGGTAAAGGTGGCGCMCCATTCGTCGGAGTCATAGCAAGCCCCTATAACTACAGCAACATATCCAATCAATCACAGATCACCACCTTGACTGTTAGCAACGAGTGGGATGTCACTGACCAGTACAGACTACCGTACGAATTTGATTACAACATCCAGGATGATGCAACCGACTGGCCAACGGTGATGGACTGTATAAGTAAACTAGAGACACAGTACAGATGCTACGAATTGTGAGTAAAACATGCAGATTGTAGAGATAAAGGCAGGGAGGGAAACAGAAAATGGAAAAGAGTAAATGAAGAAAATGGTGGCGATGCCACTGAAATAAACTACAAAAAACGAAAAATGAGAAAATAAGATGGARAAGCGAGGGGAACTTTAATTATCACTCTAACCTTCCATGTTTTCTTCGCCAGTCGAATGCCAATGACAAGACAGTACAGTTCATCAGCCTTCACGGCACTAGACAAACTTGTTGAGTCCATACGACCGCGTCTGAAAGGTAGAGATCATGACCAGCAAGAATTTATCAATGAATTGAGAAACATCTTCATATCAGATGATGAAATCTGGTCAAAAGAACGTCAAGAGAATGTAACAGAACTGTAATAGCCTTTGATACCCACCAACCTATCACAAATCCAGCATTCTGATTGGCTACTGAGCCATGGTATATTGATATTCATGATAGAAGATCATCACATCGAATTTAGCAAGAATAGTCGAAAGAATGTCGAGAAATTGTTCTTTRTATTCTTTTGTCAAATTTGACCTATAGTTTGGTGGATACTAAGACAATCATACCACTCGGACTTGTGAAGTACGAGTTGAYACGGCCTCGTGGACTCAACTCGTARTCCACTAAATCTYGTGATAGAATTATAATTATTCTAGCTATACTTGCTCTGTAGACATATCCASAAGTTGAATTGCATCATGGGAATATTTATTGATATTAACAGTGTATGAAATATTTAAAATGAAAATTCTATTTACTTCATTTTAGTCTACCAGTGATATTCATTCATGGCGGCTTAGATTTTTATTTGATGTTTTGTTTCCAATTTTTCTATTTGTTGAGATTTTACTTTCTTCTAGGGTTAGTTTTGTCATAACTGCCCCCTTGAAAGCCCTTTGAGTATCGTATCTAATATGTGTTGCCAAGCAACTATTACTTTACTAGAAACACTCGAACTGATTCCCTTCAAAGGTGTACACCTGCAAGCGTTCTCACGACGTGGTGATCTCTGCTCACATCACAAGATAACAAAAAAACGCATTTCTACAATAAAGTTCGTACACGCTGGCAATAATCAATATCTAAAGCTCAATATGTCATCCATTTGATTTTTTTTTTGCGCTATTCATAAACTCCTTTATCTATATAACGTTAATTGTTCGGTTATAATGTAATATTACCAACTGGCCAGTCGTATTCGTAATGTAAGTATAGAAAGTGAATTATTCATGCCTTTGTTTGTTCAAATGGAACTGCTGATTGTTATTCGTAATCGAGCTATATCCATCATAGCTTGATCCGATATGAACGCAGTGATCGTATTAATACGAACATTCTTCAATAAATATCTTGTCCTTCTTGGTCTAAGGGCAGCACTTGCCACCATCGAAGGTAAGAACGGTTCAGTTCTGTATGTATAAACAACTGTATCTATTGATGACTTGTCTGGAGAATCGTCTATTTCACTAGTTGTTCTCACCTAAAGAGTAGTTAAGTAGTGCCATTCGTCACCACTAATTTAATTGTATGTTTATAAATTGTCTTTTTCCTCAACTGATGAATTGTGTTTTTTACAGTGTATGAATGTTTTACTGAAGTACTGAATGGTGCGCAAACAAGACGATTTTACACGATTTATTTGCAACTATTACTGATATCACAGTTTGAGTTTCTACAAATATTATTTCATTGATAACAATTTCGTCAGCTTTTATTAWAACAAAGGATTATTGTGTAATTCATGCTCTTTTTCACAATGATATCGATCTAGTGTTATTAACAAAGAAGCAATTTTGCCTGCGACAAGTAGAGCCGTCATAGAGCCGATAGGGTATTGATTCGTTTGTTCCCTGTGGTTACATGTCTTGTAAACAGATGCTTTGGATGTTTATATTTTATTTTACAAGGAATAAAACAATACGTGATCGCAACAACCCATACATGATCGGATTCATCACTGAAAAAACTTCCATGGCTTTTTCAACGGCAAATAGGCTAAACCAAAGGATAAAAATATTAGGAAATCAGCACAGAAATACAAAATGAGTTAACACTAATTTGGGCAAACTAATACTTGATAAATTAAACTAAAGAAAGAGATAATCAAACAGCAGAATGGTAGTCATTTCTTGAACTTTTAATACTGAAGTTCAGCATCCTCTGGAACCCAGGGGTAATATGCTTGGCCTTCCTCACTCCCAGAGTGACAAGATTACCCCTGGAAGTTCAGTTAAATTTCATATATAAAATATTCACGACAATCAATTTGTTCCACATGTCAAGGATGTGTTAACTTCCATCCAGTGGGCGTGGCAAACAGGACAATCATTTCTAATAGTCAAATGTCAGCATCTACGTCATTCTATGCATCGGTTGACTACCTTACACCTAAGTATGGTCGTCTAGGATCAAGACGAGCCTGGTGTGCAAAGAGCAAACGGAGTGATGACTGGTTACAAGTCGACATGGGGAATGTCTATCTTATATGTGGGGTAGCAACACAGGGCAAAACGTACAGGGTCTCCGAGTGGACTACTAATTATACTTTGTCTGTGTCACGTGATGGAGTTACCTGGCAACCGTACCAAGAAAATGGCGTTACTAAGGTATGTCTGCTATCTATTAGTTACTCAATAGCATCAATAACCCAATTTTGTATCTCAGTTTTGGAAGGGAAATGACGACGGTTCCTCGATTGTTCGCCGTAACCTCACTTCACCTGTCTGGACAAGATACGTTAGGTTTTACGTTAACGATTTCCAAGTATTTCCATGTTTGCGAGTCGAAATCTTTGTGGAATTCACATCCCCGGTAATCAAGATGCACCCAAAACCTGCTATCGTACAGTTAGGGGGGAATTTCCGACTTGATTGCCTCGCCAAAGGATCGCCACGTCCAGAGATCGCATGGAAACTAAATGGAAATGACGTCATTGGTCAACAACTAAAAAACGGAAGTCTTGAAGTTAAGAATGTCGAGAATGACAAATCTTTTGAGGGAACGTATCGCTGTATAGCGAGAAATTTAGTGGGCCAAGATGTCAGCGATGCCAACGTATCAGTATTCGGTAAGTTGTTCACCGAAAAATGCATTTTACAACTCTAATGAGTGACGCACATGAATAACTGACTGATCAGAGGAGTGATTGACTGAAAAAAAACTTACTTTTACTGATCGATGAAACTCATGAACGACTGGATAAAATTAACAGTGATTTTTAATGTATATATCCCAGAGAAACCAAAAATCCTAGATTCATCGCCGCTCACCAAGTCATTTCTTCTTGGTGCAACCGGTGTATTGTCCTGCTACGCCATTGGTGATCCCCACCCTACAATTGCATGGATGAAAGATGGAAGCACGCACATACCACGTGCCAAGCTGCATGACGATAATCACGTGCTTGTGATAAGCAATGTATCGGCACATGACCAAGGCCTGTATCAATGCGTGGCTCATAATGATATTGGACAAGCATTGTCATCAACTCATGTGAAGATTTTAGGTGAGCATTACAGTTCTTGTCAGCTGTAAAGTTTTTGAAACATATTTGTCTGTCTTGACAGATCACCCAACAATAGATACTAGTCTCACTCGCAAATTAGTACAGACTGGCCTTCATCAAACTGTAAATATGGGCTGCTATGGTAACAGTATACTCCCTGTGACTTATTCCTGGTCAAAAAATAAGGTGTTACTACACAGTAACGATAGCAACGGCACAATTCTGGTTTTTGGTAAAATACTAGTGGTGACACCTAAAGCTGAAAAAGATTATGGGATATATACATGTCATGTCAGAAACAGCGTAGATTCTACTGACTTCGAGATAGAGTTGCGACCAATTGCCTTGACAACCAATCACTCTGGTAAGACAGCAACTGAATGTGATGCTAATCGTGATGATTAAATGTAGAATTTACCTGATATTTCATCTTTCATAAAATAATTGATTTTGATAGTTTCAGGTCCAGTCCAGTCAAACCTGTCATGTTCTCCACCATCTTGCAACAAGAGACTAGGCATTATCATTTCTCTAGTTCTAGTATTTGTATTATCTGTGGCAATGAATATTCGTTTTATATACCACACTTACCAAATAAAGAAACTCTCAAAGACACCATCGAAACCTATACCAATGAATACGTTAACAAGAGAAGAATCCAACCTCATCAAAGACACTGAAATTGCCTGGGACAATTTACTCCCTGAAGCATCGGCTCAAAGGGGAGCATTTGTAAATGCAGGGGTAATAAGTGACAAAGAGGCATTATTTAGTAAACAAATCAACATACAGACATGATAGCTGCATCATAATGAGTTGCTTGATTGCACAGCAAAGACAGTTTCTTTAGTCCTCTAAAAAGGATTATAAAAACTAGACATAATTGAATTTAGAAACATTTATTACTATGTCTATATGCTTTTGATGCCTACATACAATGAAAACCTGTCCTTTCCTTTTCTCCAGTAATGGTTAATGTGGTATGTATCAATGGGGCAGCTTACCTTACTAACATATAGCCTTGGTATAGCCTAAGTAACAAAAAGGTTTACAGGGATTGAGTAATTATTTGTTCAATTAACAGTTGATTTGTCATTGACTACTAGAAGGTTTTTATGTGTGATTTAAAACCTATCCTCTCTTTGACAGCACAAAGTCCCAAAGTATAAACGTAATTAATAGTCTAAGTTGTCCTAAGTTGGTAATCTGAAAACAAAAAGAGAAAGTGTCATTATTATGATCTTTTGAGATCAACAAGGTATTTTGGCCTTGAAAAATATTGATTCTATAACTTAGTGCTCATCATAAATGGCTGTAAATAACTGATTTCAAATAGAAAACATTTAATATCCAAACTTATAAACACCTGGAAATATTACTGTAATATCAATGTTTTCATACACAGCCTACAACAAAAATCCTACCTCCATTTTGAGTGATGTATCGCACCCATGGTAGGGCCTGGTAACCACTCTTTTCTATAATTTTCAGATATCGAACCTGTAAAGAACAGCAAATTTTCATTCAATAATCATTATTAAATCACAACACCTCTGATGGGTGAGGAATAATAATGGAAAATTAAATTGTTAAAATGTTTAAGCAGAAATAATACAAATGGTCCAACCTGAATTCCAGATACAGTGAAATATGGAATTTCAAACTTGAGTTTGATTGGTGGACGACCTTCAGTTTCCTCTGGAAAATATTTAAAATGAATCAAAATTAATTATATCCTACTGTAACCCAACACTAATGCAACCTTAGACCCTACCCATAACCCAGATCATACCCTACCCCTAATCTGCTCATGAATCGAATCCTAATCTTATTCAACCCTAACTATCAGATCCAACACAACTATTGCAGTTATAGAATGGATGCATGAGGCTGGAAGGAGAGTAACATGAAAGGTTCTTGCTGCACTGAACAAACAAATCCATAATGCCATTGTTTTCATACCTGCTTCAACACTAGGTAGATTAAAATGTGCCCTCAAAAGGAATTCCTTTCCACCCTAAAAACAGAATGGCATGCATTTGAAAAACACTTCTGATCAGTATCTTAATACGATACACAACAGAATCAAAATACAACTATAATTTTAGCATATATCAAAAGATCTAATATTTGTGGCTTCTGCACTTGTAATAATGGTATGTCAACTTACAGGGAATGATTTGATATTCCAGATAACAAGATTCTGTTCAGGTGCATACTTTGCACTGCCTACAGTTGCCTGCAAAAAAAATTGTTAACTTGATCACATATAAAACAACAAAAACACAATTATAATAGGAAGGCAAAAAAGAGGATGGATGAAATAAAAGAAAGGAAATGAGAAGAAATTATTAGATTGCTATGTGTTGCTTTTACCTTGAATTTTGGTGAATCTGCATCTTGAGGAACTGGAATAAGAATTTCTACATTGTTGGCTGTTGATCTTCTCTTGAATTGACTCTTTGCCTGCATGATAAATAAATAACAATATTCAAGGAAAATATCAAAGATTTATCAAAAGTTTATGTATTCTTACTTTAATCATGTACTCAACTCTACTGTGTGAATGACGTTCTATCACTGATTCAATCCATATCAGAGGTTTAACCTGATACAAAACACATTATAGTTATAAAATCTAATCTTTTTCTCTTATATCATTGAAACTGAAGTCAATATACAAACTCAATACATACAAGTAATGGAGTCACAAATACAGTAAAGCCTTACGTGAGTATTAAGACGATAAGACATTAACTCAAATTCTCCATCAGGAGGGATGAATGAGATTGTGCGATCATTTTCAAATCTTGACAGACGAACACACTGGTGAAATTTGACATCTTCAAGTTCAACTGCTTTACTCTTACCACCTGAAATAGGAAGACATGTTTATTATGGTTATCTAATAACATTTAATAATTTATCACCTTTTTATGAAAGTTTCTGGAAACTAGACTTTTGCTCAGAGAGTTTTTGCAAAGCTGTTTTGATTTGCTTCAAGTTCCAACCCTTACCCAAACAAATTTTTAGATGTACTTACGACCAGTGTTTTCAAAGAGGACTTTGTCATTCAGTCCCAAACGCAACTCAGGCATACCCGACAGGTAACACCTCATCTTAACTGTACCAATAATCTCACTGCGAAGTACATTTCCACTTGAGCTCACCTACAATAAATGTAAACAATTTTGATTACATATCAGTAAATGATATTCCAAAGTTCATTAGTCTGTTAGATGATTTGAATTGTTACTCAAGCAATGACTTACCATCAAATTAACAGACTCAATAACATCCAAGAATACTTCATTCTTTCTGTATTTGATGTTTTCACCTCTCCATGAAACAGCATTGGTAAGCGCAGGTGGAGGTTTGGGTGCTAACTCCAGTTTATGACCTTCCTGTGTAATATACCTGAAAACAATAATTATTAAAACATACTGTAACACCACTGAGTGAAACCACCGCTTATCCATGTAGGCTATCTGCACACAATAATGCTCAGACATTTAGAAAGTTTTCAAAAGCAGCAAAGAACTTTCCATTTTGAATTCTTGTGCTCTATGAAGTTTTTTGATTTGATCAATGTAAAGTGGTTTTCAACTTACTCTTGCAAGATCTTGGTCTCTGTAAATTGTGGATATCCAAAGTCAATAAGCTCATCCATCAGTTCATATATGATGACAAAATTATCTCTTATACTTTCTTCTTCAAGCTCTTTGAAATAGTCTGTAAACACCTGGAAAGATAAAATAGAAATAATGGCTCTCACTGAAAACATACTGCATAAACTGCATTACTTTCTTTTGCATCAAGATTATAAATTTGGAGAAAACATGTTGTTTGGAGTATAAAGCAAAGCAGCTATGTGTAAATCAAAATACCAGATTTAATTGTGTTCATTATTGCCAGGACTGTAATACTGTGTATTTGTTTGGATACATGTATATAAGACAACTAACCTGCACAATCTTGTGTAGAAATACAAAAATAAGAGCAACATTTGCATTCTTTTTAGTTGTGCACACAACTAGTTTGTCATTAAGAAAGAAACAAAAATTTTGTATTTTTATTCAACATTCTGAAGACTACATGTACAATTAGAGTTGCAAACAGAATTTCAATATATTAGAGTCATTTTCATTTGTCTGTGAAATAGGAATTGTTCTAACCCTAACCCCCTATTAGCTTCCAATAGTTTTACTTATGACATGCGACAAACTAATTAGGCAAACACAGTGTTGATTTTGCCTTTTGGCTGACTAGCAGTAATTGTTTCACAGACGATTGAAAATGACTCTACAAGTACTTATTAAAGTACTTGTAATTTTTTTGTTAGCTTTTTTCAATTAAGTTTATATAAGCATAGGCATCAAAAGATCACCAAATGCAATGGTGATCAATGTTAACCTTTTGCATTACTGTGAATCCAATATGACTACTATACACACTCAAAGGATACGGTACAAATTGTTGTATTTGATGTACACAAAGGTCACTTCTCCATGAACACAGATAGGAGATTGTGAATCGCCTTCTTCCTCCTTCTCTAACACTAATGGCATAAACTTGTCGATCGCAGAATTGTCGATATCCCCGCGATAGTTTCTGGATATTATTACCTAGAAAATTGACATAGCTAATTTAAAACTGGTTATTCGGATTACAAGTACTTAACTTTTTAAAAGACTCATGTCGAAATGACTTGTTAGATATTCCTTCTAACCTTTCCCTTGACGTCTAACACATATACTGCTGACATCGCCATCTTGAAGCCTGAGTTGTATCCACCAGATAAATGGCGAGACTCCAAAAGGGATGATTTAAGAAAATGACGCAAAAACGAAGAATAATTTGCGCGAAAATCCAGCAAAAGATGAAGCGAAACTCACTAACGAGTTGGAGACACCAGTGATTAGACCCTCCAACCAAATATTTCCTCTGGGGGAGATAGTACTCTATGAGTTTGGACACTGACAAATATTCTCTTCAGAAGTAAATGTGAATACTTTTTGTGGTAAAGAATATAACGATATATTTCTAAAACAAAATTTTAGAACATAAGATAGTAAATTGTGTTTTTTATTAAATTATTCTTGAATAAAAGTATACGGTAGAAGGGGACCAGGGAGGATATTATTTGTACTTTCAAGACGAGGCTCCTTGGTGACCATTCCTTTTATAGTGTCAAGATGGCGGCTGACAAGCAAGAGTTGTTGATCTTAGTAACAACGTAAACTTCTTCAGAACCATTTTGAAACTGCCATGATGTTGTTCAGAGAAAAGAGGTAAATAATCTGAACGAGTCATGTCAGTTTATGGTCGAAAGATTCAAGGGAAGAGCTCGAAAAAGCAAGATATCGAAGAAACATCTAACAAACTTCGTGCTATAAAGCAACGACAAGGCCAGTGGATGAGAGAGAGAGAAGAGGCAAAAGCTTTGTCGTCTTCTAAATCACTAGATAGTCTAGCTAGCAGAGGAAAATCAACGTCTACCCGATCTTATTCTAATAGTGAACTAAGTTCGAGTCCAGAATTTCGTGGTGGTGGTTCGAAAGGTCCTTTCTCCAACCCCAGACGAAAACCGTTGTACACACCTCCTAAGAGAGATAAATCTAATGTCATTACTTGGTCTGGTCATGATACTGGAAAACTTGGCAGACCTCCTTCAGCGCAAGGCAAACAGCCCTCTAGTTCCCAGGTGCCTAGCAGGTCACACAGATTGAAGGAGAAAACTTATGAACCATCAAATTATAGTTCCTCCAAGTTAAATAGCAAACCTAATCTTCTCCATGATTCTGAAATGTTAAAACTTCACAGTGAAAGACACAAAGAGGTTGATGGGGAAAGTTTTGATATTGACAATAAAAGTGATAGTGATGAAGAAATAGACTCAAGGCTGCCAAAGGATTTAGATCATGACATGATAAATGCATTGGCTGAAAGTGTCGCCAAAAAGCTAAATACTAAAGTAAACACACGAATTGACGACAGAAAAAGTGCACCAAGAAAGAACCAGGAAGATGACCAGGAAATGTCCACACACATGTGTCCTCTATGTCACACATTAATGTCTGGCACTAGACATACCCCCATGGCACTTATACCATGTGGCCATACACTGTGCAAAGAATGCTTGAAGGATTGTAATAAGTGTCCATCTTGTCAATCAAGAGTTTCTTCATCAGCTGAAAATACTGTGTTAAAGCAAATAATATCAGATTTTCTATCACAAAAAGAACGAAAAAGACTTGAAAAACTGGAGCAAGAGACAAGAAAATATGTTGATGAGTATCAGTCGCTCTCAGTCAGGTCAAATGCACTTGCAGGTATATCACACTGAACGCTTTTATTTAAAGCTATATGTAAATTATTATATAACAAACTTATATTTTATATTTGTGTTTCAGAAGAGGCAGATATCATTCTGAATGGAATGGAAGACTTGACAGAACAGCTTTTCCAGGAAAAGAAAGTCTTCAAAAGACTTGAGGTTGATAATGAAGAACTCACAAGGAAAATTTCTGAGCTTGAAAATCAACGTGACAAAAACAAATTGAAATTGAATGAGAGTAGAGAGAGGAGTGAAAATCTTGAGTCAAATTATGAAGACCAGAAACAGAGACTTTCTTTGGTTGAGGATACGATAAAAACAATAACACAAAGTAAAGAGAGAGTTAAGATGATGGTGCATAACTTTGCTCCATCTTTTAACCTAGATCAGTTTGACTAAATCCTTGTTTACATTCATACTATGCAGTTGGGAGGTAAACTGTTGGTTAGAGACTAGTACATGTAGATAAAGACTTGAGGTTTTTATGGGTAGATAACCTTGATCCATGTGCATGGAAATGGTCACAATTGTATTCATATTTTTAAATAAAATTGCTATACCTTTTAATACCTATCATTAATGAAGTAAGCTTCGTGCCATTTTACTGGGAAAAAAAGCCAGCGGCGACTTTTCTGGGATTTCTTTGTTGTGATAGGACGAGAGGGCTTGTTAACGAGTCATTCAAAATGGCGGTCGACTATAAACATTTTTTACCGGAAAATTCATACATATGTTTTATCAACAAAAAAAGTTGTGTCTTATTGAAATTTTTCTAGAAATGGTATGTTTTATAGCTGCAAGTCTAGAAAAGCTTGCATGATGAATTTGGATTTGACTGTTTTGGCTTCTACCTCGATCAAGAGAAAAAAACCATGGCCGAAGATGACCTGGCTTGGAAAGGTAAGCAACTATATCTACAAGCTTATATTTATCATTTAGGTAGATTGTACTGAAACAAGAGGTGCTTTGTATATAATTATCAAAGAAAGAGTTTGATACAGCAATATCAGAGAAGGGCCACTTACCGCGCTTCGCTAAAGACCAGTGGTGCGAATTGTCTCGTAACAACAAGCGAAAGTAGCTTATTTTTATCACAAAAGAGCTCATTTGTTTGTTATATTACTACTTTGACAAGGAAGCTAAATTACTTTTGCTCAATTTGATATTTGAAATTTAAAAAAGGCAATTGATACATTTTGCTGATTGGTGAATGTAATTCCAGGACAAGGGAGAACTATATTTACTGGACAAAACGCGCATCAGCCAGCTTTATTTGCCATCTGGTAAAACACGAAAGAAAATCCCTACAGTACATCCTTTCCTTGTAGATGTACAGGTGCTGTCCACGTCATCCAATGGTAAGAAGATCTTTTATTCAAACAGCCATTGATATGTCAGTGTTGATCTATTGTACTGTATGTAGGTCAGTTCCTGGCTGGTGCTCTCAAGTCTGGGAAATTGTTTGTCTGGGAGAGAGACGATGATACATTACATACCACTCCCATCCTGGACAAGATTAGGAATGTACTTGGGTCAAGTGAGCAATGTTCTGATTATATTGACATCGAATGTGTTTTCTTTTGAGTGTGTTTGTGTGTGTCCATGTGTGACAAAACATGATTATATCTTTACTTATGATAGGATACTTCTTTCTTCTGACTCACTCAAATCACAAATCCTGTGGCGTGTTTGGGGTTTTCTACGGGGGGCTTCTCGCTTTTTTTCTCTGGTTTCATCCCATTTATTTATCGTTATTTTATTTTACATTAGATAAAAAGAGAGTTAGCCTTTTCATTTCAAACTGTGGAAAAAAGATTGTCTTACTGTCTGGTTTGGATCAGCTGTTTTTGTGGGAGACTGATGGTAAACCTCAAGTCCAAGGTACTGTCATGACACTGCTATATTTCAAAGTAATACAGTACCATTAATGCATGATACTTCAATATTAAAGGAGAGCCATTTATGGGAAGATGGATACAGATACAGAGTGGGGATTATACATTACCTACTGAGCAAGACAAGGAAAATGCAGTTGATGGTGTGTTTTATGAAGACCATGTAAGTAAAGCTATAATGATGGTAATAAATGTCTTAATGAATATATTAGTTTTGTTAAGGATGAAGGTAATGGCGATTATGGTAGATGACTGTAAAATTGAAGTGACATGCTAAAGGCAATAAATATGTACATATAAATGGTGTTATAGATTCAAAGTTTGTGCTGCATGGTATCATGGGTTTTCAATAAGCAAGATAGAATACACATAACCACATTACGGCTGCAGTGGCCTCTATCTGGTGATGGTAAAAGCTTTGCTTATGATCATGGTGAGTTGTGATAAGTATCCCATTTTGTTATTTGTGCATTAACTTGTGGTCTTTATGTGTTTTATATTCTCATATCATTTCTTATGAAATACATGTTTCTTTACAGCTGACACTTCACCACAATTTTCTGCCAAGTGGTACATGTTTGTATGCCCTTTATATGACCTTACCCCTGCCAAACGAGTCCTTAAATCCAGCAAAGCATACATTGCTAGGTTTTCTTTTGATGGACAAGTTCTAGCAGTTGCCATGAACCAGAAAGCTGCTGCTGATACCAGAATGATGTTTTACTCAACTACTAGCTCTTCTGTTGCCATAGTAACAGATTTAAAGGGTTGTGGGTCAGCAAACGTACAAAATTTACCACCTACTGGGAGGTATTAATTCATTCAATCTAGTAATCTATTCCTCTGGGTTTTCAGCCATTTTATTTGTTTGCACATAATATCAATATACTGTGAAGTAAGTTGAAAAATTGATCCAAAGTTAAAATGATACGTCTAGAGTGAAGACACTAGGATACAAACAACAGTGAATCGGTAATGATTCAGGAATGTAACACATGCAAATACAAGATGCTTAAGTGAAACCTGATATCGGAAGTGAATGTCCTGGCTGATCGAATTAATCATTTTAAAGTATCAAAATGTGACTTTTATAGCCTGGTTTGTGTCGTTTTGATATGCTGAAAAATTCACTAAGAAGTTGTTGATATGATTTCTCTAAGTCATAATACAATAAAAGTTTACATTGACTTTGTTACTGTTAGTGTCAATAAACTAATGATGATTATTATTATGTGTAGGTTGTGGTGGGTATGTGATATGCAATGGACAAGAAACGACTTGTTTTTAATAATAATAACAAGATGCGGATCAGTGGCCATGTTGACTAAGTTGGGCGAACCAGTCACCCTTAGCACTACTGATATGGGACCCAGTTTATACCTTCCTCTTCATCCAAGAATAACTTTCAAGTAAGACATCAATTCTTGCATAGATCCATGCACTTATTTGTTCAATTATATCCATTTATTTGTGTAAATAATCACCAATATGAGTACAGTCTGCTTGTTTCAATGAACTATACTTGTAGGAAGCCAAGTGTAAATGGGGAAAGTGATACATCTCTGTCACTACATTCAATAACTGATGATTCAAGACAAAGATACTCCATTACAGTTCACCCTAATCTTCCCATCATCCTTACAACAGATGGTTACCTGGTGACCATCATGCAGTTACCTGGTAATGCCAGCTACAAGGGAGTCATGACATCATTCTTATCATCTGTCACAAGGTAACAGGAAAATCATCATTCTTTCATTTGATTTTCACTGACTTGTAATGAGGTCCATGTATTGCTGTTGTGAAAAGGCTTCTTCCTGAGGTTCACCAAGACCCTGAAATGGTTCCTGTTTCATCTTCAATAAGCAAAGTGGATATCTTCCAATCTGACACCAATCTAAGCAGAGTAACATCTGCAGAAGAACTCAGTGAACAGTCAAGTTGCTCCAGTACTTTAGCGGGTAAGCAGATTGACGAAAGACTCATTTTCCAATTTACTGTGCAGTAAGATGCATCATTGTAAGTGTCTTATTATCATGTCATGCTAGGATATGGTTTGGCAAGTGGTGATCAAGGGATAGCTGTTGTACCAATCATATCAGACATTGTCCACAATCAACATCTAGACAAGTCAGGGAAGTTTCTTGAAGCACATGATAACTCCCTTAAAGCTCTTGCCGTTGGTGTGTCAGCTGGTCAGTACTGGTCCAATGATGTCAGCACTGCACTTAAGTTTGTGATTAAAGGTGTGGTTAAACTATTTTCTCTCTGCCTTCGAGATAACTTTGATGTGCCCTTGTCAAGCTCACTCAAAATGCTCTCAAAATTTTCACACAACTTTGAATTCCCATCTGAAAAGATAGAGGGTTGTTTCAATTATTTCAAGATGGCTCTTGAAATGTTCCTGTGGGATTCCAAGTACAGGAATTCTTTCACGGCATCAGTCAGATTGATACATGGGATTATCAAAGAGATCTTGGCTTGTAAGTTATTCCCAGATGCTCATAAAGTATTCAGCTCTATAGCATTCCTTGAATTTGCTGAAGATGTTCTTGGATCTGTGTACTCATGGAAGGAAAGCTCTAAAACTGCTTCTAATGGCGAAGTTATTGATCGCTTCAGTCCAAATGCAAGTATTCCGAGGGATAGTACTGCTTTGCAGAAAACACAGGAATTTATGAAAGAGGTATCCCAAATAGATTCAGAATCTGACGGGTCGACGTTAAAGGAGAGTTCTCAAGTAACCAAAGCACTAACAGCCACTTGGTTGATATTGTACAACTACACCGTTCAGTCATCTAAACGTTCAAGTAGACCTGGTGAAGCAAGTCAGTTTACACAGTTCTTATGTGACATACAAAAAAGGTTGCAAGACATGGACGTTACCATACCAACTGAAGCCAAACAAGAACCACATATGTCAGGTGTGTCCTCTTGTTTTAATCAATTGTTGTATTGAAAAAGTACATAAAAATGTTAGTACACACTTGAATTTGATTCGATAAGTATTATTACTTTATTTTAAATCTTCCGTGATCAATTCTAAATCGTATAGTTTCTTTTGCAGTGGTTAAATCTATCATTGACCGAGATGACGCTATTCCTGGCCTAACTGACAGCCCTGGTGATTCACTGTTTGGACGTAGGCGAATTAACCGTACCGACCAGGAACCGAACCAGAGCACACCAACACATATGCGTAAAACTGGTACGTTTATATTCATTGGTTTGGCCAACCATATATTTATCAATAACTCGTGTGTTTGGTCGAAAATGTAATAAATTATTGCTATTGTCATCTTATAATCACAGGATCTTTAGATCGTCTTCTCGACGTGTCGGCCATTGATAGGTCGTCTTCGAACGAGTACGCCGATCAAAGGGACGCAACAACAGAGTCTCTCCTCGCCATTCTTTATTTGAATCTACAGAATTATAATCTGAGAGCAGCTATACATCTTGTGCTGTCACTGATGGAGCCTGCTTTAGATCGCTTGGATGAAACATTCAGCTCGCTTTTCACTCTAGAGTCTTTACGCACAACTCGAAATCAAGACTACTCAACAAATCAACTACTGACCATACTTACCCAAACGTTCCCGATGATTCGTGTAGCTGACAAGTGTGGAGTTCCTGTGGTGCAGTCTTTAGGTCGATTCATGGCTGCGTATTTCTCTAATCTTAGTCTGTACGTTTTCCCGGCATACCACCCTAACGTTCTTCCACCATACTACCTTGGAGAACGGGCCAGGCATGAGAGCACATCAGATGAATCGTTTACATTGTCTCAAGGTGTCGAAGTTGTACATGTGGATCGAGAGAAGGTCGCGTTAGCTGTTCGTGATCAAGGCATATCAGATTTTTGGTGTGCTAATAATACCATAGAGCTTATGCTGATATCAGGTATGCGTTATAATGTAATTAATACGATTTCTGGTTGTCTGTGAGGTGTACCTGACCATGCCAACGCTTTTCTACAACCTAAGCGTAATTTAATTATTATTAACCATGCGTTGTATACTCAACCTCCTTAATGTCCATGACAGGTCTTATTGGTGAAGCTGCCTGGTTGAGCGATAATCTTGGTGACTGGAAACACGCCCTGATATTATCCGTCAGCCACACCCTTAACATTAACCAGCACACAGGTATCCCGAAAACTCTATTACCAACTATACCAAGTAATATAATCCCAGAAAACATCATCCTAAAACGCCTACAACCAGTCTTGTCTTCATCACCATCACCATTACCAAACATCCCTAAAAACCTACTTGATGTACCTGAAGATGCGACGTCAACGCCAAACAAAGACCGCGTGCTAATCGAACAGCCCACTAAAGATAAAATACAACACGACATGGATGAAAAGGCTTTCAAAGATGTGGGTAATATACTAGAAGCTGCAGTTGTCGCAGGGTTAGATGTAGTCCCAGTTTTGTGTGCTAGAATGCTGCAGGATTTGTTAGTGCTGGTTTCTGAGATGGATTGGATTGTACCTGAGGAACTCTACCTTCCGGCTCCTCCTTTGTTTTGCCCGCAACCTCCTCATGTTGAAACTGTAAGTTGATTTCACAGTTTATTATGACAATTAAGCATCTAAATATTTTTTGTTTTATGTTGTAACTGTAAGAATAATATACATGTAGGTAATCTGATATCTTTTAGGAATATCTTCTGCCGCGTGTTTATCGCGAGAAGCAGCTACGATCAGACATTGCTGGCTCAGTCCAGAAACTGTTAACCCTGCTTCATTCATCCAATTGTATGTCGGCTTGTATACAGTGGTATGTTAGTCAGCTGGTTACTACGAACGAAAAATGGTACAATACATCAAAAGATGACCAAGATTTTATTATCCCAAAATCCCTGTTGGCGCACACTGACATAGTGACATCATTTCATGCTGCTGATCTTAGCCTTGTTAGAGCTGTTAAAAGGAATTCTGCCAAACCAAAAGGTAAGTAACATAGGATACGACGAACATTCATAATTGATTGATCGGCAAACTAAATAATTGATTATTGACTTATTTCAGATGCTCTAAGCCCACCTCGTCCAAGTAAGACGCCTGGCTCGTCTGTTAGTCTGGTAATACAATGTTTTCATCAGTTTTGTTTTACAATGTGGATTCTTTATGTACGAGACAATATGAGTCTTTGTGCGAGAAAATACAGACAGGCAAGAAATCAAGCGGCTGCCAAACCTGAGGTACTCTTTTTATATTTCTTATAACGTTTCAACTCTGTTTAAGGTGATTTACGCAGAAGAATCAAAGATATAGGCTTCCCGTCGAATTCCTCTGAATAGTAGAGACGAGAAAAGTCAGTCTAAGAGGAATAGTGAAAATGGTTAAAGAACCGCAAATAGCGGTTGCAGTATCTGTATAAATAAGAGGGTATTAAATTATGTCTTTGTATCATCATGGTAGATGGCCGAACAAGTCGAAGGTCTTTGTTGGGAAACTCTTCAGTGGACTTTGGAGCTGCAGCCATTTGGTTCATTTCTTGGGGCATCAACGCAAGTCAGTGACTCGTTATTGACTCTTTTGTCTGAGATGCAACCTAGTATTGCCACAGCAAAGATCACTGCACAGTACTTCCCTGATCCTAACCTCATTCCCACAACTTCAGGAAGGGCCAAGTATAAGCGGCTCATGACTCAATTCCGCGGGATAACTTTGCGAGAAGCAGGAAGCATCGAGGAAGACAACTACGACGAACCATTATCGGTTTTCTATCGCGAGAAGTGTCTTGAATGGCAAGACGAGTTGAAAGAGAGAGAAAGACTTTTCCATAAAGTGCAAATTGAAGTGTTTCCTAGAGAAAACGATGAAGATGACTTGCCAAACTCCAAGCCTTCGTTTGTCACCAACAAAGACCATCCATGTGTTGGCTCTACTTTGTTCGAGACATCAGAGAGTTACCTCAAGTTTCTTGATACTTTCTTTGTTATTACCTTCACTAAAACTGCGTCTGAACTAACCGGTCAAGCTGTGACTGGTATCCCTCTTCTCTTGCCATACGATAAAGTCTTAACCTTTAACGAGGCGAAAAGTTTGAAAGAGCTACGTGCGAAAGCAGCGATGGACAAGGAATACAAACCACGTTCTGATAACAACTCTTTGCATCGAAGTCAAAGCTGTGTAGATGTAAGCTCAAATAGATCGAGGAAGCCCCTTAGTCGTTCGCATCTTGGTTCAGGACAGTCTGACATCCGACGATCCAGTAGTATGAATGATATTAGTAAACGCAGTGCCAACTCTGGCATTGATGTCCTGGGAACTAGTCTATTGGATATGTTACCTCGACTATCGTGGTTGAGCCGGTGAGTGACATCTCCATAGTGTGGGGTTATCAGTGTTATACCGTGTTAACGATACTTTGCGTTGATAGGTGGTCATCAGAGGGTTTGCCTAGTACTAGTGTCAGTAGAAGGACAACAGAAGGTCAGCCTGTGATGAAGGTTGATGTAGAGTTACCCTTGCTCGTCAATAGTCTATGGCTGATCAGTAATGTTTACACTCCATGGGAACTCAACGAACAGGTACAGAACTGCCTTCCTTTTTTGCTTCTTCATTTTGTTAACTATTTTCCTTCCCATTTATTTTCTCTGTCTTCTTTACTTTTCTTTTCCTGTTGATTAATTATGCGTTCATCTATACCTCTACAAAGGTAAAGCCTGAGTTCCTAAAAATCGCTGCTAAACCATCAAGAAAGCCACAAGATGCAGACCGAAATGTTGTAGAACGCCCTCTACGACGGGCATCTAGTGATACCGATATACCTAAAGTTACTGTACAAAGTCCTACCACAGAGGAAGAAAGCATTTTGAAGAAAGAAAAGACAGAAGTGTCGAAAAAGAAAACACCTAAGTATACAGGGCAAGTGCCAAAGCTGGATGCTAAACTAGAGACAGGTCAGCACAGTGGATTGTGTGATAAGTAGGGATATCGATTATGCTTGTAATAATGTTAATGATGAATAGGTATTACTACAGAAACCTCATTGCCTATTCTTACTGATACCTGCCATCTATGCATTTCAGAGTTTGATGCACCTCGAGTATCACACATTCACGACTCTTTTCATGCTAAAGCAGACACTCATAAAAAACCTAAGTCTGTTCGAAGAGCTTTGAAAATGGATGTGCAAGAACAAAATTCTAAAACAGAAAAAGTAAAAACAGGTAAATTGCCTTGGTTTTGCTTATTTTGTATTTACACGTTCAAATGTAGAGCGTGAATTAGCAATACATATTATATTTCAATCTGTAGAATTTCGCCGTAAAGTCAAATCATCCAAACACTCACTCACGAAAACTGTAAATAAAAGTGATCTGGACCACGTGACAATTGATCGCGTCTCACCGGTGATGAACGCCGCTGACTTGCATACATTCGAGCCTGACGCCGGACACAGGGAGACTGTACCTGACCCTACCTCACATGGAAAACAACAAGTAAATCGTACCAATGACCAGACGCAAACAGTCAGAGAAGGGATGGAACTAGTTCTTTTGTTGAGGTGAAGTCCCATTATCAGTTTATCCAACACAAAAATATTATAATATGAATATTTAGTTTGTAAATATTGTTGTTATTCATGATCATGAATTTCGTATAATGTGATATTTATTCTTTTTTAGACCAAATTCCAATACTTATCCAAACRATGCCGACTTACCACTTTTAAAGCTGTCAACTGTAACGTCCAAACAGGACCAGTCACCAGTAAGAGACACAAAGGTAACCAATAAAGAGTCTGCTTCACAGACTGATGCTCCAACAATTACTAACAGCTCAACACAGTGTGCCAATAATCCAGAGAGAGCAGCAACTTACAGTAAAGTGATCAGTTCAAACGCTGTAGACTTCAGTTCTCAGTATGATGAGAGTAGAGATGTTAGCTGTCAAACTGGACCATCATCACCTAGCAACAGACAGAAGCATGAACGTTCTGTGACTTCTTATTCTTCACAAGAGGATGATGTACCCTCCCATGATGCCAGGCAATTGATAGGTGCACCCTCAAGCCAACAATCTCATTTCTTTAGAGCCCCCTTCAGCCAACAATCTCATTTCATGGGAGCACCCACTTGCCGTCAATCGTATTTAGATGGTGTACCATATAATAATCAATCTCTTTCAAATGGAGCACGCCCTATACATCAATCTCATTTCGGTGGTATACCCTCTAGGCCTGACTATCCCTTACAGATCCATAGACCTGATCAAGAAGATTATCGTCGCCAAGAACATCCTAAAAAGACAGCATGGCCTGAGCAGTCTGTCCAGAATCCACTAGAAGTATTTCCATTACTGCATATTCCAAAAAGGACACAAGCGACTAGTGATTCAGGGCGAATGGTGCCGCCATGGACAGGTTATCCAACACACAGTCAAACGTCTCGTGATAACCATTCCATTCCTCTTCTTCATCTCCCAAAACAAGCCAACACACAACCGACCAAGACATTTCGACTTTTCGAAATTCCACCAGCATCTCGTGACCTACCTTTACTGCTCATGCCCAAAAACCAAGACAAGCAGCATCGTCCTGACCTTAGTAAGATAAAGTTTGCTGACATAAAGACTAAGCGGGATCCCTTTGTAATGCTTGACATGGATAATGCAAGGTCTAGACGAGGTCAGCACGTCCCATTACAGCAGCTACCCATGGAAAAGGATGTACATTCTTCACCGTTAGTTTTACTGCACATGCCAAAAGAAAATCCTAAGACAAAGTTGGTGCCAGTAGAAGTACTGGAAGCATATGAACAGACAAAACAAAAAGACTCGAAAGAAGCATTTCACGAGAAAGAAAATGTGAAACCCAAGAAAGGGAGGGAACGAAAACGAAAGCGTCAAATAGAAAACAAAGAAGAGATCCCTCGGCAAGATGCTAGGAATGCTCCATCGAGGTAAGTTGGTGTATTGCAAAATCAGTGAAGGGTGACGCACATAAGGCCTACCAGGAATTTTGATTGACAGTTGTATATAGTGCATTAGGGTATTGTTCACTGAATGCTGTTTTATAGTAAACAGTGAAATTTGTTTTATTTATTCCAGACAACGAAGAAGACAGAATATGTTGTCTTCTGAACACACAAAGCGAAGTGACGTCGAGAATTTAAAAACTAAACTGGTTCAAGTCAATCCTGTTAATCAAGATAAGGATAGAAAATCCAAGAAACCTAGAGAACTACAGCCTGCACAACAGCTGGACGAAGGTCTTAGCGAAGAAAGCGAACTTGAATTATCTGAAATGTCAGAAAATTTTAAACTTTCAGACGAAGAGCAATTGTATTTTAACGTATATCAGCGTAAACCAACTGTGAGTAATGAAAAGGTTGACGAATACTGTAGAGAACTTGAGGCAAGGGTGAAGAAGGAGTTCCAGAAAGAACTAGAAGATTTAAGGAAGCAGCAAATGGAATTGGAAGTGAAGGAACGTGTAAGGAAGGAAATGGAAAGACAACGAGAACAAGATGAAGTCCGCAAGCGTTTGGAACAGGAACGCGAACTTCACGAACGTTTAGAAAGAGAGAAAAAAGCTCGAGAAGAGAAGTTGCAAGAACAGGACATAAGTCCTCGTCCGGTACCAAGAAAACGGTCTGTCAAATGGGAAGGAGGCTCGTTTGTGAGTTATGATGATGCACCTCTTAGGGCCATCAAGTCACCAAGCAGTGTTGAAGTACAAGTGCAAAGTGATTTGATTCGTGTTGATCAAGTTACTCAGACTGCTGAACCCGACTCTAGAGTAACAATACCACAACAATCAGAGGAGATATCAAGACAAAAGTCGTTTGCGCCAGTCCTTCCTCCTAATGTATTACTTGGGTTAACATTTGATGAAGAACCAAAAAGTACCTTCCAAATTCACGGTGTCGAGGAAATTGACCCTGTCGACACAAGGAATCGCGCTGTAAGCGAAAGACAATTTGTAAGTGTTGCAGACATTGACAGTGAACTATGGGAGAAGATTCGCAGCGGTAACAAGATGACAATTAGACACGACGAAGAAAGTGTTGAAGGGAAAGAGGAAGGAACAGTTCAGGATGAAGATACTTCACAAGAAGAAGGTAAGTGGAAGAAATCTCGAAGTTAAAAGCAACTAGCAACAAAGATCAACCTATGTTTAATAAAAACATCGTAGAGAAAGTTCCATCGAAAGAATCATCCGTTGCACCTCATAATGGTGAAGACGACGTTGAAAAGTTTCCTAAGAAACACGATCTTTTGACAGTCCAGTTGATGGAATCTTTTGAAACACAAAAGCCTCGGTAAGTGACCTCCCTTTCTTTTACGATCACTGCGTTTTTGTCCGTAATGATGAGACTGTAAAGATGAAATTGAGTGGTAACGATGACATACGATATTATTGCTACTTCATATTATTGCTACTTTTCATTTCCAGACCTGCAAGTGCCATTAACGCCAGTAGTCTGTCGAAGCAGCGGTTATCAAGTCGACTAGAAGAAATGAATGAACGTTTTGAAGCCATAGAAAAAATAACACAGAATATGGACAGAGAATTTCACAGCTCAAATGTGGTAAGTAATGATAGTGAATTTATGGCTCCTTGAATGACTGCAAATATAACGTGCCAGTTGGATTCTTTGTTTGCAGCTTCTAAACGCGATCGAAAGCATTGGTGAAATCATGTCTCCACCAGTCAAGGAACCTAAAACTAAAAACAAATCTCAAGGTCAGCGTAGTAGCTCAACATTACCTCGAGGGAAAAGGGATACTTTTCCATGGAGACGAGACGAACCTAGTAAAGAATTACAACTAAATGATGCTAGGGAGACAACAATATCATTTAAGGAAGAAATTGAATCTGAACAATGGAACCACCACCATGATGATGACCATCCAGTACACGAAGATGCTAGTGGAAGTGTTACGCCAACTTTAGAACTAGGAGAAGAACCACCTGATAAAGCACGTGATCAAACTGAGTCACAACAGCAATCCCTTGATCTCACTAGATCAAATGAACAATCACGTGATGTGGCCGTTAATGATTTGCCTTCCGATTCATTTAAAAATGGTTTGCCACGTGATCCTACTGGAGGTCTGGAACAGAATCGTTCAGCGGAGGAATTTGATTCGTCACTGAATTCAAGGTATTGATGATATATAGTATGAAATAAAGAGTATCCACTGGTTGATTACTATTTCAATAGAAGCAATAATGCAACCTTGTGATTTGTCTTGTTTATCTACAGAAGGACAGATCAAGATACACTACAAGACATGGCAATGCTTTCTTCAAATACTCTGAAAGAGATATTTACAGACAGACACGACTCATCTAAAAGGTATTCCAAGTATCCTTTAGACTACCAGACTTGAAGAAGCAGTTACATTCCAGTTAATTAATTATATGACATACGTTTATACTTGAGACTATTGGAATGTCGGCTCTTAATCATATCTTAGCAGCTCTTTTTTATTTCTTAGGACCAGCCAACGATCAGCTGAGAAAAGGAAGAAGGTTCAGGAGTGGATGGCGAAAAAACGAAAGGAAAGACATTTAGAATGGAAAAATCAAGTAGAAGAAATGAGAGCCACCGAGTTTAAACCGTTCACTAACGTAAGCGAGGTAATGCACTGTCCCACAAGCCTCACTCTGAGGGCAATTAATCATCATTTCGTGAATCTGTTGTCGTAACGATTTTCTTGATGCACTCTTAGGGTCCGTCAACTCTCAAGAAAATCAAATTGGCCGAGAAAGAGCGAGAAACTAAACGAAGGTATTGTACGTTTCGCTGGCATTACGTTATCATCATCATCCTCACACAATCATCGTTACCATATGTCGCTAGGTTATTACAACGACTTTATCATCCCCTCGTCCAATGTTGGTACCCTTTTTAAATTAAAATGAGACAAGTTTGTCTGTGAAGATCAGACTTTATAAATGCTCTCTTTCTCTCCAGGGCGAAACAGGAATCCCAAATCGACGAGAGAATAAAAGATGCATCAAACCTTATCAACGAGATGCTAGCCGAACCAGTCCCCAAAGCCAACACTCTACAAAATCTACACTACGCATCCCCCACGCCTAAGAACAAAACTAAACATAACAACAGATATACCACTAAAACAACATCCAAGAAACCCATCAAAAAGACTGAGCCAATCAGATCTCAACGAAGGGAGCAGAACAAAACTCCACTGACAAGCAGTCCGCTCTATCCAAATAAAGACAATATACATGATAGACAAATTATCGACAGTCGGTTTAGTACTGGGGCTCGTTCGGTTACTACAAGCGGTTCTGAATTTGTAACGACGAAGACATACCGAATGCACGAGAAAGACAAACTTCGACGATCACAGGAACTAGAGAGAGAAATGTATCTGCAACAACAGCCAAATATGGATAGCAATGGTTTGTATATCACAGACCAGTCGATAGATATAGATGACATAATGGACCAAATACCTGATGGATCAACTATTGATGGGTTGAATGATATTGATGATTTACTAAGCGATGACAGTGAACTGAAAGAACTTCTCAATGATGTGCTGGGAAATAGACCCAAGAACACTAATAAGGGGACTGGGAACAAGGGCGTGGGCAAGAAAGGCGGGCCAGCTTTTTCGGGAACAACTACTTGGACTAAGGTAAAGGAAACTGATTGCCTTTATGATATTATATTTTAAAGTGTTATTATACTAAACATGCTAAATACTAACCTCATTTTCTGTGCTTGTAATCAAGAATTCTAGTAGAACAGCAAAGCAAAGTGCACGGCCAGCGCTCAAGAATACCGCCTCACGAGGTAGGAGTCTAGTGTATTTTTGAGTATGTGCTAACGTACGTTACACATGTGGTTAAAAGCCTTTCGTCGCCGTATTCACCGTGAAAGTCCATAGATTTCTTTCTTGAAATGTCGTGCTGTAAAGCACCTCTTCACACACCTGACACAGTCCAATGGCTATTGTACTTATTACAGGTTATTGTCAGATCACAATATTCAACCTTTAAGCTCTTATAAACGTATATTTTTGTTTGCCAACAGGATACCAACACATTTCCAAGAAACAGCTGTCAAAATCATCTCAAAACAAATCTTCGATACCAAAATCACAAGACAGTCCCTATACCAACAACCGATTACCTAGCAACAAGATAACCTTGTCACGTGATGTACTTGGAGGAAAAACTGCTAAAACCTCCAAAGATGATAAAAGAGGGCTGGTTAATTTTGAAGATGTCAGTCCATGGAATTCTGGGGACATTTTACAAATGTCTGATGATGTTGCTCAACTGCTGGTAAGCGCCCGCAATCATAGTTAAGAGTCTCCAACACCAACAAAGTATAAACTACTTGAATTTTTCTGCTACATTTATTGAAGAGCGCCTTTTTTATTCCCCATGCCATACCAGGAATTGAATTAATATGTATGTTTTCAGGCCGAGGCTAAGGAGGCTATAGGTGACAACATGTCTGAGAGCAGCGGAAGCATAATGAGCAACATTGACTGGGACGCAGTGGACAAGATCATGAATGATATGTGATTTACTGCAACAATGCTGGTCAGTGGACAACTAACAAGAATATTCACAATAAAATAAGGCATGTGACTTCAAATGGTCTAGAACTAATTCGTAATATCGCTAGTGTACATTTATATGTATTATGATTTAATATACTATGAATTAATAACTATGAAATAATATTGTTATTTATAAGCTCGTATATCTAATAATAAATCAAAGTCGAAAAGATTTTTGAAAGCCGTTTTAGTAAGCAACATTACTGTTATTCAGTCTCGGCAGCCATGTTGATGGTACTTTTCCAAAGTTATATATCCAATACCAATATGACCAGAACATTTCAGTTTGCATTTTACAGCCGTTAGCAAGCAACAATGTTATCTATTATCACTCATAAAAATAAACCCAAAGAAAGTTCGAATCCCAAAATAACTGCCACGAGAGGAAATATCTTCTAAGTTTTCAATCAGCACTAGCAGTATATTGGTATTTCCGAGATGGTATTCCTGTGTAGTCTTGTCTCCAGCTATGATAGTTCAAGGTATTTCCTACACCTCCATACAGCCCACCATGTTTCAGACAAGAATGTGACCTAACCTAACAACAAGCTTCGTTTCATTTATTTTAACTTGAATAATTTTGAATCAGTAAACAAAACTCTACAAAAAACAGATGTGTTTACGTGTGTCACCAACGGGATGTAATACTATGATTACGACTACTGATTCAATTAAGAGTGCTTTAAAGAAACAGTAATGTCATGTAAAAACATAGTTTTTATGCAATCCTATACTAGTATTAAATCGCCTTGTTTTGACGGAAAAGTACTTTTACCGAAAAACTCGCAGTCAGTATCACGGGGACATTCCACATATGTTATTGCTATTGCAGCATTTATTTGGTTTTCTATGAATTTATGATAAATAATGAAAAAACGTGCTGAGATGATAGTTAAGCATACACAAGTTACCTCAAGGGACGTTGGACCTTAGACAAAGACATTTATTTATTTATTTATTTATTACTCATGATTTCTTTACAGACATTTCAGACATTCCTTGAAAAAATAGAGGGTGTCAGCGATGAAAAGCCTTTGGCTATGTGACAAACATCGTGCGCATTAGATTATTTTCCAATATTGGCGTTAAGTCCTCTTGAGAATCTATTCATAGACGGCTGGCCTTTCAACTCTGATAATCATTTGAGTCTAATTCCAACTAATTTATATTAACATCAATATATCATGGTTTAGTGCACGGTTATCTTAATTGATCTGAGAAATAGCCTTATAAAGTTAAGTCTTCCAAGAGTATCATTAAATGGTGATAGTCATGCCCTAAGTAGTAAAGTTATCATCAGTCATCTTATGTGATTTGTGCTTTACTATCGAAATACATCGTGTGGATGATAATATACGTTGTATAGATATGTTTGAATACGCTAATTTAATAAGTTATTCGAGTCTCTACTCTTCTTCTAGCATCATAACTAGATTTATAATTAAACTGAAACTGTTACCCAGGTCAGCAGTATAACTAGATTGCTGACAGTATGAGCCAAGGACTATTGCACGTGTGATTATGTTAAGGAGTTTGGCAAATAAAAGATCAGTGTTAGTAAACGCATCCTGGTCCGACACTGTTTTCTGCACGTTCAATTACACAAATTGTTCATGCGTATAACATTGCTTTGTTGAAGTTCTCTTTTTAGGGTAGACCACATGTCATTTTAACTTACTGACCAAATTGACAGTACGTGCAATACTGCATTTAACTGAAAAGGTTTTTTACTAAAACGCGTGCGTTTTACATATCCTGCAAGGAGTAGTTTTCGTATAAGATGGATCATAATGACCCTGTGGACACAAAGACGCAATTAGAACTTTTACAAGAAAATTAATGGGTATCAAAGTTGTCTGGTTTTAAAGGAAGTGGATGTTTTGCGTGAATATTTGTGATCTTCTCTGTATTGACGTCATAGAGTGAAAGTGTGTCATTCCTGAGTGACGACATACAGGCAGAACGCTTCTAAATATAACATGGCCTTGGGTATCCTAGTGTTACAGGTCGAACGGATGGATTAGATGTGTAGCATAGATTTCCTTAATTCCGTCAATTTAATACTTTATACTACTTTGCTCTCTTGCCGCTTAATAATGTAGCGACTAGTTCCGTCCTTGTGTGTACTTCCCTTCCGTTCATTCATGTACATAGTTTATACAAGCGATTGTTTATTATGTTTGTAGCTTGATATACAACCGACGCGATTATTCTCTTAAATCATTAAAACGTACCCATAATGCATTGGGTGAGAGAATATCGCGTTATGTAGACTATAAAGCTGTAAAAGAAATCTAAACTGAATTAGAAATAACAACAACATAACGTTTGGGACAGCTTATTGTACGGTTAATGTGTTTCTGTAGCGAAATGATTAGATTAAGGTATAATGTTTAAAACCAAATCATTTAACCTTTAAGGTTTTGTCACTGAAATATCTCCACGTACTCGGCCTTAACAGTCAGACTAGACTTATCATCATTGCAGTGCATCAGTAATATGTTCAGTGCGGCTGCGCACTTGAAACGACGTTTTATTTTGACGCATCTGCTTTGAACTCTACACGTGTGGATCTACTAATGTCTTCCATTGCGTATTTTGGGCGTTATGAATTAACATACATGCGCACTCGGAAGCGTTCTTGCGTAACTGGTTCCATATAGTCTCGTATTTGCTATGTGTCCAGGAACATCAGAATTATGAGTTTGTTACGTAATGAAGACTTCACGTGTCTTAGTAGGGTTTACATATCTAAAGATGCAAAAGCATCACTATAAAAGACTTTATCGCGATAAGAATATGAGAAGCGTTGACAAAAATAATGCAGAAGACCTGTTTGTAATTACTCACAGATCGGTATAACGGTATAATAATGCTATGTTAAATTTTTATTGAATTTGCCAGCGCATTGTGCTGCGATACTTACAGTACTAGGGGACTTTGAGCTTACAGAAATGGAAAGGCACGCGCCTATTATAAGTGCAGTCTGAAGTCGAATCTCATTGTGTTGAGCACAAAAAGGTGGAACACGAAAAGGAGGCAAGTGAAGAAAATAATCTAAACAACTACTGATTTTAGTAAAAATCCTTGTATTCGATTAGTTTTTGTTATAACTGAGACGATTAAATCTAGAAAGTTCAACAAAGATTGCATATAATCGTCATAGCGTGATGCTCCCCTCGTCTTAACTTATAAATACTGCACTTGGCTTGTTAACTTTAAGTACCAATTTGAAAGATCGTCTCAAGAGGGAGAAAATTTCAAACAAATATTTCAACAGCTTTAATAAATATTGTATATAAAATAGGAGGTACAAAGTAGTAGCAAAGCCTGTCCCTTCCTTTTCTTGTTAACAAAGACGAATTATTTTCATTCTCTCCACATTTCTCGCGGAACGTTCTAGATGCGCTATTGTTGCCTAAGAAGGGAAGGCTTTATCTTGTTAACTCTAATTAGTTTGTATTCTTTATTTTATGTTGTTTTGGTTTTAGCTGATCTGAAACTCGTGTATGAAAGAAGTATAGATATTTTTGCAGCTCAATCACATTTTTCTCAGTTCATGAATATTCGGATTTATTTTATGAAGACCAATTATTGATAAATCATTTCCTACCCATGTCGAATCCCTCTTACCATTTCACTTTCTAAAGAAATCTGCTGACCTTGACCGAAAATTCAGGCGAAGTCGGCGGATGGAGGCGGTGGACGGCGCCCGTTCCTGCGCGGATAAGTTCATTACGGAAAATGCGTATTTAATCCGCATTAATTGGTTCGTTCTCTCTTCTGATAGGAGACATTGGAAGGGTGTTTTGTAGTCGATGCTTTGCCAAACCGCAGTTTTGTCTCACAATTGATTGCGAGCACGGCATTGTCTGCGCCAGACAATAATTATTCTGTAAATCTCTGTGGTTCCCTGCGGTTTTTGTCTCAGCTTTTCAAGACATATTAAGGGGATTCGTGAAATATTTTGCTTGATTTGATCGTTGTCTAGGTCTTATTTTGTAATTCGTACAAAATAGAATTTCTGGACATAGGTAGTGTGAAAAATGCTGTTATAACTCTTTCTGCGTTAAACGACGAATACAAGTGACGCTTTTCCGATAAAAAGAATGTCTTCAGGATATTTTACACGCAAAAAATAAAGGGCGTACTTTAATGATTACAGACTTTAATCATTATACGTGAGTCTCTAATCTCGGCTTTTCTAACTTTCGATATTCTATTGCAAGTAGTTAGAAGAAGAGGCACGTCCGCTTACTATATTTGGGGTTGTGAAGTCAGAACGGTACTACAAAGAACTTTCCTCTTGTTGCTCTTAAGATAAGACGTAAACAAACTATGAATATCGAAGATCGGATCGGTAATCAAAACAGCACCAAAATCATGAAATCAAAACTATAAGTGGTTTGGAATGTATTAAGAGAGGTAAGCACCCTATACTGGAGATGTTCCGCTCACACAATTTCGCATTTTTGCATGTGCCGTTTTTCATGGTTCTTGTTACTTTTGAACTAATTCGATAAAAACGTTTAACAATTGTTGTGGGCGAGAGATCTTTTCGATTGATATCTCCTGCAGGCGAAACCAATACTCGTCAATGTATATCACATGCCACGAACTCCCTTGCCAATCGTAGGCGCACTACTCAGCCAATCATTGACCTCTATATTTAGGGAATCCTTTCTATATCCGTAACGCACCGTCATAGGTTGGTATAAAAGCCTGATCAATACCTTGATAACCCCAGAAAGTAGCATCGAGTCAAACAGTAAAAACAAGAGTCACATTCCTTCAGTTACTTTGTTCATTATGAGAGCCGATTTGAAGAAGTTTTGGGGAATCATTAGTGGAAAACAGGAAAAACCAAAACCTCGATTGCGCTCTACTTCTTTGCCTCGCATTACATCGTATGGCCTCATTGGATTTGGAACAATCGAGTGCGACGTGAAGGAAAGGAAGTGTGTACCGATGTGGTACGAATACGATCTCGGCAAAAAGTGTAACACTTTTCCAAGAAGATCAACTAAGCAAAAAAGGCATGCGAACATTACTGGACGGGACCGGAGCTCATCAGTCAGTGGTGAAGTACAACCTGCAGCAAGTCCTAAACATCACCGCCGTGATTCAGCAACAAGACATTTTAATATAGACGTTGATGAAACTATAAACGAAGAAGATGTAGATGAACTTAAAACTGATTTGTCAGCTTCTGAAGAAACAGCAAAAAAAGACAAAAAGACTTTGACAACAGTTCTATGCTCTACGGATTTGTGAAATTGGAGCTGTGTTTTTGTGGTCATAGAAGATTGCAAGGTATGGCTTGCTGTCTCGTGATGTAGACGGCAATTAGTTCGTTGGCGAACGTGTCAACACACAGACTAGAGTCACGAAAAGGCGAAATGTGCCAGCTGTACTTTGTCTAGGCTGTTTCAAGCTTTTATGTAAGAACCAAGTGGGCCAGTAGCCAATACCAATGGAAGCGAATGTCAAACTCTGACTTTGAACTGAGGCAATAACTTTCTCCAAGACAATACCCTCAAACTTTCGGTAACTGATTACTCTAGACAAATGAGCCCATCTGATTACTCGTGTAATCAGTCGTCAATAGTTTCTGTGCCCAGTGTGTTTCCAACTTTGCACGGCTATAAACCAGTGAAAATCAGGCGAAAAATCCTCACTGTTTGGCACAGTAGGTTTCGGGATAGATCGAAAGAGGCATCTGGGAAAACTAATGCCATAATATGCTGAAAGGCAGGGCTATTTTCCTTGATTCTTCCATGATAGTTCCTCTAACCCTGGTTTTTCAAGTATCTTTTCTTTTCCTTGGATAACGTCACGTAGTTTCTGCTTGCAACGTAATCTTAAGGTCAGAATAATCAAAATTCCTCATTTGTACTATATATTTATTGAGGTAGAAAACATGTATTTCAAGCATTATCCAAAATAAAAGAATTGTAAATATATTGTTTGGTCTTAATGTTGAATGTTTTGGTTCTTTTCAAATACCATGGTTCGAGGATTATTGACCTTCATGCTTTAATCGCATTGAAAAAGTACTTTTTGGATATGCTTCAAATTGTTGCCTGTTCGAAAAAGAATCGCTGACTTTATGTGGCAACAACAAAAATCACGTTTTTTTCAGGGCCATGGGATTGGATAGGGTTTCAGACGTTATTTTTGCCCACTAAAATGCAGTGCAAAAAATAATTGTGAGTATCAAATTAGTTTTAGATTCATTATCAGAAGTTATACATGACCTTGACAAGGGTCTAAAGTATGATCTCCTCGTTGACTGGTGCCACAATGTCTGCCGTAAATTGAAACCTGGGTACTGGACTGCTCATATCCTATTTTACAAATATGGAGAGCTACTTGCTTTTCACATTTCAATATGTTTTTAATAAGAAATGCTCTTCTTCTTTGGTTTAGTAAAAGAGTTTCATAAAAAGTAAAGTTTCAGTTGTAGCTATGCCGTCGTTTAATGGATTGCATAGCTACAACTGAAACTTTACTTTTTAAAACATCATCCCGCTGGTTAACACTTGAGTGCATGTATGATTGTATTTTTCATATCTTTAAGGCATAAAATATCAACATTTGAACCATCTGTCCCACCAAAACAGTTATAAAAGCATAAAAGAATCTTATGATTAAATTGGCACTCAAATTCGAGAAACCGACTGTAAGGAGAACTGGCCAGTCACCTTGAAAAAGCGCTTTTGCATAAACCGCGAAATACTATAAAACAAATATTTGTGTTCTTGTAACGATTTCTTCCTCCTTAATCTATACATTTTTATTCCATTCTTTCATTTTACAATGAATCGGTAGGTCATGGATTTTTATGTTCTCATGTTCTCGCCTGTAAAACATAATCATGCCCAGTTTCAGTAACAACCTTCTCTTCCTAGTCTTCTAGGAATTGTTTCACGGGATAAATGCAGTAAAAAACCTATATGATCAACCACTCTTGACCTTAACAGATTTGCAAGCAGATTAAACAGACATCATATATAACTTTAGTCTCTATTTCTATAGCCGTCATCTCGCTATAGAATTATATGTAGGTTAGGAATCCGTTATGCGACAATTGTCATTTCAACGTACTTCTTTGGCAAAGAGAAGCAATGGAAATGGTGTCCAAATTATGGAAGGTTGTTCTGTGTCAGCACATAATATGACGTTGACTCGTATTTGTTTGTTTGATAGTTCGATGAAAGTGATGATTGATAGTTTTTGTTTTTTTTGATAGTTTGATTCCAATGAGGGATTGTTTTGTTTGTTTGTTGTTTGTTTTTAATTTTCTTAGTAAACAATCTGAATTTCCCTTGGAATATGCATCTGGTTAGATAGTGGAAGGTACGAAGAATCAAATTGTTTTTTTTAAATACTTGGTACATATGGACATCAGTTAGTGATTTACCACTGTTGAAAGATAAGAAAAGTAAAGAAACATAATAGTCTTGTACAAGTGTTCTTGCACGTTCGTAAATAACCTAGTTATGTCATACATACTCCAAAGCAATTGAACTACGTCAGAGTTTCTGTCTGAGATTTTGTTTATCGCTACTCCAGAGAAATGCGCGCGTCCAGGATGGCTTCGCAAAACATTATCCGAACTAAATGATAGAAATATGTAGGGGCGTGTGCAGGTCACAGTCTTGAAAGCCTGAAACCGCAAAACAAAACTGTAAGACCCCTGACCCTACAGCCTAACGGACTTATCATACTTTATCACTAAAACAATCGAAGCATCCATAATTGTTTACCGTATCTATGCATCGTTTCTCTGGGATTTTGTTTTCTGGTTAAAAGAAAGTGAAAAGAAATTGATGCCCGCTTTGTGCGATTGAGGACACTCCTATATTGTGCAAGTGATGAGTTGGGCTACCTGTGCGATTTTTATGTTTGGGGTTCCTGTATTACATACGTTGATACATAAATTCCAAGTCATCTTACTTATGTTTCAATGTTATGTAATGGTTATGTTAATTTGATTGTGTTAAGATGGAGCCCAACAATTGTTTCCTGACCATGTGCAAGTGTACCTCTTATTTTCATTGATCTTTTATAGCCATTAACTTATTATATAACTGGCTCTTGAACCAGACTGGCAAGTTTACATATGAGCTATATGAAATGTTGTAAAAAATGTCACTTCTTTCAAATCTGCACACTATCAGTGATATATTTTTGCAGCTGCATGTTTGTGAATGATGAACTTTAGTTTCAATTTGTCTGTTTTGTGTTCAGCTATATCTGGGTGCATTTTGTTTCACTTTCGTCACCCCCACAAGAAATGCATGTTGTTGTTTAAGCTTCTCATTTTACGCATCAGTTTTTGTTTATGCGTCTTTAAAACCAAAGTATCTTGTCGGCCATATCAGACTCTGGTCTTGTTAATTCAACCTTATGTTTTTATTTCAATTGAATTGAAAAATTTCATCTTGGAAATCATTATGTTTTGGGGATAATAAGAATTCCAGGCTTTAATTTTAACAACAATCATGTTCATTTGTACAATTAGTAATGGATCTCCAGTCACATTTCAATGCACCAATTCATTACACAGCAAAGACAACACAAAGCAAAATCATATAAGCATAACAGAGTGTAGCGTCTTTTCAGAACATACTGCTGAAAGATGCTTATAAACACTTAATCTATGCTTACATTTTATAAAATTTGTGTGATCTTTTCCACTATTATGTTCCCAAGATTTTTCCTTTTGTTTATGAACTCAAATAGTCATTCTAACAAACTTCCATACTAACCAAGATCCACTGAATATTATTATGTGCTATTTACATTTGCTAATTCCTTGTTGACAGTTGTTGACAATCAAATATAGGCTATATGTACACTGTTTTGGGTATTATTCAGTATTCATTTCAGGCACAGATCAAATTCAAGATATTCCTGTTACATGTGCTCATATTCAGTGACGCCTACACCCATTATGTAGGCATGCAAAAAGTGACCATGACCTTTAGAAGTAAAATATACTATTCTCATTCAGTATTTCTTCTTGAGCAAAAACAACCATACTGTACAAAATGTAATTCTTGTTAGCACCCTTGATGTCAATCTCTGTTACCGTAATTTCTGCATCCTGGGCTAATTTCCATTGAATTAGTTTGTTTTGTCTTGTGTATACACATGAGTTATCTTATAGTTTATGGCACATCTCATGTTTTCTAGGATGCTTTTTGAACTCATTGATGCCTGCATCATTTGCATTTGACTTTTATAGTAGTTAAGTCACATTGCTTATATACATAGCTACAATTTCTCCACGCAATAACTTGGCATTATGAATATAATCAGTAAAATATAGCTCAACTGATATCTAAAAATGGAGTTTTACTGGTTAAGTAAATGTACTGGAAAACGTTTGTAACCATTAGGAAAATAATTGCACCTCACTACATTACTTGTCAAAAAAAGAGGAGTTTGACAACACAAGTAAGTTGCATAGCATCCTTTTAAAAAAGGTTATTGTACAAAAATGAGAAGATCACCTATAAACAGAAATGATTCAGTTATTGACAAAAAAGATTATGTGTGACAAATAATTGGCTTGGTACTTTATGTGTAAGCAGTACTGAATACATTGGCCTTCATGTAAACAAGCAACACCCAGAGTATTTGAACCACATGCAAGCAGGTATCTATGATTAAAACGTGAGTAGAATGTAGGCAAGCATGAAGGTTATGGATGACAGATTACTGGTGCGTCACGATGCTTAAATAGCTATTCAAGGGTACTGAACTGAAACCCAGCTCAAGTCCTGTTTACTGCCGCTAGAAATTTCTCAAAATTTGGGTTTCAAGCATGATTTTTGGTTTGTTGTTATGAATGTGAGAAAAACCCCAATCTCATGAGTAATTGTGATAATATTGTTGTGCTAGGATTCCTTTGGGATTAAAGTTTAGTAGGTGATGTAACTTGTTCTAGTTCACTGATTTGCATGATGACTCAACAACTTCACATCATGCAATAATATTGCTTTAATTCCACTGAGTTCATCACTACAATTGCAGTGTTTTTAGGTTTCTTGGTTGTCAAGATCTTTTCAAGCTTTATTTATAACTTCTGTCTTTGAATTTGCTCTCATTTACTGCACACAATGGACAAATCTCATGGGGTTCATGAGATGGGTCATGCATAAGCCTGACTTTTAAATTCAATGAAGTTAACTCATTTTGAGCAAAGGATGTAAAAGAAAATATAAAACTTCCAAAGGGGCCCTTGTAAGGAAAGATCTGACAGTAAGCATATGACGACATACAATACTCTATGATATTGGTTTACCACAACAATAAAGAATGTATATTCAAATGACATAGAAAGAAGTCAAGCATTTAAAGTAATTATGTCTTGATAAAAATTTTGAATTCAACACCTTTTATATATATATAGGTCTATTTTCTTAGTAAAGCTTGGAACGAAAAAAAAACAAAACAAACAAAATGTTCTGATATGGATCAGTTGTATTTTTAACAGTTTGAAATTCATAGCTTTTCAATCTTTTACACTTGATTAACAATAAACTACATATTCATAGCACATTATCTTTCTAATTCAGACTGAAAATTTTGCATGTTATCACAATTTCCAGAAAGACAGATAACACAAATGCAAACACCATATTGTTACTTAATAGATAATAATTGTTGTAGGATAAGTTTTGATATTATTTTTGATGGTCAGTGGATCATGTGACTCTGATGCCACAATAGCTTTAAACATAGTATTCCCAATAAAAAAGATTGATAAAAGAAAATGTTCAGTATTTTGAAGCAATCGTATTTTCATTCAATTCAATTGCTTTTTGATAACTTTTCCAAAAAGAATAAGTTAATTTAACAAAGTAAAATTCTTTTTAAAACACCAAATATGCAGACAAGGAAAATTGCTCAACCATAACATCAACGCAACACAGATAAATCCAGATTCATTTCAAAATATCTTTAATTTATACTATTTTAAATATAGTTCACCATTTCAAATCTACAAACATTGCTTACAAATCATAACACCTTAATTTTATGGTTTAAACAAGTTATGAATGTTAAAAAAAACTTAAATGCAATAACTATTTACAACCGGTAAACTAAGGCAAAGTAAGCTTTTTACCAAATCATATGTACATTACTCTAATATATAATAGTATGTAATAGTAACAACTTGTGGGGTCATCAGATTTTATGCTGATCTTTGATATTCGGTAATCTAATTTACATAAATTACAAAGTTATAAAAAGTCCTTTGAACGACTTTTAAAAGTTTATCTATTCGAGTAAGCTTGTTTATAATCTAGAGACTACTCTTTTAGGATTATTCGATGTTAGGTTACTGAAGACTTGAATTAAGCTGAACTCGTGACAGAGTCTAGTTCTAATTGCGTTGTGATTTAAAGAGAAATATCAAGTTTATGTTTCGCTTTTATCAGCTAACTCTACCAAAGCCATAGCACCATACCATCGATCGCGAGCATCTGACATCCGTCGTTTTGCTTCTACTCTAGCTTTTTTTCGTTCCACTACTTGAGCTTTGACGCATTCTCTATCGAGCTTTCGTTTGAGTTCCCTTTCCTCAGGCCGCGAAGGCGCTCTTTCATCTCGTTCCTTTTCGTACTTGTCAAGCCACGACAGCACAGCAGCACGATATTCGTTTGGTTCAGAATTCTCGTTGTTTAGAACTTCTTTGAGTGGTAATTCGGTATGTACTCGTTTCAGACCAGCATACGGATGCATAGGGCAATGTCGATTAGCATGAGTGAATCTTGTTGTACATCCATCCGCATTACATAGGAATGGTTTTTCGCCAGTGTGAAGCCTTTGATGGGTCTTCAGCTGACCGCTCTGAACAAACGACTTGCCACAGTTTGGGAAATCACAAACGTAGGGTCGTTCTCCACTGTGTGTGCGCTTGTGAGCTTGCAGTGATTTTTCGCGCGGGAACACTCGACCACAGACATCACAACGGATCGAGGAGCAAGATTGTTTTCCTTCGGCGATAAGTTTATTCACGATGTCTGCTTTTGGACGACCTCTCAATGTAAAATGTGAAGGAGAAATCGATGTGCTTGGATATTTTGTGCTAGTTTCTTGTCTTGGTGTCGAAATCAGCGGTGGAGGACTATTCGGTGGGGTGACTTTTGGCGGTGAAGTTGGCGACGTACTCGAGGTTGTCGACGAAGGTGACCAAACGATGACTGAACTTCTCGTCGGTAAACTTGACTGCGAGTTTTCCAAAGCATTCCCTGAAGTGGGAAGAGGACAAAATACCTTTTCCCCAAAATTAAAGTAGTTTTGACGTGGCTGTGGGAAGTAAATCCCACTCTTTTGAAGAGAAATTGTTAACACATCCGCCATTTTTAAAGGAAAGCGCGTAAATGAAACGGTTCAGTGATGAGCAGGCTCTTTATGAATTTCCCGCCGGCTTATAATGTCGTGTGACGTCACGAATAATTCACATTCCCGCCAAAAACGTATAACTTCTTAAAATAAAAACACTTTATATTTCTGAATAAAGAAATTGAGCAAGAATTAAATACACTTTTAGATAGCCAAAGCTGAAAGGAATTGTTTAGCTATGCCATAATGTTTTTGGCTAAGATTTGAGGAAAACAATATTCATTGTGTGTTTGTTTTGAATTATGACATTTGCATTTCAAAACCCTGCATCGTATAATAACACGTGTCAAATTGTTTGCTAAAATGAATTTGCGTTGCAGTTATAATTTAGTTTATCTTGCAAATAACATTACAATCGATAGCCTTAATATATCCAGGAGATAATTAGGTGTTCCTTCGTGAAGTTACGTGACTAACCTTACTAAGAGGCGCATGTGAAGATGGACAAGACATGTGCTCGGTGTATTTTAATAACTATGCAAAGTTATTTAAAATTTTGGCGCGAAAATTTCTTTGTGCCTTTGGCGCGCTGCAGATTGATTGCCGCGTGCTCTAAGCATTTTTGTGATATTACGCTTTGTTGTCAGTTTTATAGATCGCGTCAGAAATAGTCAATGGTATATCACGCACTAGTATTTTCAGATGTTCGTCTAGTTTAAGTCGTATCGGACTGACATTTCTTCATGGTTTCAGTAATGCTCTGATCAGTTTACATTGAGCTATAAACACTTTGTAGGCTTTGATCCGATGCATTGTGTTACAACAAACGACGCCTTTAAATTAAATGACTGTTTTTAAATAAATCATGTCAAAAGTAAAAATATTGTTTATTTGTGTTGGGCATATCTACCAGATAATATAAACATGACAGAGCATTAAACTACTGTACTACTCAGCTCTTGCTATACCATGAGATATCTACGGATTGTATCTCCATAGGAATGAAGAATGTTCTTATAATATCACCACCCAAAATTACATGGCAGGTTTAGAACGAGAGGCCAATGTCAACTCTCTCAATTCATGATGAAATTCGAGTGTAATGCATTTGTTGAAGGCGCTTTACGTTTGGCCAGTGTTCATCATGGTGTAGTTTATACTCTTCAGCATGATTACATTGACTTTGGTGAAATCATGACTGCGGAACAGATTTCACGCATGATGGCTAAGTGTGTGCTACAAAGCACATGTTGGCAAACCAGAGTAGTATGCCTATGATGAACTGACCGTGAAGTTTTTTTGACTGAGCACATGGGAAACTTACTCAAATACCGATATCAATACCCTTATTCATTGCAGGTATTCTTAATCTGATGCGGTCGAGATCTTTCTGCGTTATGATTGGATAATCGATTGACCCTAGATTTGACCACCAGTTTTACCCATTGTGTCATTGCATAACTATACATGGCAACCAAAAGTCAGCGTTTGGCGCGGTTTGATTTGACTATCAAGATTTTAAAAGTTTTCAGATTTGCAGTTGGCTGTTGTCCAATTCATTTCGACACCTGCGCCCCAGTCGTCAGTCAGTCTTAATCCTTTGTCTCTCCTCAACATTCTTTAAAAGTTGTTTTCTTGCTGTGGACTCACTTCAATGATTTGGTGCGCTCAGAAAAACACGTGGAATATTGATGCATGGATTTAAGCTCTATAGTTAGAGAAGCGTCGCATGCATGTAAATATTGAGCTGATTGATACTTTTGAAAACATGTATTCAGCAAAATAGTTTTTTTAAGAGTACGTTTTTCAAGTATTTATTTTCTACTGTGATGGTATTCAGTCAACAACCACAAGTAAGCGTGCCACGGCCGTCACCCGCTACATTCATTATGTAGTGTGACCTGCCGATAATGAATAGCTTTGTTTTTAGTAAAATTATTTTCTTATCAAAGGTGGTGCATTGAGTATGCATTACTTTATTCTGTCAGGATTTGATGAATTGTCCCATTAGGCTTTGCAGGTGGCTGCAAAGTTCGCTTAATTTCTTTGTCACCGGTTTCCAGTAAAAATGACACTAGCATGCCTGCTCAGTACTTAACGATTGCACTCCATTTGAGTAAGATATTTGAGATTTGTAAAAACTACAAAAGACAAGTATTCGTAGCTTTTTGATCATACTGGATAATGTTTACGGGGGACTGCTAGGAAAGGTACCGGGGATACTCGCCGGAACTTTTTAGGGGTAAATATTCGTGATTTGGATTTTTTTAGGGTGCCAAATCGCGAGTTTTTGGAAACTAGCATTTCTCTGGGTTGTCGGAAAAAAAGAAAAAGATCGCATCGACGTCGGTTGATGTACTAATTCCAATTACTAAGTATTTTGTATTATTATTAAAATTGTATTTGTGGTCCAGCCCCTACCCTCCACCCCGAGATAATGATCCTTCGATGGACTTCGGTTAGTGGAATTGTCACTCCAATCATAATAACTATGCTACAATTCAACACCTCGGATTGCTCACTTGACCTTCTAGCATTGTCCAGCGGTGCGTCAGTCTCCGTGATAGGTGGGTACGGCGAGGGTTTGGAAACACCAAAAGCRTTAGTAAAAAATAAGTTTCGGGGAATGAATCACGTTGACGTATCTATTCAGTGTAGTAAAGTATTTCACTGATGTAATCTGACGTGATACTAGCATGAAATCAAGAAAGAAAAAATCAACTAGGTAGATCATGGACACAAACAAAATTAAAGAGCCTCTCTACAATAATCTTCTATAGCTGGATTTCCTACAGCGGGAAGATTGTATAAAATCCCCTAATGCAGTTGTCGCTTTGATACGCTTTCTAAAGAAATATGCAGGTTGGTGTGTAGTCTTGAAGTAAATCGGGACTCCTGTGGAAAAGTCAACACTTGTTGGATTCCCTGTGTTATTAGGAGGACATCACGTGATAGAATTCTTTCTTTTCTCTTTGTCATCGAGCAGTTCGTGTTGATATAGGAATTTTCTGGGGATTTCCGACTTGATTTGCAAGATGCCTGGAAGAAAAGTGTTTGTAGTTGGTGTAGGCATGACTAAGGTTGGTCTCCAATTATCAGACCTTTCGCTGCTTCGATAGATTTTGCAATGATCTRCGATTTCAGCATACTTAAAATTGTTTTGATAGTGACCGTGCACAATTTGACTGATTATACATTTGATCGTAGTTTGAAAAACCAGGGAGAAGGGAAGATTTCGATTACCCAGACATGGCAAGAGAAGCAGGTAAGCTTATTGACCACTAAGTGATATTCAAACATAGAGGTCTTTAAAACCTTGCACAGCCATGATCAAGTGAAACATGCATCATGTTTGTGCCTTCATTGTATTAATATGTCTGACATTGATTTCGGCTGTTAAGCTTATATCAAGAAATTGATAAATATTGTATGGATGCAATAACTTAGAAAATTTTTATTATTATATATGACTTGGAACATCATGAATTTAAAGGAATGCATGTGAAATGTCATCGATCTATTTCAACAGGCACAAAGGCCCTAAAGGATTGTGGTATAGACTATACAAGTATTCAGCAAGCTGTTGTTGGATATTGTTATGGTAAGGGTTATCTCAAGTATTTTATCCAGTGTTAACTCTCTGGAATTTCATGGTATATTTTTATTCATGCCTAACTTGTCCTCCAGGTGATAGTACTTGTGGACAAAGAGCACTGTATCAGCTTGGTTTGACTGGAATTCCTATTTACAATGTATGTAAAAATTATTTGAATTTAATATGCCGCTTTGCACTTGAAATGTTCAAACTGACAACTGATGTCAAAAGATTTATATATATTTATATAATAATATTACACTGTATATAGGTCAACAATGCATGTGCCACAGGATCCAGTGCCTTGTTTCTCGCTAAGCAACTAATAGAGGGAGGTAATTATTACTTCCATTGTAATAAGTTTTGTTTATTTAATTAGAGAGTCTGATAATTCCTCCTGGTGTTGTAGGTATCAGTGACTGTGCACTTGCATTAGGTTTTGAAAAAATGCAAAAAGGTTCACTTGGTTCCAGGGTGAGTTAATTGAACGAACTTATTCAGAGATTCAAGCAAGGGAGGCCTTATATTAGTTAAGAACAGAATTTATCAATGCCATATACCTCTTCTGAAAAACATGAGAGTTGGTTTAAATGGTCATGTATGGAAATTCAATGTTATTTATTTAAAATTTATAGGACTATAATTTTCATCTTTCATTGTAGTATAACGATCGCACCTCACCAATGGATAAACATATGGAAGTGATGTTGAATAAGTATGAGTTTGCACCAGCTCCAGTTACACCACAGATGTTTGGCAATGCAGGTCGTGAGCACATGGAAAAGTATGGTGAGTTAACATTGGCCTGTATAATTTAGAGCTCAAGCTGACAAAATGAACTATCATTTATTTCAGTTACCCTCTTATACATGTATGCATGCTTTTGTAATTTAGGTACCACTTCAGATCATTTTGCAAAGATTGCGTACAAGAATCATTTGCATTCAGTCAACAACCCGTAAGTCAGTTTAGTGTATTTCTTGCATGTTTTTACTGCTGTAATACCAAATATTAATCAAAGGATAAAGCTGAGTAATTGGTACTCTGCTTGCATTGAGTTTTTCTGGCTATACTGTTCATCAATGTACAAAATATTTAGATTGTAGTATACCTGACAACATTGACCACATCCGGTATGAAACCATTGATGTGTAATTATTATTCATATCATTGCTGCTAGGAACTCACAGTTTAGAAAAGAATATAGTCTTGAGGAAATCAAGAAGTCCCCTATGATTTATGATCCACTAACCAAACTTCAGTGCTGGTAAGTGAACACTTGTTTTAAACAAATTACTGTTTAGTAAACATACTTAATAATAGTACTACTAAAAGTATTGTAGTACATAAAGCCATGTGAACTGTACTGGTAGTAGGAGTTTATTTCTTTTCTAATCTAGTCCAACATCAGATGGAAGTGCTGCAGCAATACTTGCAAGTGAAGAATTTGTCAAAAAACACAAACTGGAGGACAAGGCAGTTGAAATCGTTGGAATGGAAATGGCAACTGATTTCAAGAGCACATTTAATGAAAACAGCTGCATAAAGATGGTAGAATGAGCTCTCTTTATTAGATAAAGTGATTAGAGTGGATTTCATATAACTGTGCAAAAAACGCTACACTTTCCTGAAGTGACCGTGACATGCCGTGGTGCTGATGTACTCTTGAATCCTTATTTTCATTTGGAATCACCACCAGGCGAGGTTCCATGACCTTACCGTGCCATGTCATCCCTGTATTGTGATCCGTGACTTTGCATGGTCATATGAAACTTTTCTTTATGTACAACCTGTCAAAGGGTACATAGACTTCCTCTGAGTCTTTTCTGGTATCTTCTTGTTAATCTTACCACATATGTAGGAGAGGATTAATGAGATAACACTGAAAACAACAACAAGGAACTCTAAGAGACACATACCTTGAAGTTTATTCAATCATGACTTTTCTTTGGTCATAAGGCGCTATTCAATGACTGCTTTTATGACACTATATGGAACATTTAAACAGGTCTATGATTTTTTTTAGGTTGGATATGATATGACCAAGGCAGCAGCACAAAGACTCTTTTCTAAAACAGGTACTACTAATTATTTTCTTCTTGTCATATGTGAGATTTGTCTTGAAATAGTCAAATGTCTTTCTATGCAGGGCTTTCACCCAAACAAGTAGATGTTGTTGAACTCCATGATTGTTTCTCCACAAATGAACTTCTTACTTATGAAGGATTAGGACTGTGTGAAGAAGGTCAGTGCTTGACATGGAGTTGCAGTTTTAATCTCATTATGCCACACCTTTGCATCCTCCCCGTCACCCTTCCAACCATTCAATATAAATGAATGAAGGCTGAAAATGTTGTTATTGAATTGCTGCAGGGCTCAGGTCATGTCAAAGTTTGAAAGGACAAAAACTTTATTATACTATTATTTTCTTAGAATATATAGGTTTTTATATTCAGAAAGATCAGCAAGCATTTTAATGGCTTGTAAAAGATTTATTTAGCGAATTGGGAATTGATTGGTTTTTTATTTGTCTAAAAATGTGTGAGGTCAATTACTCCTTTCAAAACCCGATTTGGCCAATCATCTAGTGAATTTGGAAGGACATTGTCCTTTGACCAGCCATTATTTCGAGCCCTGTGCTGAAGGATGAAGACAAAGGTATATGAATTATTACACATGCACTATTTTAACAATATTGTTATCTGTTCATCCTCTTATTATAGGCAAAGGAGGTGAATTAGTTGACAGGGGTGACAATTCTTATGGCGGAAAATATGTCATAAATCCTAGCGGAGGGTTAATATCTAAAGGTCATCCACTAGGCGCAACAGGTAAATACTGCATTATTTACACAGTGTAATTTTGTCTATGTAATAATGCAATCCATTCATTTCAATTCCAGGGCTTGCCCAGTGCACGGAACTGTGTCTTCAGCTACGTGGTGAGTGTGGCAAGAGACAAGTCCCTGGTGCTAGGATAGCACTTCAGCATAACTTGGGCCTTGGTGGTGCAGTTATAGTGGCCTTGTATCGACTTGCATTCCCTCAAAAAAGGTCTTCACACATCATATTTCACTGTTCTTTACTGCCTTGAACAGCTTGTTAAATGCTGTTAAAAGTTCATCCATAAATTTTGGTTATTTTTTCTTCAGGTTTCATCCTGTCTCTACATATACATCAGCGACCTCCCCTGCTGGTTTCAAAGCTAAAGTGGTTTTTGATGAGATTGAAAAACAACTGAAAACAGTGAGTTGGTTTTTGAGTATTATCCATTTTAAAAAGTCTATTGTGTTGTGTCGAATAATATCTTTACCTTCCTATTACCAGGATGACAAAATCAGAGATTGTTTAAAGTAGAGATTGTGATAGCATGATTGGTATGTGGATATGGAACTACAATTCAATGAATATCATTCTTTATTTCCCAGGAAGGAGCTGCTTACGTCAAAAAGATCAAAGGAGTTTTCTGTTTTAAGATTCAGAAAGGTCCAGGTGGAAAGGAGGGAGTATGGATAGTGGATGCCAAGAATGGAGCTGGTTCAGTGAAATTTGGTTCCTCAGGTTACAGTGATGAATTTATTTTGTACATACTAACATTAATTATATATAGTGGACCAATATCAGAAAACAAATTATTTCCAGATACATATTGATTTTTAAATGATATCTTTTCCAGACAAAGGGGATGTTACAATTACCATCAGTGATGATGACTTTATAAAGCTAATGACAGGAAACCTAAGCCCACAAAAAGTAAGTTTCTGAGGTCACACTGTACAGAGAGGAGATTTTGTATTAGTGTACAAAGGCACAAAACATGGTTAAGACAACAGTCCAAAGCCAGGTGGTAGATGATATAGAAATAAAGGAAAATTATAGTGCTAGGAAGGTTATTCCTGGAGAAAGACCCTTGGAAATAAATTCGGAAAAATTAATTAAAATTATTTCCAAGGGTCTTTCTCCTGGAATAACCTCCTTCCTAGCACTATAGCTTTCCTTTATTTCTATATCATGTATCTCATAGTGGCATGCAGTCCTTAAATGTAGATTACCATTTGATTCCTGAGAATGACTGACAATACACGGTAATGGAAAACATTGAATTGAGATCCAAATTAGCCTACATCAAATCCAGACAAACCACGGTTAAGTCCAACTTAACCGTGGTTTGTCCGGAACCGATGTGATGCAGGCTAGATCCAAATGATCACAACTAAAAAAAGGTTATGGCATTAATACTGTGTCAGGCCAGTGATCAAAATCTGATCTAGTACTTTCCCGCATGAAAGATGGGAGATTATCACGAATTATATTTAAACATGTATTAGTAAAGGAATGATCAAATCCTTGCTATATTTATTAGGCATTCTTCAAGGGTCTTCTGAAGCTCAAAGGAAACATGGGTCTTGCTATGAAACTAAGACAATTCCAATCCAAAGCTTCCACTTTGAAATCCAAGTTATAACTATTAAAGAAACAGGACGAAATGATTCATGTCGATATACAATTGAATTTATACTTAACGGACAGTAATATGCAACATCTACATGTGTATCATCCACAACTAATACAGTATATGATAAAACAGTGTCGTGATATATGGAAACAAAATAACTGACGTCTTACCCATCAAACAAAGGAATGTTGTTTTAGAAACATTAAAATACAGGATGATCAAGTCCATTTAACTTTAATGTTTGCAATTCCACCCAAGTGTGAACCAAGCCTTTTACAATCACAATCTGATTATGTAATATGATAACAACAAGCTAGATAAACAGATTTTTATTAAAAATCACCAATGGATGCCTTTTATGGTACCAACCAGATGTTTTTACTTATAAAGTTGTTTTGTTTTAATAATGCATTGTCTTTTCTCAAAGTGAACCAGTTATTACAGGATTTATATTGGTTTTTCTACCAGTGGTAATACCCTTATAGGGCAAACCATGCCCTCACCTTCAAAGTGTCCATGTCTAATGGCATGTAACTGTGAGGGTGGGGAACCAGGGATTGGTCGAAGTCTCTGATATTTCCTCTTTCTTTGCTTTCTTATTCCACGACAAGAAAGACAAAGCGCAATAAGTGAAAGAATTGTTGTTACAGCAAAACAGCCTGCTAACAACAGAAGGTAACGTTTTGGAATTAAAGAGGTTGTTGTTGTTCTGGTGAGTTTGCAGTTTCCAACATGACAGTCTTGATCACAATGCCTTGCTGCACACTTGAACTCACACTTTCCAGACAAACAACGCTGAACACAAAAACCCACGTCCCCTGTGCATGCCATCGTACAACCATGGCAACTTTGAATACAATTTCCAGACGAACACACGATCTTTTTGCATGGATAGTGACCACACATCTGAGTACAACCTTGGTAGATGTGTCTGCCAGTATGTCCGTCACACAAACATGTCGTCGTATTACATTTTTGGATACATCGGTCACCGGGCAAAGTTGAAGTACATTCATCATTTGACATCACAATAGATACAACAGTCATTAGCACAATGATGACTTCCATTATTGACCTATCAGAAAATAGCAGTTAACATTGTCTTAGATATAGCTTAGACACAATCAAGATCGTTTAAAGATATGAATAGATTATTTTACCAAATATAGTTCCTGACCGGGAATAATACCAAGGTCCGCAGTACAGCTGGACACCCATACTCCCCGTCAGAAGTACATAACCAGAAGTGTCCATCTCCGCATTGGTRTCGCCACCATCAGATGTCCCGRTAATCTATTTTTAGACAACCAATCACAACGCGCGCACATATTACACGGCACCTGATTGGTCCTTGTTGATCAAGAGCGGACAAGAAAGGAAAATTATGTAGTCGATGGAGGCGAACGAAGTGAAGTTTTCATTTACGAGAATTTTACACCTTTTGCTGAACAACCATTTTTGAATTCGATAGAAAACATTCTTTACTATATAAGCAATGTAGCGAAGGAAGTTCAAGAGCAATATAGTCTGCAAAAACAAGAGAAAAGTTCAGACAAAGATGAAGAAAAATGCAAAACAGCGTGCGAAAAAAGTAGTCTAAAGTAGCTTTCTTACAGTCAATAGAGTCGGACTTAAAGAAAACCAAAGGTTAAGTAATTTGATAGACAACATACTTTACTATATGAGCAATGTAGCGAAGGAAGTTCAAGAGCAATATGGTCTGCGAAAACAAGGGAAAAGTTCAGACAAAAACGAAGAAAAATATGCAGACAAAAGGAGTGCGAAGAAATGTCTGCAAAAATGTGATTTTTGTGGCGAGAATTGTTCTCGTTTTAATAAGAAATCTGTTCTAATAGAATTAAAAAGCCCTTAGACTATANTATTGACTGTAAGAAAGCTACTTTAGACTACTTTTTTCGCACGCTGTTTTGCATTTTTCTTCATCTTTGTCTGAACTTTTCTCTTGTTTTTGCAGACTATATTGCTCTTGAACTTCCTTCGCTACATTGCTTATATAGTAAAGAATGTTTTCTATCGAATTCAAAAATGGTTGTTCAGCAAAAGGTGTAAAATTCTCGTAAATGAAAACTTCACTTCGTTCGCCTCCATCGACTACATAATTTTCCTTTCTTGTCCGCTCTTGAAGTAGATCAACAAGGACCAATCAGGTGCCGTGTAATATGTGCGCGCGTTGTGATTGGTTGTCTAAAAATAGATTATCGGGACATCTGATGGTGGCGATACCAATGGGGAGATGGACACTTCTGGTTATGTACTTCTGTCCCCGTACGAAAAGCAAAAGCGTACAAAACCTTCTTACTTTTGCTCGTGTTAAAATATGAATAGGCAAACACGGTTAGGTGCCGGATAGTGATTATATTCATAAAACGTTTTTTCCCTGTAATTCGCTTTTCAAAAATTCAATATACTTCCGAGGTTTAGAGGTTCTTCCATAGATATCTTGCTTTGTACTCAAGCTTTGAATCACTCAAACTCCGATTACTAAAGACTGCTATATTGTATGTAATTCTCGCATCGGGATTTTGTACAAACTGTCCGTTCCACTCATTTCGATTTCCGTATTTTTCATACGCTTATAATGGACGGAAAAATCAGAAAACGCGCTACAATAACGTTAATAAAATACGTATAAACAGTTACCTGATGTACTTTTAGTCCCAATTCCTCGTTCATGTACAAACCCAGTTCTACGTAGCTTCATGAATATATATTCGCGAAATTTCCCGGAATCCACGTGTCGTGACTCGTATATGTGGCACGCCCGTTTTTTGCTAGATTTCCAAACTTCTCAGTTAATGTATAAAAGTATTAGAGAGTACATCGCTCCTTGAATGGTCATCAGCACAAATACTATAGAGTTGTGCGAGAGCTGTTTTACTGCCGAATGAAAAAGTGTTGCAATGATGAATTATTCCTGTTTACTCGGAATTGACAGTTCAGCAAACATCTATGACCGATACCGTTTCTGTGTCAAAAAAATTAGTATTCGTGAAAACTCATTCTTCACCCATGCAGAATTCATATTAACTCGCAATCAGACAATCTACAAAACCTGTTTTATACTTACGAATTTTTTACCAATCGACACGATGAGAGGCCGGATCTGACGTCATATATCTTTCGCGGACGGTTGAGTATATATGTGTATTTTCGTAATAGAGCAAACGCAGGAAAAACATGAAATAAAATAAAACTAAATACTAACAAATAGAAGCTATTTAGAGACAATTTGTCAGTATGAATAAGGCCAGAACGCCATGAAGATGAATCCATTTGGGACCATTTTTAATTCATCTTGATTGTGTTCTGGTTTTTTGGTACTGACAATTTCTCTCTAAATATTGACTCTAAATAGCCGCTATTTGTTAGTATTTAGTTGATTTTTTCATGGTTTTCCTACTTTATGGTTTTCCTATTTTTCATGTTTTTTCTGTGTTTGCTCTATATCCAAATATTTCAAATTCAATAAATTTTAATTCTTTTTCATAGACTTAGATATCATCACGAAGTACTACAACGCGTTTGAAATTAGGACATGGAAATTCATTCACATAAACTACAAGAATTGATGTCCAGCTTCATGATAATCGTGATAAAATATTGTTTCCTGGTGGATGTTTCATGCTCTCCCGCTGACCGCTAATTTCACGTATCAAGACAATGCTGGCAGTCAGCCAAGATTATATTGAAAAGATGTACCCTTCGCTGCTTCCAGAAAATACTTTTTTGGTACGTTTTCTTTGATTTTTAACGCTTTGATCAGCTTTGAACTGAAGGGTGAAACAATAAATATACCATGAATTGCAAAAATCAGAAGTAATTTGGAGTTTGTTGAGGGACAACAATTTTATCTCAAATCAAAGAAAACCGTAAGGAAGTACATGACTCCGTGAACAGAACATCCAAAGAAACATTTTCAGCTATAAATACTGATAAATAGCCTGGTAGACGAATAATTACCTGTTAGTGGGATAACTGCAAAATATCTCCAAAACCCTAGTGTAAAGCTACATAACCACTTGGTTCATGGCACAAAACGAACTACAATAGGTATTAATGCGGCTATTGTGTTACTATCAATAACTGTTGTGTCAATTTACAAGGGGATATCCTATTGTCTGACCTCACCACAGGTAACCCCATCAATCTGCACATACTACAAATTGTATTATTCAGAACTATGATATAGGTCATTGTTCCGTATTGCATATCATTGACTATATATGGTAAGAATAATAACACAAATGATTAGTGATCAAGTAGGTCTTATCGCAGGCTGTACAGTCAATGTACTAAGTGATTTCATGGAGTTTTGGGTTTCCTGTGTGTTGACAGTGTTTCTATGACGACGGCATTTTCCGAGACAAGGTCTCCATAAATCTAAGAAGGCTCTTTTGTATTCTTGATTGCTGAAGCAATAAATGGAGGGATTGACACAAGAATTAAACATGACTAGAACAATGGTAAAACGATGAAATGGTGTTTCTAGTTTGACCAGTCCATAGGATGACAAGACGTAATAAACTTGATTTGGAAACCAGCAAGTAGTGAGAAGAAACGCTACTAACATGCACATGCGTGCTAACTTTACACGAACTCTCGCACTAACTGCACCAATAGCTGGCAGTGGAGGTCTCTTTAGTTTGATTGCAATATGCAAATAGCTAGCCCACGTGATTGCTATTGGAATGAAGAACGTCACTATGGTTGACATGGTAACAGATGCTTCCGTTGAGTAACCGGCTGACTCCCATATACAAGTTTGTGTTTCTTTGGAAACGGTCATTTCAAACAAGACTGGACTATGTATAGACAAGCTTAGAAACCACAGAAGACACAGGTATCCCGTCACACGTCGATAAGAAAAGTTCACTCTATAGTGTATGGGTCTTACCACTGAATACCAGCGTTCAATAGCCATGCACGTAACGGTGAAGGCTGATGCTTTTCCCAAACTGTAAACGATGTACTGAGAACCAATCACACGACAGAACACTTCACCGGAAAGGCCTGGGGAGACTTGAAATGATGAAAGTGAAATGATGTAACCAGGGGTAACGCCTACAAACACACCTAAACAACGTTGATGTAAAAATGTCAGAAAATCCGATCACTAACAATCTATGTTTATAGCGTTCATTGAAGAACTAGTTTTTTTCTCTCTTTTTTTTTTTTTTTTTGGAAAAAGAAGAGGTTTGCCCTGAGTACATAGCGATCCAGTTCCGTTCAATATATGACGACCAATTTCCGTGTTATTCTAAGCTTCTTTGTATACATTTCACATCAAACACCTACTCATCTTCAGTCCCACATTAAACACGCTTGGACATCAAGTCCGCTTTGCGCATGCTCGGCACTTGTATTACTTTAAAAACACATCGTCGGTCATCAATTGAAAAAGATAAGTTCCGGTTCAGAAACGGACTTACCAGTTATCATGTCTGTCAAAGCTAAACTGAAGATAAACACGTTGTACGACCACGACAACATACGACGGTTTCTAAGGATGACGTAACATAATAGTCCGTTGCTAAGGAATGCTGTTACTGCAATAACCCCAAATGTAGCTTGAATAATGACATGACCGTGAGCAACTTGATAATTGTCACCTTGGCAACAATTTTTACTCGAATTATTAGTAGTGTGATTCATGTTCCTGTGAAATGAACAGTCATCACTGAATTAAACATATCATGTATGTACGTGCCGTTAATGTGTCGAGTATGCCTGTAATTACACCAGTACAGCATACTGAACTGCGAGGATTGACACATCAATGATTTGTTTTATCTGAAAATTAAATAATGAGCCATCTAGTTCTTTTCGAAGGACTTCGGAGCAAGAAAGCCAAAAAGTTATACCACAACACATTTTGAAGTTTGGACAAGAGAGGTTGATGGTGAAACCAGTTTTGAAATCAGGAAAATAAGTCAAATTTAGTACGTTAGAGAAAAATAAAAAAAAGTGGAAATAATACCTGTCGCAGCAAGCAGCTTTCAAGAAATGATTGGCAAATAGAAGTGAATGACGAACATTTAGCTACAGAAAGAGCTGATTATTACTGTCATCGTCGGCCTACAGCAGTTATATATATTCCATGCAGCTAAAACTTAAGTTTGCTTGAAGCACGTTTAAGATCCGCTGATTGCCTCTCCAAACGTTATCGAAGATCAAGAGCTTCAAAGTTGAATCAATATGAAGTGACCAATAAGAGTTGTGCAATATGCCAACCAGTCCCCAGCCAATCACAGATTGCCTTAAATTTCCGTGCAAAAAGTGTTTATTTATCTAAAGGAAGAGAGGCCCTATTCCTTGTCAACTGAACAGCAAGCACTTAAAATCCGGAATTAATCGTATTAAAAATTATATGATTATGCGTAAAAGCAGGTGATATATTTTAAGTGATTGATTGTTGCAACTATATTTGGCTTTTACGGGGTTAGAGCCTGTTGTACCAAGCGGTAGGCTTACTCGATGAACCCCGAATAAATTGTTAACATAGAGGATATTACGCACATGGTCCCGCGGAGATATTAATTTTATCCTTCGAGTGTTGAAATGATCGGTATTATCTACTAAATACCCCATACCACTGAAAAAAGTGGTTCCACAGTCAGAATCCAACTGTCGGTCTTCCTTTTTCTTGATTAAAACCGTATTGTAACAGTATTGTTATACTGAAGTGGTTCCGCGGCTTGGGCTAATGAAAGGTTTGACGTAATGTTCCGCAGCGGGGTTCTCAGTCAGATTCACTTTTATCTAGTGTGGGCAATGCGTGGCTGTAGCAGTATAGAACTTTCTAGTTGGTGTGAAAAGTTACCTCCGTATCTCAAAGCGTAATGTAACGTAAATACCGACGAATGTGCTATTTCCACTAGTGAAAATAACAATTTTTGTAAACTGATAAAAATGGATAAAAATTTGATATGAAATATGATAAGATCATGAACAACTAATCGGACAACACTTTATCCCGGCACCGTAGCGTGTGGTCTTTTAATCTCGTCTGAAGTGATACTTCTTGTAAAGAATATACAGTTAATTTAATTAATTACAGAACATTGTTGATTTATAGATTAGATTTAGATAGTCTCCGTAGTTAAAGTTTTGCGGTTTAGATACCTTCATGTACCTTTATATGTAATAGTATACTTTAGCGTCCCCACGCACATATAAAAGTGTGATTAAGCGTCATTTGATTAGTTGTAAGAAGATTTTAGCAATAAGGAGTGTCTGTGATATTGGTACAAGCGGGACAGATATGTAAGTARCCTTTCATTTCACTATTAAGATCAAGGATCATCGTACTAAGTGTGGGCTATTAGATCTTTTGAATCATTGTGACCTTTGATTATTTCAAGATTATGAAAAGACCTACGGGGTCGTCTTTATGTAGTTAACGCCCACTTAAGTTTTGTTAATAGAGCGTTTAGCTCTCAATCAGTCCTAGAACTAGTTTTCATCACTACAATTTAACATATTGCATGATCTAGTATTATTTTATGTGTTATTGCATTATTGTATCATTGAATTTGTAAAGTATTGATTGCTATTTTTTGCCATGCTAGTTACATATTTTTATCTGATTAGAGTTTTTGCCACAATTGTAATTCTAGTTTACGTTCGTCTCAACATCGATCAAGTCTTCGAATAAACCGTTTCAGTTAAATTGTGCCTAGTCTTATTCCTAGACCGATTCCAGTTGGCGCGGCCAGTAAAAATACATGTTAACCGCTACACTTCTCAACGACATAGATCACTTCATCGTTTACAATGATTATTTATCAATGTTGCTGTAGGATCACACACAATTTAATTAATTACAAAGAAATATATCTTTTTGAATATCTTTATACTTAATGGCTGAAATCAAGGTGTTTTCAGACTTGTCGCGGAGTATGCACAGCGCACCGTTCTTAATTCTCTTCAGTTGTACTGTTTGTTTTGAAATCATTTAATGTGACCTATCATGAAATGATAACCACTACTTTAAAAAGGATGTTTTAAACTGTCAAATGTGACGTTTAAAGCTCTAATGTGATTGGTCCGCATAAATTATCATTACGTATTGTAACAGATATACTTTTCGCTAACTTACTTGGGATGTTTAGTTGATGCACGTCCTTGCCGAAGAGATAGGACCTTTGACCATAATCATTATTGCTTGATAACAACATCCAGAGGCTGCACACTGTTACAAACTGAATGATGGGTGAGCAAGTCGGTTTGAAAATAGCCTTTGGCATAATAGCAGTGCTTGCTTTGACTTGCAATGGATTATTTTGCTTGGTTCTATTGATGGATCGTAAGATGTTGAATACTGCCTGTAACGTATTACTATTCAGCCTTGCTGTGACTGACATGTTCACAGGTAAGGGTCGATGGTGCACAAAGAATATTACAAAATATCTTTTGAATAATGTTAATGTATGAAGGTGTACACACTTAACCCTTCGTAGACTCGCCTCAACAGGTTAACAAGCAGATTAACTTTAGTATGATAGAAACTACAGCTGAGGAATTTTTTAATGGAGCTTAAAAAACGGCAGAAAAATAAAAAGAGAATAAACCGGATTAAATTATTGACAAAAATGCGATGGTTCCATCAAATCCTTTTACTTATTGACTTAGTCGTCATGCGTTCACGTGCAATGTTGTAATCTTCAGCCCAAATCAGCAAACGAATCATTCATTTTCGTTATCATTGAAAAAAAAAATTCTTTTGTTATAACTAGAAGTCTTTGGTGCCTGCTGCAGCAGTTCCTGATAAACTGAACGTTCTCCACAGAACAGAAATTAAATAAACATTTCCATCTACCTGTTATAACAAATACTTAATGTAAGAATGCACGGGTGCTTAGCTATCGTATTTCCGATTCCTTTTTTTCTATATTCAATGCATCATTAGTAAAAAATACAGCACCTGTCACTAAGATTCATCAAAGGCAGTTCACCTACGACTGATTCATCAGATTAGTAAATTATCAAAAATGGGAATTTAATCAGAAATCATGGACTCATGATAAAATTGATTCAAACTTGGGTTAGTCGTTTTTATGAATTGACTTTAGAAGGTTTTCATTGGCGAAAGTAGTGTTATACATTGAAGGCAGAAAGTTGATTGGTGGTAACTGATTGTTGTGTTGCACCATGAACAACCATCAAATGCAAACTCAATCTTGACATTCACGTCAAAAAAAATACACAAAACATCTCAAAGCATCATTTAATGCAAATACGTTTTAAAACCTGACATATTGTAAAACGATTCCACGACGGCCTCTCTTATGATTGCTTTATAAATTTTTTATCACTAATCATGAAGATAGGCAATTCTTACATTATAAAATACAGGATAAGATGGTCTTTAATAACCACATGCATGTAGCTGGACCAGCGTTATGACGTTTCTAATTTCTTACATCCGATGTATATTAAAAAACATTGAAATCAATTTGCTTATCCATGCAAAAGATTAATATGCCAAGCTGGCAGATTATCGGTGCTTTTGCTAGGCAACAATGGTTGTTAATCAAATTAGTTTTTGCCATCTGCTGTCACGTGACATTCACTTGACAGCTGTCTTTTTCAATATTTCTTGAGACCTTTATTCATAGAAATTAAAAGTTATATTTTTGATGAATGTATGAAATTGTGTCGAAAAAGAATTAATTTTTCACAAAATATGAGTCCTTTTGATTTATCCGAAATTTGAAAAACAAGTTGCGTTCTCTTTTCTCATCAGGCATCAGTCTGTTCGTCACGCCAAGCTACATCATTGGTCCAGACGATTTTAATATCCCAGAAGGCATAGCGGGTGATCTATTTTGCCGCCTTCTCTACTCGCAGTGCATCGTATTCACGTTGGGTATCGTGTCAGTGTACACGTTGACATGCATGGCTGTAGAAAGGTGGTACGCCGTCACACGTCCGCAAAAGTAAGTCGTGAATCCTTGAGAGTCAACTTCAGTGTACATACCACTTCATGGTCAGTGGTAAAAACGATGCAATAATGCGCGATTTCTTTATTTTTATCTCTTTCAGATACAAGCTGGTATTTTCTAAAAACAAAAAGTACATTTATGTTGGCATCGTGTGGGTTCTGTCATGTCTTCTAAACTCACCACACGCATTGGAGATGGAGCTTTCTTCTAACAACAACTCGTCCAAACCACAGTGTGTATGGGTGACAACCATTACCAACCAGAAAACTAGATATGCGGTAGCCTTCCTGGAATTCCTTGGCAAATACTTTTTACCAGTCTTCGTAACCTGTGCTACGTTTATCAGTCTGATGCATACGGTCAAGAAACCAAACAGTTTGTTTCTTCGTCACCGTGGCAACGCCGGTGTTCGCCTTCTACGCATGTGTACTTTCACTGCTTTTGTGCTTGCGTTTTGTTGGTTCCCAAATCAGTTGTATTATCTACTGTTCAAGTTTCACGTCACGCAGCTCAACGTCCCCGGTCATCACGCAACCGTGGTATTATGTATGTTCAATTCCTGTGTCAATCCATGGGTTTACTGTGTCACAAACAAAACATACAGAAGAAAGTTCTTTTCACTTTTCCGCAAGTGCTTTCCACAGCTGGGAGAAAGTGAAACGTCCACTGCTTTTGATGGTTCAACCGCGCCAGGAGGAGAAGCAAAAACTTTATCAATGATAAGATCATCTGCTTCTTGTATTCTTGAAAAAGTCAAACATTTTGACAACAAAGGAGTTGTAGATTCCGATGACCTTGAAATCATTGAGCTATCTAAACAAAAACCACTAGAAAATAAAGAGGAAAAACAAATGGGACGCATTTTCAGCCCTTCTAATGATCCAGAAAATCATCAAGAACACCAACAACGAGACTACATCTGCTGAGAGAAAAGATGAAGAACTTTATTCAGTAGCGCTTGTTGCCCACTATCATATTAATATATAACCCGTGTGAAATGTAATCAAGAAAAAATGTTATGTTTGTACAAAGTGTATTTCCACGACAATGCTATTTCGTAAGGTCTGGCCACGTATGTATACTTTGTAAATTGACGTATAGATTTCTAAAAGATATGAATAATATATTATATATACAGCTATTTGCAATAATTCTGACCCCCCTACACTAATATTCATATATATCAAAGTAGCCTTAGAAATTATGGGATACCAATGCTGATATTTTTTTGAGAAAGTACTCATTCTGGGCAACTCAAAAAATATATCAGTCATGATATCCCATAATATTTAAGGTCAGTTTGATATATATGAAATATGGCAGAGGGGGTCAGAATTATTGCAAACAGCTGTATATCATATATATATATTCGATCTTGATGATCCAACAGTTTCAATATTTTGTTGTGTTGAAGTAAGAAAAGAGGAAAAGCACAATTGAAAACAGTACTTTTAATAACATTAGTGAAATGAAAGTTTCACAATCAATCAAAAGTGATGAGACCTCTGAAAAAGGAATGACCTCCTGCAGTAGTAATATGATTATTTCATGCTGTCTTTAATTACAGCCTTTTGCACAAATTATGAGACATTTTTATATATATAGATATACCTAACCAAATATCAAAAACACCCAAGAAATTATGGGATACCGTCGCTGATATTTTGTCTGTAACAACCTGATGCTAGGCAATCATGAAAAAATATAATAGAGATATACCATAATTTCTGGGGTGTTTTTGATATTTGGTTAGGTACAGCCTTTTGCAAAAAATATGAGAATTGTCTAAATATCTAAATATCATAATATCCATATCCATATATTGTCCGGAACACGCGGGTTTGCTAGAATAATTCATTGTTGACATCGAGAAAATGTTCAGAGCTACGGATAAGTCTGTCGCCAAAAAAAAACTAAACTACAAAGACAAGGGACTAAGAGCATCGCGCGGGATTACCCATCATGCACTCGATATTATGATATTTAGATATTTCAACAATTCTCATAATTTTTGCAAAAGGCTGTATATTTATATATATAAAAATGTCTCATAATTTGTGCAAAAGGCTGTATGTAAAAAGTATATGTTTCATTCTATATATGGACAGCAGTATTCTATATATGGACATCATGACTGATGCCATAATCTCTAAACCAATTGCTGAAACTAAAACGAAAAACATGTAATAGTAAACATATAATACAAATATTTTGTACATGGAAAAAGTGTGCCGACATGGTAATTAAAAGAATCAGCGGTTTGTTTGTTTTACTTGTGGACGGATATTGCCATCTAACCATTTTTTGTAATTGCACCAGGGTAGATATATCTGGTGACTATAATAGAAAAAAAAGAATCGCTACACGCAAAATCAGGAGTTTATTGCAATAGTTAGGGTTATTTATCATAGTACAACAAAATATATATCGCCGAAGGATTCGTCAATATTTTAATTTGTTAAACGTTTCAGCAACAAATTGGCAACCAGGTCAAGCATTGTCCATGAGACAATTAACATGCCAATTTCTTGTCGAGACAGGAAAATTATTACAATTATGTTCTCAAATCTTGATGGAAACTACTCGCCACAATAGTACCACAATAGAGTAATGCGCCAACATGGATTTACAGGTGAGGTGTGCTGATTTTGCGTTTAATTTCGTGAAGTTGTTTCTGGATCATTTTTCTCCATAAGAAATGAAAACGATAATCATTGTATCCATTAGCGGAAATGAAAGATGACACAGTTCTAGTTGTCGTAAATAAATGTTTTGTGTCAATGTTATACGGCAAATTAAAGAAATGATATGAGAAAAAAGTTAAACATAATCAAATGCTGCCAGAAAACCGTGTTATTGGAAATTATGTCAAGGTATGAAATGTCACTGAATGGGCAGCTGGTTGCATGCCACGTCCTGTATCATGGCGAATACTAAGAAAACAAATCATAGCATGCACTCAGTCAGGCTTTATGTTTCATTTCTTTCGCTTCAGGCTAACTAGCAGCAATAGCCAGTATAAGTTGCCTCCTCGGTTTCCAAACTATATCATTATTTACAAGTAGAGGATGGCCGATGCAATCGATTGTTAAAGAAAGCAGCTTCCATTATTTCAACTCATATTCTTGTTAACGTAGATGATGTTAAACAACACGACGTCCGTTTTCCCTACCGTCACCTCTTACAGACAGGCCAGCGAGCAACATGTCGCTCTGCGTACAGGTCTTGGGATTATTTCCTTCTTGTCATTCACTGGAAATGGTTCACTTGTCTTGATGTTCTTTAAAAACAGAGATATGCTGAGGACACCGTACAGTATGTTCATCCTCAGCTTGGCGGTTACCGATATGACTACAGGTTGGATGAATCATTTATTTTTTATTACTCCATTGTTTATTTTTGTTTCTATCTATTTATTTATCAATCCATCTGTACAAAGTAACTCAGTAACTCAGTATGTATTGCTTTTCAGGTATCGGACTCATTCTTACGCCTGCTTATATCATTGGCACATATAATTTCCCTATCCCAAGTGGCTTTGCCGGCGAGCTGTTCTGCCGCATTGTAGCGTCGTACTTTCTGGTGTTCTATCTTGGAATAGTGTCGGTATTTACCATCGCTTGTCTGGCTTTAGAAAGGTGCCATACTAATACAAAAACTAAAACTAAGATTTTTCTTGGTACCCTTGGGAGGGGTAGCTGTGTTATGTCCTCGTTTTTTGCATAATCAAAGTTTTTCTTGTCTAGATGGTATGCTGTTGCTCGTCCGGCCAAATACAAAGCAAGCTTTAAGAAAACCAGAGTACTTGGTATCTTGTCTTCGGTTTGGTTATGTTCATTTGCTCTTAACCTTCCACAAATGTTTGAGATGACACTCGGCCCTAATGGCAATTGCGTTTGGATAACTCTGACCGAGGGGAGACTGAGACGAGCTGTTGCTATTATCGAGTTCAACGGGAAGTTTTTCATTCCATTGGTGGTAACATCGGCCGCATTCATCAACCTTGGGCTAAGAGTACGACAATCACCTGCACTCTTCAAAACCAATCACGGCAGAGCAGGTATTCGTCTACTGCGCATGTGCACTGTTACCGCTGTTGTCCTTGCTATTTGTTGGTTTCCAAACCAGTTCTATTACCTGTTATTCAAGTTTGACATCACACTGATGGATAATCCAGCCCATCACTTCACTGTGATTATGTGCATGGGGAATTCGTGTGTCAATCCATTCATTTACTGCGCTACTAATAAGTCCTACCGAAAAAAATTTATTAAATTACTTTGTCCTTGCTGGAAGAGATACGTTGGACCAGTAGATGGAACGAGCGAGTCCCCACGACAACTACACAACTCGATTTCAGGTATAAAACGCAATGAGGCCTTATCCATGACTCTTACCGATATTGGCTGAAAAATACACATAATTGAGAAAGCAGAATAAAATGCCTTTTAAGAATAGTGAACTAGCCTCATCGCGATTGCATATATATTGCATGCTATCATAGTATAACCTCATATGACATTAGGAATTGCATGTATTCTGTTCTTATTGGTTGGATCGGACGAAAAGCTGATATAACAAAGCTGGTTCAAATTGTAAAACTGCTCAGTTTATTCATATAGTCTCAAAATAAAAGTGGACACCGATAAGAAAATGGACTTTAAGATATTTATTATCTTGGTAACCTTACTTGCCTTTGTACTCTGTCATCAAGAACACGATGGTAAATAATCACAACTATTTGTAAAATAATTACTAAAAATCGTTTAGAAATGACCACCATGAATGATTTCAGAAAATGAACACGATACCAATTCATTTGGTGATGAAATAGAAGTCAATCAGAGTAAGTCTACCGCCCTATTAGTTAAATTGGTTTCCAAAGAACAAATGTAATTCCAAGTTTTATCTGACCACTAGGAGAGGGACTTGATGGCGATCTATTTGAAGGCGATATCATGATGGACCCAGCTGAACTGGAGCAGCTTAAAAGAGAATGGAATAATAAAAACTAGGTTATGTACATGAGCTGCAACTATTTGTATACCTTTAGCTTATATGGATACAAGTGAACAATCACTAAAGGCTGCAGTACAAGCGCAGTATCGCATAAACACTGGAAAAAATCGCGCACTTTAAAGGTAGTAACTAAATTTGATGTATATATGTAAGTGTCGAAAATGATGTAAATTACATCAAATTTACATCATTTTCACTTACATCATATTTACATCAAATTTACAGCCTTTAAAGTGCACGATGTTTTCCAGTGAAATATTGTCAGTCAGCAGTAGACACAGTAAGTCAGTCATCTCCCAGATGTATTTCGTTTCTATTGTATTATGGCGATAGGGAGAACATAGTATTACTTTTTCAGTAGAACTACGATACAATTTTTTTTAGTAAGTGCAAGTGATCTTTTCGTCACTTACTTATCCACTTATGGTTGAGGAATCTTTATATTGCGACATCTTTTTGGCTCATTCCCAGGTTTACTATTTCCAAGCTAGTATCTAGTCCATTCACATCTGTCTTTAAGTTTGCATGTGATGGTTGCCATGACACTCGTCTTAAGTCCCAGGTTTGCACAAAAGGTACAATTCTGGCGAATTCTCTTCGATAATGTCTGTTGCTTAGACAGTATAACCATGGGTTGATGCAAGAGTTAAACATTCCCAGTAAGTTAAAGATCCAATACCAAACATCAGGTAGCGTAAGAACATTGAACTTCTTAAGCACAAAGAATGTCTCTGTAGGAAACCAACATATCGTCAAGAAGAATGCTGCCAGAGCACACATGCGCACTAAGCGTTTTTTAGTTCTCACGTCGTTGTTTTGCCGATTTAATTTATTACGGGATAGATTACTCAAAATATGGATAAATGATCCCCACGTGACCACACTCGGGATGTAAAACGTAACAATCACGTGAACAAGGATGAAAACCTTGTATGCACTGTCACCGTAAGGTGGTTCGGTCCAGGCACAACGACCATTCTCAGCCTTCGTTATAAACAATCCAAGGCACTCTGTCACAGCGCTGGTTGCCCATATAAGGGCAATGTAACCAAGGAGACGTCGCTTACCGAATGCTATTTTGTATTTGATTGGTTTAATAATGGAGTACCAGCGATCGATGGCAAGACACATGACTGTAGCATTTGACGCTTTTCCAAAGCAAAATAAAAAATACGTTGAAAACACAACTCGACAGAATGCTTCAGCAGAGTTACCATAGAGACGAGGAAATGTCTCTTGAGGCAGTACGTAGCGAGGTGTAATGAATAAAAAAAACCCTGAAACACACAATAGCAACGTATTAAGGGACGAAATAATTATGACGGGGCTAATTTCATTGTAATTTCTGTCTCTTATCGCGCTTCTGTATTATGATAGTCTACTTCACTTCCTTTCATATCTATGATGTGTTTAATATGATTCAATGAGGAATCACTAGAACTCTATACAAATTCAGAACTCGAAAGTAACAGTTTTAGATAACATGCAAGAGCAAAAATGGATGCAGAGTCAGTACGATAATATACCTGTCAGCATATCAGCAACAGCCAGATTAAATATAAGAATGTTGTACGTCTTTCCTAACATAGCACGTCGTCTTATCATCACAATGCACAACAACATATTGCCTATTACGGACAGGCCAGCGACCACGCCAAATAACACGCGCATAGTCTGGCTTGCATCTTGCACCATCGATGATGTAGTAGTATTATTCATCTCAGTTCTGGATGAACAAAAAGACAAATAAATATAGATGTTTTCGAGATGTTTAACCGAATCCTCGCAACGAAATTAATAACTTACTTTTGATGCCTGCGAGAAGATCACGTGACAAATGGATTGCTTGCAGTTTTAGAGATAGAGGATCGTAATTGGTAACTCTTTTCAAACCAGACCTATACTCAATTTCACTATTTTGCAAAAACACATACGTTTGAAAACAAAATGTAGCAACAGCTTGTACAACAGCTGCTGAATGATGATCGACAATCTCTCGATTCTTATCCAATCAGCGTTAATTCACTATAGGAAATCGATCATGAAATCAAGGTTTTTATCCTCCAATTTAAAGCTATTTGATCTAATTACTAGCTTCACTCGCCAATCGTGCTAAAGCCTGAATTGCGATAAAAAAGCTGAAATGTAACAAAGTTTACACAAGGTAACTATAAAATACAACCCAAGAGAAAAGGATGAGTAAATACGTCAACTTTGATGTTAGAATTGCGTCACCTTAGAGAAATCTAAAATTAAACAGGACTCTTTCAGTCCAAATCATCCTTCAAACATCCAGTGTGATTTTATGAACTGTGAAAAATGTACAAAATGTTTCAGCAGAATCTGAACGAACAAAGTCAGAAGTTGAGTTGTTATTTGTTTTGTATGCGAAGATGTACACAAGAAGCAGGCCAGCTGTAAGGATTCACCCATTTCCGACATTTAAGTCACTAAAATAGGTTGTGATTGGGGAACTAGCTACACCATACTATTACAGAAATTACCCTAAACACAGAACGTTTCTAATGGTAATCTCGCTGTCTTCCGGTCTAATGTCAAATTGGTTCAATTAAAAAAAACATTAGGGGTTAGATAATTAGAAATAAAAACTCAGACTTAAATTTAAATATAAAAGAAAATCCCCCTGTTTTCTTCTAATAGTCGCCCCTTACTACCACAATATTTTGCAGAAAGGCAGAGCTTCTATGGACTGCGTAATGAACATCAGGATGGGGGAGTGTCTGAGAAATTAATAAAACTTAAAATGAATGTTAATCACGTATCCGCTTATGGTTCCCCTATATATACGAACTGAAAATTAGATCACAAAGTTAGAAAGCTGTCCAAGGCTGTATAGAGCTTAGAACTAGTACTCCTCAACATTGTAGCTTGATAATGAAAGGAGGGGCTATTAGGACGCCCAAAGTAGAGCACTGACCGCACCATCGGGAACTCCGCGGCATACTCTTAATCGCGCGAATGGTGGTGTGGATTCGTTTACATCCTTGCCACTGGAAAAAATCGCGCGCTTTAAAGGTTGTAAATTTGGTGTAAATATAATGTAAGTGTCCAAAATTCTGTAAATTAAATGGAAATCATTTACATCAAATTTACAGAATTTTGGACACTTACATCATATTTACATAATTTGCATAATTGTTAGAGAAATTAAACGTTGACACCAGTAAAAATGTAACAGTCATCATACATGCCATCTGTCAATGGACGAGACTTCCTTAGCCGGTTCCTTATTGTGTTATATTTGAATTTGATAAGAGTTATCTTTGCTATCGTTGTCTTTGCGTGTGGGTTTACTATGCTGTCTACTACCAACCAACGGAAAGCCGTACAATATGCTGATATGAAATGTGGTCGTCCCGGATATCTTTGGCGGTAAAAATACTTAACCCTGTCAAAACGCGTCAACATGATTCTCACGAAAGGAAATACAGGTTGAGAGTTACTCTACCAAGATGCCCTCAGCCCAATCTATAATTTTCGGATTTCTCGCAACTCTTACTTTTGTGGTAAATTTGTGGTTGTGTACGGTATTGATTCGGGCACGTCGATCGATGTTGCGAAAGACTCCATACAACGTTCTCATTCTTAATTTGGCCATCGCGGATGTACTGCAAGGTATTCCTTCCTCTTTTCTTATTTTGCATTTATCTTAAAAAAGAAAGGTTAGACTCACTAATTTCACTATAGATTTCTAGATTTCAAATCCAACATAAAAATCTCATATTAACTTGGCTCCTCGGCCAGTTTTCGCCCTTGAAATTCGCAATTAATAAGGCCATCAATTTCAGTTTATTCACTGATGGCACATCAATACTTGTAACTATTTTTATTCAGTTCTTTTTCAATTGTATGAGCAAATAACACCATTGAACAATCGCAAGATTTTATGATCAAAAAACATCTTTATTCGCCATATTCGTCAAACTGATCAAACCTTAATTTCAATAAATAACAATACGTTTCCTTCCTGATCATACATTAATTATATTGTAAAGTTCGCGTGTCGGATTATCGACTCTAAAAGTCAACAATCAAAGACAAGGGATATTACATTTTCATTAAGTAAAAGTTCTTTGTAAGAACGCCGGCGCTACGCCTTCCTCCTTAGAAATGGTCAATCAATCCAGCTCATTTGGTTACAGTGTTCCAATTTTTGTTCTCTTGTAGGGCTTTTACTGTTTATTACTCCAGGGTATGTTTTCCCGCCAACTATTTATCCGCTGATGTCTGGTTATGGTGGAGAGTTCTTCTGTCGTACGGTKTTCTCCACCTATTTTCTGTTCGTATGCGGCAAGGCGTCTAATGCAAGTGTCATGTGTCTCTCTATCGAACGCTGGTATGCTGTTGTCAAGCCAACTGAATACAAATCTAAATTTGGACGTCGACGATTGTACACATATATTGTCCTTATTTGGTTGTCTGCCGCGATAACTCAAATATTTGAACTGTTCATCGCTACACTAGTAAATGGATCTTGCCAATGGATTATACCATTCTACGGTGAAAAGGCAGAAAAAGGTTTCCTAGTTTTTCATGTGGCAGTCACCTTCTACATTCCGAGTTTCGTGACATGGGTGTCTTTTATCCATATCTGGATAAGAATGACAAGAAATCCACTTCAACCAAGAGCCGAGAGAACAGCAGTCAAAAAGAGTGTAGTGCGCATGTGCGCGCTAGCTGCGTTGTGTCTTACTGTTTCCTGGTTTCCAACCGAGACGTTTTGGGTACTGAAAAAATTCCAAGTCGTGATTCTAACACAAGACTTCTACTTGGCGTTCAATTTGTTAGCCTTTTTCAGTTCGTGTGCCAATCCATTTATCTACTGTCTCACAAACAAAAACTACAGACAAGAGGTTTTTGCAGCTGCCAGACGAAGTTGCTGCTGTCCTCACAGACGACAGGCCAAAGTTTCTCCTTTTCCATCCACACAAAATTCAAATGAAGACAAAACACTTTATACATTAAGATTACAAGCGTACAAGAGGGAACCTGCAGCATCTCATAATTCTATTTAAGTACTTGCATAATCAACATTGACTATGCGTGTATAAAAATCCAATACTTGTGACGGTAAGGTTTTCTTATGTTTCATCTTTTTTGTTCTTTGAGGAGTGCAAGGTCTAAACGCATCACAGAGAATCCTGAAACGTTGATAATCAGGGACACCGTCTTCATTTGACCTTCGATAGCTGCGTCGATCATTTATGGACTCACAAGACTTAAGTGGAGGGATTCTAGTTTGGAACGCTGACATATATGGCTTTTGAATCTCCGTGGTCATTCCCTTTTTATAAGAGCTATGTGGAAAATCTGGAAAGGATGAATGGACAATAGAACTACGCGGAGTGCCTACTGGTGTCGCTAATGGTGCACGTAGTTCTGAACAACTTAGATTCAGAACATGGCTTTTGTTAAGTTCATCTTCGATTTCAGTCACAATCAAATCTTGCAAAGTACTTTCCAATTGTGAATTGACATCGATGTCTTTTCGTTCCCACGAGACTCGCCTTAACTTTGAGGCCGATTTAGTGCTTCTTTTCGGTAATTCTGTCAAACACTTTGGAGTGTTCGTGGTCTGTTTTACTGTTGCCTGACTTGGCGATAGGTACGGTATCTGTTCACCTCTTTGTAACTTTTTTACGTCCAGTATGTAATGATGATAGTTCTGTACGTAATCAAAACAACTTGCTGCAAACTGACGTCTTTGGTCTTCTGCTGGCCACGTTTGTCTACTTGCTTTACCATTATCGAGTATTCTTGTGGTCAAGTTTTGCCGGATTTCTTGTTCACCGACGGTTGGATCTTCTCTTTGACTCGTCGTTTTGAACATATTTGATTCACGATGTAAATTAGATCGGCTTCGGGAGTCATCTAATTGCCTGAGATCTCTTTTCTGCGGCGACACAACACCTCGTTCAACCGGAAACATTGTATCACCTCTCACTAAGCGAGTCTTTGATTTCCTATGTGCGGCCTTAGGGCGAGAAGGACGAAAATTATACGCTAACATCACTATACACGAGGAATGTAGCAACTAGTGATACAAGAACGCTAACGTAAACAAAACACACATATATATGTAAACATGTCACCAGTAATCAATGAGATTAGACTACTGCTTTTGAATAAATCGAAATATAAAATACATCGATAAATCTGCCAGAATTAAAAAAGAAAAAACTAGCCCAATCTATGGCCATGGATTGCAAATTTCATAATTTATTGTGACTACTTGTATAATAATGATGACTTATACTGAATTTAATCATATTAAAATAACTATATGATGGCACTTATCGTAATGCCTTGTTAGCTATATTCGACGATCAGATGACTGAAATTCTATTCCGCCAACTATCAAAAATGTGCTGGTAATTGTGTTTCAGTGGTAAGATCAAAACGAAAGCCAGCAGACGCACTCCAAGGGGAGATTTTGATTCACTAAACAAATGGCCTTAAAATGACAAATAACATTTGCTGAATTTTAGGATTGTACCTCATAAAGGTAAATTTCATAAAATAAAGAAACCACGCCCTCTATTATAGGCGGTTAAAAGAGGTCTATATCCCAAGACGGTTCACATTTTGTGATTTTAATTTACTTTTTTCTAAAGGTGCGCTGCATATTCTCTCTTTGAGTCTGGAAACAACGCTATAACGGAGTAGTGTCAGTATCAAAGTCGTTGATTCTGAGTATAATACATATATTAGGTGAGGATGAAGTAGAATAGTTGTCTGGTTGAATATTGACACGTTTATTTGTTTCAGTTATTATAATAGTGTGCTAGCTTCTACTAACGCTCAGTTGATATTCCACAGATTTACAAGATTATGTTAAAAATGACATTTCACTGTAGTTATCACACGTTTTTGTCACGGTGCGCAAGTTGTTGTGAATAATAATTGTATGCTGATATTAAAATGTAAAGAGTACTCCTGATCAGGTTGGACCATCAAGTGAACTCTTCTTATCTGTAAAACCTGCAAGTGAATAACAACTATTTAATACATAAATATAAAAAAATGATTAAGAATTGTATAGTTTATCTTCAGTAATTAAAGAATAGAAATTCCACATACTTACTCTTATCTGATGACTCATAATCCATAGTACCAGCTTTTCCTCTTCCCCTTCCTCGATGATTGCGACTCTTATTTCTTCTTTTGTTACCATACTTCACATCTTCGTTTGCGGAGGTGTTTGTGGCGTGGGTTTGTTCTTTTCCTTTAGAATTCTTTCTATCTCCCTTTGAATGAGATCCTGAAATAGCTCCGCTATCTTCGCTGACCATGTCATGTTCTTTTCCTTTAGGTCTCTGTCTCTGAGGCGGAGATTTTGAGTCAGCCATACTATCTTCACTTACGTTTTGTTCTTTTCCTTTAATATCCTTTCCTTGGACTGCCTTGGATGCAGGTTTTGTGACAGCTCTACTGTCTTCAGCAGTCGCGGTTTTTTCTTTAGAGTTCTGTTTATCTGTCTTTGGCCAAGATTTTGGGATAGCTCCAGCACCTTCCCTTACCACGATTTGCTCTTTTCCTTTCGGATTCTTTTTATTTGCCTTGGACGGAGATTTTAGAGAGTCTCCTCTATATTCACTTAATACGTTTTGCTCTTTCGGGTCGTGTCTGTCTGTCTTGGGTGGGGTTTTGGCGACGGTCTTCATATCATGTTCTCCTTCCTCTTTTCTTTTTGTATTCTTTGCGTGTGGTTTCTGTTGGAATTTACATACTGTTTCACCATCTTTAAGAACCACGCCTTGCTTTTCTGATTTACAGTTTTTTTTGTCCGTTTTTGTGGGTGTAATGGCTGCATTATCTTTACTTCCAACAGAAGATTGCTGTAAAGAATCAACTGGTTCTGATGGTTCCGGAGTTTTCTTTCTTTGTGATCGTCGTTTTGCATTCATTCTTTGTCTTTGACGATTCTTTTTATCAGATCTTTGACCACTTTCGTCCTTTGTTGGCGTTTCATCAAGCGTGTGGTTAATTTTGTCAAGTATTTCATGTTTTGGCTTCTTGGTTGGACTACCGTCATGTCCCTCGACCTCACCCTCGGACTGGTCAGTTTTACCCAGGGTTTGGGTGTCTCGTTTAGCACTTTTGGAGTTTTTCTGAACCTGTTTATCTTTATGTTGTGCATTTTCCTTCTTGTCGTCCAAAGGGAACGCTTTCTGATATGATTTAAGATCGAATAGCTCTGGTTCTAGAATATCTTGTCGTGTCGTATTCTTGTTTTTGAGAGACGTTTCTTGTTGATTCCCTGAACGACCATCTTTTTTGTCATCATGATTATCTTCACGTTGTGCATTTTCCTTCTTGTCGTCCACAGGAAGCGATTTCTGAAATGATTTAACATCGAATAGCGCTGGTTCTAGAATATCTTGTCGTGTCGTATTCTTGTTTTTAAGAGCAGTTTCTGGTGAATTTCCTAAAAGCCCATCTTTATTGTCAAGGGAGGTGACGTTTTCAAGAACACACGAACCTGAAGTGGACTGATTGCTATCTACTGGTTTACATTGTGCATCACCTGCCCACAACGAACGAACCTTGTCCAGGTTGGACAGGAGTTTATGCTCTTCGTCGGTTTTCGGTGAGCTCAGGATCGGCTTGACGACAGGGTGACTTGGGACAGCCTGTAAACCATACAACAAAAGCATTAAGCAACCAAACTCATATAGAGAAGTAACTACAAACAACGTACTTCAGCAGGAATTTTGCTGGCATTGAGTTCCAGTGGCTTAACTAAACCTACTTCTTGGCTTTCGACTTCTCGAACCATTTTGAAAAACTCATCAGCTGTCTGCAAGATAATAACGCACGTTTCATAAGTAGTTATATTGGACAACATCGCAGATAATATTACGCACATAATTATGATCGCTCATTGAAATGGATAACATTTTCGCATTCAACATACAGACAACAACAACCTGATATAACTGACCATGTGTTGGTTATGAATGAAGCTTGATTTCTGTGAAGAATGCAGCTGTTGCAGTTTAGAAGGCAATGAAGATGCATACATTGGTGGTGATGTAGCATGTTGCGATCCTGGATGGTGAGGTGATCCAATCACATGTTGCGGTGTTTGTATATTATGCGGTGAGCCAGAATGGAGTATCGATGTTGCAGGTTGTGTCGTATGGTGGCTTGTGCTGTGAGGAGATGATGGATAATTTGGTGAGCCGACCTGGTGCAGCGATGCAATATGATGCGATGATCCCAACTGATGCGGGTAAAGGGGAATATCTCTTCTATATACGTTAGGAGGACTTCCCAAAGGTATGATAACTGGAGGACTATGACTCTCAGACACACTCCGTTGTCTTGTACCAGAATGTTCGGTAGGAGGTGATGATGGCCAAGCTATGCTTGTTCCAGGATAAGCGGAATGCATCATCACAGGTTTGGCCATGAATTGATCTGGCGATGCAAGAGGTACGTACCCATATGCGTGTGGTGGTCGGGGTGGTGTTTGTAGTTTTGGAGGACTGTTTGATACCAATTCAATGGTGTTTTTCTGGTGAGAAGATGATTTATCTTGAGCAGTATCTTGTGTTACTACTGGTGGAGTAGATCGATCACGCATGTGAGCAGGCGCTGTAGTCGCTCGTTTTCTTGGAGTAAAATTGGGTACAGAAAATGGTCGATTGCTCAGCTTGGATCTCTCGCCATTGTCCACTTTTTCGTCTTTACGATTCTTCTTCAGGCGAGGGCATTCTCTTGCAATGTGTCCAATGTGCCCACATACACGGCATGTTCTATCACTAGGTGCTTCTAAACCGTCAGTTAAGAAATCCACGTTGAAGAAGTAATGTAAGAAAGGCATCCCTAGAGGCATGCGAGGGGGTATGCCAAAACGTTGACGACCTCGCATTAATGCAGTCTTGATGAAATTTGCCATCTTACGTGATATGCCTGCACCAAGGTTATGGTCCAGATTAAAAGGATCTATCAATGAACATCCAATGGAATTAGTATGAAATAGTTGATCATAGATATTCAACACTAGTGGATCGTGGTAGATTCTATAGTGATGATAAAGTTCAAACCTTCAATAGCAAAGACGTGTCGTGTCCACATTTTCTCAAATTTGGTGAGTTTTTTTGTTCTTCTGCAGCAAACTACATCATGCTCCCAGTCAAATGTCTCGGTGTAGTATCGCAAAAATCCTATCCACAGACTACCAATACTTTCATTGTTCTTAGCTGTCCATACCTTAGACTGTAAACCAATTAATTAGTAAGAATGAAAGCAGTTGTAGTATAGTTAATAATTGTGTTTGTAGGGTTGTCATCGAGGGTGTCACCAGACCGTCTTGACATGTCATATAAATAGTATCTAGAGAATTTACATACCAGGTTAACCAGGTCATCAAAGAACCAACAATTCCAACTGTCAATAATCTTCGATGGCTTTGTTTCGCCTTCATACAGTTCTTGTAAAATGGGAATGACGTAGCATTTTTGTAAATAATGCAGAAGCATCAATATATAGGCATATGAAGACAAACTCCCTTTAGAAGCATCACCAATTTCACACAACTATAAAAATATCACAAAAATTAAATATTTTATATTCTTTTGGAAACGTACTAATATGTAGAATAAAACCATGCCAGCCTGATCAACGATAAGCAGGTCTTACCTTCGCAAAGAGTTTCAAAGTGTATCCCAATACTGATACCCTATCATCAATCTTAGCATACGTTGCCAACATCTTGGTGTTTTCTAGTGCAAGAACATTGTACAGACTTATATCTGCTTCCTTCTTAACACTTCGAAGATAGAACTTGACAATGGGCACCTTTTAATGAAATGAAAGGTTATGGTACGTTATACACTGGTATTTAAATTGTGCATTAGTTACTTTTCACCAATTTTGATAATGTTACCTTTGCTGTAGTTATTGCAAAAACATTGGAACAGTCCCGGTGTTGCTTGAGTTTTTTAGCCAAGTCTTTGATGATACTGATACAGTCAAGGTCATCTTTATTTTTACCCTCAATAGTCATACAGATATCAAGATCACTGTCTTTAAATCCAAAACCATTCATTGATGAACCAAACAGATGTAGTCTGGCATCTATCAAAATATGATTGTTAATGTGCAGCCCTATAACATCCTTCTAAATATAACTGCACTACCTGGAAACACTTCTTGAATATAGTCCTCTAGATTCCATAATACAGATTCCCTGAACTTGACCTCTTGTGGAGCAAATGCAACCTCACCTGGTATGTACCAGCAAAAAGTGACTTCTATTACAAATGACATTGAAATCGTGAAATTGCATAAACATATTTACCTCTTGTCTGAGCACAAATTCTTGACACTATATCAAGGTAGCTGGTAGGTAATGATGGCAATGGTTTTAGGACTGGTTTCTTAAGGTCAGGGCATTTAGCTGTAATATGACCATCTTTTTTACAGCATTGACACTGTACTTCAGGTCTTTTACCCCCAGACAGTATCTCTGTTTTAAATTGATACTCTATCTTGACTCCTTTATTTACCACGCTAAGATTTTGCATCTTATCTGTGAGAGTCTCTCCATCAAGGTCATCCATCTGAAATATGTCATCACCATCAGAAGTACTTGATATGGGTTCAGCTAACTGTAATCCTTGGTCTAAGTTGATACCATCATCATCACTCCCACCAGAACCTAGAATAAGTGAGGTTGATTAGTGAACTACATGTAATGACTGGATAACATGACTGTACATTCACCTTTTTTGTTTTTCTTTGGAATTGATCCATAGTAAATGAATGATGTGTTCAGACAATTTATTATATACTCAAAGACTGTGCAAAAAAAAATCTGTTAGTTGTAAATTCAGTCATATTGATACAAATTGAACTCAAATAAAACGTACCTCGATCACTGCCCACTGTTGACACATTATGGTTTGTAATATATGGATCTATAAAACAGACTCTTTTAGTGTCTTCTTGCTTTAACGGTACAACATACATTCTTACATTTTATTTACCTTCAATTGCAAAACGTCGATGTCCCCATCTCCTTTCTTCTCTGCTGTAAGGCTGCTTGACTTTTACTGAAATAACTGACTCATCCAGTTGAAAATTCAAACAATAATACCTAAAACAAAATGTCATTATGTGTTTTAATTATGCTAGTATAAGTAGGTAGCAATACAACAAATGGAAGAAACATGCTACAATCAAAGGAGAAGGTTCATGATAAATTATTGTAGCTGCATATCAAGTACATGCCATACCTAAAAAGACTGAACCACAGTAATCCCAAAGTTGATGCATTTTTAGAATGGAATTTTGGTACTTCTCCATGTTGAAACTAACAAAAAAGTTCAGATATGACTAAGTTTATTTGCATTTACATGTAGAATTGTATCATTTGTACCTGTTCAATGCTGATCATTGGTAGAACAGGAGGAGTTGTGTTTTGAAGAAACTGTATGACCATTAGAGCTAGGCAGTAAGGTGCTAATCCACCATCTTTGCTGTCAATACTACAACACTAGACATGGACAAAATAATCAAAATGTTGTGAACTAATAATTCTGTCTAAATTTCTTCATTTAATATATATATAGTATGTGGTGTATTACAAGCTCTTGAATTGGTTGAGAAACCATGTGCCATTTTATCTCACATGTGTCTGTGCTCTGTTGTGTTTGTTCAACCATTTCAATGAGATTTCGAACCTCCCAGAAAAAAAATATGATCTCACCTGTGCCCAGTACCTAAAACCCACCACAAGAGGGTGCACAATTGGATTAATGGCTGAGTAATGCTTCAATAATATTGATGTTCTACAAGCCTGTTATGATTATGAAAAAAAAGCTAATTAAAGTAATTCAAACTGTTCAAAAACATTACCAATATACCGCTTACCAATCCACTACCACAGCAAAGACGGCAGGCAAGTCCTCTGAAACAAATAAAGAGGATGAATTATCCATTGAATCTGTTTATTCTACAGAGAAAATAGAGACGATAACTATACTTACGATTGCTTATGAATGAAAAAGACGTGTGGAATACTAAGATCAAACTCATCTTTAACTTCAATAAATTTATCTAAAAAAATGAATTATCATTATTATTAACAGATAACCACTTTGAAGTACCTTTAAAGTAAAAATCCTCACCATTTTCCAAAAGGAGTTCTTTAATTGAAATAAGAGCTTGAGGAACAGTAATCTAAATAAAATAATCCAATACTAAGGACCTACACTGATTTCCAACATTTCCATTTACAGGAGCATTATTATTACCTTGTCAGAAGGAAGTGTGAGATCCAAGTTAATGTCACTAGACTTGAATCCAAAACATGTTAATGATGAACCAAATACACTGAGTTTACATCCTGTCAAAACCATTTTTTCATTAAGATCATGTTATGAATCAATAGATGCATGGTGTACTACAGATACATCAAACAATAACATACAGCATTAAAATTTTTGTACCTGGAATTTTAGATAGTATAAATGCTGTCAATTCTTGTGAAATTTGTGTTCTCAAAGGTAGGTCAACTTCAGGAGTTAATGCATACTTCTGAACAACAGACTGCAACATGAACTCCAATGCTTGAACTTGGCATGATGTTGGGTTTGCAATGCTTTTCATTGTTACTTGAATTCCCTTGCTCTGCATACATAAATGATTTTATATATTTTCTGTTTTGTTGATATACAGGAAACCACAGGATGAGTACAATAGATATTTTGTAAGAGGACAATAAAGCCCTTTAATTCATAATCACCAGTCTGAGATATAAAGCACCATAAATTGTAGTATTATAGCAAATACAATGTACCTTGACATTTTTCTTATGTGATTTTCCACCAATATGCTGTTTTACTTTCTCTTCACTTAGACTATCAAATGTCACATTGCAAACTTTACAGTAAAACTTTCCAGGTTCCTATGGTGAACATATTAAGTAACTTGTTACAACTCCTTTTACAATTCCAAAAATGCACATTTGTTTCTTTATTCTGTAATACAACTAAGGTAATAGAGCCACCTTGATCACTTTTCCCAGTCAGATACTGTGGCTTGACAACTGTTATTCATGATCATGAATAATAGTTGTCAATTTTTGGACAATAACTACAAGTGTTGTGGCCTTTCAATTGATGATCAATCATTGATTACTGCTGTTTTTAAAGTCTCTTTAATGCAAAGAAGTACCCCTTTATGTCAATCAATACTAATCAATGAATGTACTTCTACATCAACTACAATCGTTGCCAAAATACCTTGGACCGTACAATTATTTGCCTTCAGCCTAACATTTTTCTCCTTTATTTTTTGACAGTTTTCCCCCCGTAGCCCCCTTTCATCAATGTTGGGTCTTGTTTTGGATGCTTGTGTACTATGGTAACWTGAWYAATGACAACATTGCATTTAGGGGATCAGGGGGGATGAAATTGTCTGCGGGTGTTGCTTAAAATGAGGAAATTCACTGGAATGGTCCAAGGTTTTTGTCAACGATTGTAGGTCATTGATTGGGCAATGGCTATAACATATTCAAAAAATACAAATTCTCCTGACCAGTGCAATTATATGAGTTTAAAACTATATTTTCATCTATTTTGAATTTATAAACAATTGTAAGTAATATTTTTGTGATTTTTTGTCTTTATATGATAAGATTCTCGAAATCAGTTGTACACACTTAATAACCAATATATTATTAATGAAAAATTTCAACCACTAATTACACCTTAAATTTATTTCTTATTAAACAAATAAACCTGGCAACTTCTCACCTTAGACTTGACAATGAAGTGCTGTTCTTGCAGTTGATTAATTCTTGAAGATGTTAAGGCAGCTCCACTCTGCTACAAAATAATACTTAGATGTCAGTCTTTAGAACCGCATAAATAATGAATATTCAAATACTACAGTAAGCTTAATACCTTTATCTGGTGAGGTGATTCTGGATTTAAAGGGCAGCTGTTTTGCGATCCTTGTTTATCTTCTTTTACAACTCCTTCCTCCATTTTCTTAACTTCTTTTGAATTACTTTAATATGCGTTTTTTCCTGTACTCCTAATTAGTTAACACTATGTTGTTTTGACACTTCATTGGACGAGCCAACTTAAGCGGAAGCGCCAGACTTTCTTTAAGAATCTGTAGTTTTAAACCATAATAGAGTAAAAACATAGTTTTTCCTGGTACGTCTTAGCTGAATTGATCCTCTTTAATCTCTGATACAACGTATAACATGCCCTTCAGAAGCAAAACAGTGGAATCCTCAACTAACAATTCGATCTTTAGCCGCCATTTTTTTAACGCATTCATTTTTTTGAGAGTCCGCTGGAAATTTAGAACTTCGTGTCTTCTGCTTACATTCGTAATATTTCGTTAAGGTTTCGGAACATATTCGTAAGTCTTCGGTTAGGAGAGAAGTTTCGCATTGCTGAAGGAACTCATGCAAAACAGTAGCGTCCGTGTCTTTCGTGGTGTTTGTGATGAAGTAGTAGTCGTTTTACCTTGATTACTTTCCAATCATTTGCTCAAATCCTTTAGACAACAAAAATGGCGGAAGAGAAACGCCCAAAATACATGAATTGGATCTTAGAATGCATCAATTTATTAAGAAGCCGTAAATCAAGGCCTGATCTTGAACGGATCTGTCGTACCATGCAAAAATGCCATGGGGTATCAGAAAAAGAAACAGAAGAAGACCTGCGAGCGCTTGTGGAGGCAAAAATAGTGACGAGAAGATCCTTTAAAGGAGCAATATCTTACAGAAATTCAGCCGGTTGGAGTAAAGCCCATGGGCCCGGTAAGGTGTCAAGGGCTGGTCGATGGGTTACAGAAGCAGTCAGAGTTCTTGATCGTGGTCACGGAGTTAGTACACATGATATTGAACGTTACATCGAAGAAAAACATCCTTACTATGGTAATATTAGATCAAAAATTAGACTCGCAGTTGATAATGATGTAGAAAATGGACGAATATGGATGGTTGGCGATGGTTTATATCGTTTGCTTGAAGCAGCTGAGGTAATAATCAGTAACCACTGATAATGTAAGCTTGTATATTTCAAAAACACATAGTGTGATGTCATCAGCAATACATTAGTAGTTGTCAATGATGTCATGAATATGTCATTGTTGATGTCATTGGATAATTATCATTTTATAGATTCTCACATACCAATATAGAAATATATGAACATAGTAGCATACTACATATTTCAAACAAGAAATGCAAAAATTCTGCCCAAGCAAAAAATAAATAAATAGATAAATAAATAGATAAATAAAAATAAATGAATAAATAAAATAAGATTTATATGATATCAAAGAGGCAAGATTTTGCTGTAACTCCGAGTTTCGTGCTACGCACTCATCAAATACTGTCTGATAAGTGCATAGCAAGAAACTCGGAGTTACAGCAAAATCTTGCCTCTTTGATATCATATATATAACTAGCTCTACACTTTATGTGTATTGAGCACTCTTTAATGGGATCAGCCACTTCCTCATACAATTAAAATAAGATTTATGAAATAATTTTTTTTCTATTTAGGGATTAATGAAAATTCAAAAGAAAGTTTTCAGCTTCAGTGGTGATCTTTTTTCTTTTAATGTATTCCTAATTTTCTAAATCCCTAATTCTCAGGACAACGTTTTTTGTAATAGATTTGTGTGACTGTGAAATACAGAAATTAGTGCCATGTTCTCACTGAAAAAAGCACTGGGAATTCTTACAGCAACTGTGACGTGACTGTGCAGTCATGTATCACACTCATATGAGATCTAACATAGTATCCAATCATGTAATACAATCAAGTTGTCAAGGAAATAGTCAGTGGAGGGAGACTTTCTACCAATTATGGCAAGGAGAAGTTGTTCAGCAGAATGAATACTGTAACAAATCACAGAATATGAATATATAGCTTATAAATAGCTTATAAATAGCTTATAATATGGCTGACAGTTCATTCCAATTCTTAGCAGTACTAATAATATGGGATATTTCATTTAAAAAGCCCTTAGTCATTTGTATATATTTGTTATCTTGTGGTGTTCAATTTAGGATAATTTGCTAGAGATTAATTAATTTACTTATATATTTTTCTAATTCTGTTAGTTCTAAAGCAAGACTTGTTTTATTCCAAGGAAGTCAAATTTTAGTGTGTAGTCATGGAAACCTCTTATGATATGACATGAATAATGCATGTCAAAGTCATGAATAATAGACATTCACTAGGCAGTATGCAAATTACAACCAACCATGAATACAACTTACTAATATCAAAATTGGCTTGTCCTTTTGTTGCTGAATACAGATTGAATATGTAAACTCATGGATAAATTGGTAAACAAGATTTTTATCACTTTTTCCTTGTTGATGATGTGTTATTCAGTTAAAGGAAATGCAATCAAATCTTGACCAGTTGAGGATAAAGTAAAAATTCATGTTTTTAAGTCTGGTGTGGGCAAATGTTATCAAATAGCTGAAGGATAGTGGACTAGATATATTGTTTGCTCTTCAATGCTGGAAATTAAAAGTATATTATAGAGTGTGTAATTTTGTATTGATAATGATTCAGTGTTAAATTCAATATGATCAACAGACATGTTATGACATGCTACTAGTTTTGTGCTGGTCCAATGAGCATAGCAATTTTTTGAACATAATTACAGTAGTCTTGAATGAATTTAAGTACAACCATCCTTGTTCTCTTGCCTTACTGAGTATGAAAATTGGTCAATACCTACCTGGGCTAAGAGAGGTTTTATTATTTTGTAGGAGGCACATTATTAACTAATTAACCAAATAGATGTGATGAGTACTTTACTATATATTTTTAAACTTGTTTCAGAGTCCAGAGAGAGAAGTGAGTACTACTGAACCTGTATGTGACTTTTGCCTGCAGACTTCTGAGTGTAATAGGAAAGGTGAACAAGAAGATTTATTGATATGCAGAGATTGTGGCAATAAAGGTATAAATAAGTCATTAATATAAGAGGGCCTTTTATAGTATGCAATTTCGCTATGAAGTATGAATCTAATAATTTGTTTGGTTCAGCCCATCCAAGTTGTATGAATTATTCACAAGATCTAACAACAAGGATTAGAGATGATGCAACATCATGGCAATGTATTGACTGTAAAACATGTGTTATATGTAATGATAGTGGAGACCCCGTAAGTTATTTTTTTTACTTATTTTCAATATGTCTTATCAGAACCCTCATATATTTTATGTTCTTGGCACATGCATTATCACTTTCATCATTATAATCTAATATCACAAGGCCTCACTTGTATTATAAAATCATGTTGTGATGGCTATCATCATTGATTACCTGTGTTATATAGTCATAACATCTTAAAACCATTAATAATTCATGAGCTATTACACCAATCATGAGCTATTGCACCAATGGTCTTCAGCAGCATCTATATAATGATGACACACATACCTTAATATAACATTAGCCTATACATATTGATACCTGCTGGAAACAACTGACTTGTGTTCAGCAGTACCAAAAACACTTGTAATGGTCTCCGCTTTAATCTCTCGTCATTGACCCAAACTAGCAAAACCACTAGTCATCAGTACCTTTCATGATGTATACTTACTGTTATTTGAGTTTTGTACAGTCATTTGTACATGATCAGATGGCCATACTTACTCCTTGATAAAACTCTGCTGCTTGTTTTACATGTACGCATTAGATAAAATATAAATATTTTATTCAGGGTAGTTTATTGTTCTGTGATGCTTGTGATAAAGGATACCATATGCAGTGTCATGTACCACCGTTAGATACCATGCCATCAGGTCAGTACTCACTATATAAGACAAACTACTACAGACATCAAAAGTCTAAAGAAAAACAAAACATTTAAATAAATATTGTTGTGTTAATTCAGGAAAATGGATTTGCTATAATTGTGAAAATCACCCCACCAACCCAGCATCACTAGAAGAGCTGAATGGTGTCACAGCTATACGAGTAGAAAGAAGAGACTCTTCGCAGCAATCATTTTCTGGCAGTACTTGTAGTGGGCATGGTCATGAAACAGAGGACATGGAAGTAGAAAGAACTGTTGAAGTCAAAGACATGCATGTACAGGGTATGATATGTTGCATTTCCAAACAACCCAACTGGCCAACTAACATTTTGTATTTAACTTTCTTTAGTTGATGCTGAAAATGTTCAAAGAGAACTTGAAATGTTGTCTCAATCCACACCACCATGCACCCCACCAATGCCAACTGCACCATTATCAGATATGGCTGATACTAAAAATGGTCTACATGGTCAGTTTGTAAAATATGTTATGTTTGAAGGCCAACCTTGAGGACTCCACAGGCTTAATTCAAAGTCTGTACAATTAGTTCCTATCTGAATTGCCGGTTGCCAATTGCAAGTCCAAATTGGAGGCTTTGGAACAAATTTCAAAAACCATTTAACTATTCAAGCTGTTTCATGTGCTCAAGCATGAATGACCTAGGAGAACAACCTTCTTATAATACATGCAATAGCACTAGATTTCTCATGGAATGACAGATCATTAAATGTTATTTTGGTTTAGAACCTATTTATCTTGGAAGGGGGTCCTAATGATCCCGGGGGAGGGGGGGTGGGGGGTACTCCCCTATATTTGCTATATGGGTATGTGCCACAGGATAGGGTCCCTTTTTCGGAGCTCCAAGTCTTGGATAGGGTAGTACTTTTGTCTGGGATAGGGCAGTTTTTTGTCTAGGATAGGGTATAGTCTCATTGTCTGGGGTAGGGTGGAGTTTTGCCTGTGATCATACAATGTATAGATCTGCTAGGCTGCACTTTCAGCGCTAAAATAATTTATCTTTGTACCTTTAGTCTCGGGTAGGGTATGCAAAATCAAAGAAATTGGTCTGGGATAAGGCAAAATAACCAATAAGTTGAGAGTTTGATAAGTTTGAGATCCTGGCTAAGGTGCTTAACTTGTGAATAATTTTATATGAGTTTTTGCTATCACTGTTTGAATCATAAGTTACTCATCATTCATTTATAACCTGTAGATGATGGCACTAGAGGCAGTCAATCTAAAAGTCATGATGCCAAGTACAAAAACATGATGGCTGATGCATCTAAATGGGAGGTAGCTGATGTTATGAAGTTTTTAGAGTCTGTGGGTTTTCCTCAAGAGGCCAAGAACTTTGGAGATCAGGTACATAGTTAATGCTCTTCAGTAACATTGTTGTTTCTGTAAATAGTTAATGTTATTTTTTATTACAGGAAATAGATGGAAAAGCATTGCTGTTGATGTCACGCAATGATGTCTTGACTGGAATGGCACTTAAACTAGGACCTGCACTAAAAATTTATGTCCATGTCTCTAAACTTCAGAAATGCCAACCTAAATGACAACATTCAGTCAATCTTTTCATCATGCTTAGACGAATAATGTATTATGAATATTGTATTTACAAGATTATGAATATAAAAGACTGACCAATTATTGAGCATTGATATTCAACCAGAAAAATCTAGTTAGTCTTCAGTTTGGTTCACAATTTTGGTTGAAAAGGAACTGTAATATGCTATATAGATTTAGATGGTCTTTCATTTTATTTTCTTGATCAGAGTATGCCCTGGATCCTGTCATGACAAATAGAGCATAATTTATGAGTGAGAAACAAACTCAACTATAAGCAACATGTGTGTTCTCCTTGGATTGGATGTAGTTAATTACACATGTATGTAGTATTGCTAAAGTCACAGGGTGATCCAATTTGATCACATAAATGTGTAATTTTATGCATCGTTTTTGTGTGATATGTTATCATTATGGCAAAGTATGAATAATGAAGTTGACAAGCAAAATAAGGTTTTGGGTGGTATGTGGGGTAATTATTATTTAGTATTATTGTAATGTATAGTAGTAATTATTGTGGAGTAAATGGACTAAATCCCTGGCAATAAACAGTACAAAGATAGATAGATAATTATTGAATTTACATTTGCAGCCAGTGGATGAATTGCAGCAAACAAAATTGCTAATGAATACTGGCAGTGGTGATTATACAACAGATAAAAGGAATTAGCATAACATAATGCCTATTTTGTTCTATTTATGCTTCTTGGATGACAAGTGTGTGTTAACTCTAATATTTGTAAGATTGCAATGACATCTCTTTTTTCATCCTTTGATTAGCTCTTTTTAAAGTGAATAATAGAATATCATAATAATCTAGAAAGCTGTTGTGTCCTGTCAATCAGTACCATAATTTATGTGAAAATGTGAGAATTTCTGTTCTGGAAAAAATAATATAACTAATTTCACTCGGATGGAGGCACTCCCTTGGAAAAGTGACAGACTTCTTTAGGTGAAACACAAGTTGTTATGTGGATTTTGGGGTCTTCAGGGCCAGTTAACTCAGGCTGGAATAGTTTATAAGTACATGTATACTTTTATAGTGTCACTAATTTGTGCATACATACTCGTCAGTTATTTTCAAACCCAATTGTCGAGTGTCACTTCACCTTTTGTATCTAATAAAATTACTGATTTACAAAAATATTTATTGGAAATATTTGTATTTTTCCTAAGAGAATTATAATTCGCCATGCTGAATGATTAGCCTTGTACTCAGGCATTCCTCCTTTCACCATCAGCAGATGGTTGCCACTCATTCCCCACTATGACATCATAAACCTAGAAATATTTATCGGTATCCAGGAATGCCTGGGTACTACAGCTTATCTACTGTCGATAATTAAGTTATAGATAGACTTCTGCAAACAGACAAAAAAGGAAAGTTCTAAAACTGATTTTATTAGATCACTGCCGACAGGAAATAGATCGATGATGTTATTTCAATTCATTTATTGCATTTTTAAATAAAGAGATGTGTTTACATGTTGTGCTGAAGTAACTGCTTTTGAGAACCGAGACCTGATAATTAGTTTATGTATATTTTTTGAGGTATGACTCATGGTTTCACTTATAAGTCTGAGTCATAACAAGACATCAATATGATTCAATAATATTCTTATTGTTTATTTTTTTCTACAATTTTATTATTATATGATCTATTTTTATGTAACTATGTAACTTCAGAGAACTGGGAAATTCAATGAATGGATTTCAAAAGATTGTGCAATACAATAATATTTACATGTTATGAATATTGATTACCTAGAAACGAGAAGCTGGTCACGTTTAAAACCAGTCTAACTTGTTTGACTATTCTACTCTATGGGGGGAGGAGGCAGTCGCAATAATTACATGGCAGTGCTTATGATGTCGAAAACGCAATGAAGTCTTGACACAAGGATAAAATCGCAATTTAAATTATGTAACCAGTCATCCTATTCTTTGCTTGCTTTCTTAACTTGCGTTAAAAGCTAAATTTTTCAAATCACCGCCCCCACCCCCACCCCACCCGAGTAGGTTATGTTCTAGCTGTGTGTCCACGCCGCTGCAAGAACAAGTGATTATTTATAGTTACTGCTTCGGCAGAGGAAGCTTTGTCTGTAAACGTTGTGAACAAACGAACAATCTTCTGGTTCCAAAGGAACATATTTGTCCTAAATGATTGAAATTTTTGATGATCCATTCGAGAACGATTTGGATGGCAGTGACTTACCAAGCGTCGACTGTTTGCTGCCGATTCTTCACCAAGTAGTGTTTGACGAGGGAAGCTAACTTCAACGATAACTTTTCCGAGGGTTTCAAAATCCTCAACTAGAACTGGTTTTATCACGGGAAGATTTAACAAAATACGGGTTAATAGTTAGATTAAATGGACTGACGAAGAAATGAAGAAAGAGGCAATCGTGAAGCTCATTCAGAAAGCATCCAGTTTCAAAACAGCAGTAAGAATGGCCACTGAAAACGATGTAGTGGAGACAGCCTTAGCCACACCTGGGACTGTATTTGGTAAAGTCGATCACATTCTGTGGGCGATCGCTGATGCTAAGAACAACAAAGCTCATCTCATGAAGTTTGTGCCTATTGTTAAACAGTTAACAAAGGTATTGAATGGGGCAGATGCCACATTTATTCGCCACTCTGAATTTTATCACGATTTGAAAGAGACCCTAAACAAAATCGAACAGCAGATCATTGAATCCAAAACAAGAAACAAGTGGTCGAATAAGCTGATGGCGAAAAAAGACCTAAAGGTACTGGAAGAGATAGAGCAACACGTTGAGCATCTTATAACCAGAATTGTCTTTGCATTTGCCCAACGAGCGAAATTCATGAACATGGCTAGGAAGAAAAAACACACAGGTCTGAAACAACCTCTCGACATCTCAAGCATCGAGGAAGAAGACGAAAATGAATGTGGCAAGGCTGAAGATCTTAAAGAACCAGAAAGATGATTTCGTTACTAAAAACTTAATTTATTGAAGAACTACTTTGACTTTTTTCTATTTTTGCATATTTGATAAGCGTCGTGGTTTCGTCGTTGGCCAGGCAAACTATACATGTTACAAAAATTCACCGAATTTAAATATCTTATCGATATAAGCAGCGGCGACATCGTAATTTTTAACATTTCTTTCTAATAAATTAGTTTTCCATAGCAATAGTAGCTAGAAATTGTTTTACACAGTATTATAATACTTAAAATAGAAATATCCAATTCTCAATGATGAGGCACTGCACTTCTTATTAATAGTTGGACAAAACCCAAGTTTGCTTGCTTTGGTTAATAGATGTATGATGCAAACCATGTCTCTGATCCTTTATATGGGCTTCAACTACATTCATGTAAGCATTTCAGTTTTTGTACTTATACATCTGATCTTGAAAAGGTTGTCCACCTATAAAGACATTTACAATGTTCCAATTGTCAAATCTCTTGATATACCGGGATATTCAGCTTCTGCATGTAATCATGTTTCTGCATCTCTATAATTGTCCTTAAAGATAATTAAAATTTCTAAACTTTTAAACATGCCTGACATACCAGATTATTTGACACAAATGGAAAGTGAATATTTTCATAATTTACATGGTAAGAATTGCTGTATACACATATACATGTACATAAATCATTGAAATAATAAACCTCTTTACCTTCCGTTCTTTTTTGTTTTACATGCTTTTATGTGCATTAAAACAAATCATTTTCAATTGGTAAAAAGACTGAAAGAAAAAGAGGTCAGCTAGTTAAACTGTTCAATATACATGTACGGATGCTCAAGAACATTTATCAAATACAATTTTTCCAAGTTCTCCACATCTGAACTTTGATGTAAAGTGGATGGCAGCTTGTAAGTAGTTGGGCACTCCTCCTGTAATTTAGATAAAAAACATGATATAAGTATCACGAGTTTTAGACCATGTATTTATATTAGTGTCAGGCCTGCATGAATATAGGAGTCATTTTGCATTGGGTGAATTGATGTTTTGATGACTGCATCAAGATATGCCAAATGGTTTAAAAATGGTATAATCGAAAACCAAAAAATGTACATAAGTTATAGACGTAAAAAAAGTGAACGTGAAACAAACCTGATATGGTACTTCTAAGACTGATGGCTACTTGGCGAAGAACGAAATCAATGTTGTCTGATGGATTGTCTAGGCCATATAGTTCAACGTACCTGTCATAGAAAAAAGCTTATCTTTTATCTCTTTCCAGTCACAAATATGGTATTTTAAGTCTTGAGGTAACTTATTTAACAACACTTACTTAAAATTTCTATTTTTATTGAGAGTAAAAAGAGTGAAGTCTGCTATAAGGTCCTCACCAACTAAATGGTCTTTGAAGCAACCTTGAAGTGAAACATGAAATTAAAATGAAATTAAAAGAAAAATCATATAATTCAAAGTGCATTATAGTGTTTCTTACCAATTGAAGCCAACTTCATCCCTACTTCAGCATTGGGTACATATGGAGACACAACACCTTGATTAAACCAGAAAATCACTTAACCACATAACAACAGGCATAATAATAGCTTTAAGTGAAAAACTGATGTTGCATGATAATGAACATTTGGACTAATGAAATAAACTTTTTGTATTACACCTTGACACAGGTAGATATTAATATGAAGCCTGCCTAGTCGGCCCTCTTTGAAGCATGAGGAGAATTCAATGCCACATTTTGTATTTATCATATTTACATCAAAATGGTGTAGAGTGCTTGCACTTAAAGCGTGAAACAAATAGTACTAATTACTACTAAATAGTGTTGATTATACAATAGGAAACAAAGGAATTTGTATAATTTATCACTTATTTTGTAGTATTTATATTTCACGCATTTAGTGTGAGCACTCTACAAATCAAAGGCCATAGACACCACGTGCTACTTTTTATTGATGAATTACTGGAATGTGAATATAAACAATAACACAACAAACCTGGGGTATCAATAACATATATCTTTGGTTCATCGGCAACCTATAAAAAATATAACAAATAGAAGTAGAGTTTCCATTCAAATGAAGATAAATAGAATTGAGAGGAGAAAGGAAATACAATCAGACTGAAAGGAGTACGAAGAAGAAGAAAATAACAGTAGGGAAGGAATAATCTCTTAATTCCCTCTTGAGGGAAAGAATGAGCATGTTGAAATTAATACAGTCAACTCATTGATATCTTTTCTGGAATGTTTCTGATTTTTGGGACAACATTTATCCATTTGTTATCCAAATTTTACCCACTATCGGTGGCACATGTCCATTGAAACAGGTGGAGTAAAACAATTAAAATGTGGAATGGGGACCAAATAAAAGTGTCTGTTAAAATTCTGTATTGATGAAGTCAAATTTTAGTAGTTTCATTCCTTTGTTTTGTTTTTGTTTTGCTGTGGCCATAATATAGGTGTGTTTGTTATATAAGGGTGTCAGCAAGAGTTGAGTTGACTGTAGCTAACACAAGAGCAAAAAAATTATATCAAGTTAATACTGGGTTTCAATAAAGTTTAACATTGATTTATTACCAGAATATTTACCAGAATTTTTTCTTGCATTGATGTTGTAACACCAGGAATTTTTCCAACTCTAGTGGCTTTTCCTTTTAAAAGTTCATTTAATATGCTTTTGTTAATGTTTCTGTTTTGTTATTCACTTTGAATGCAATGTAGAGTTTTTGCTTTATGGAATGCACTGCCAGGGACTTCACACATTTTTGATTAGGAGGATAGGCTTACGACTGCCAAAAGCAGGAGCTAAGGGGTCATCAGGTTTCCAGAAAATTTGAACTTGGAAATGCAATTTCCAGCGTATTCATGGCGGTGAGAAAAGGCAGAAATATAGTCCCCCAGCCCATTTTCACATGGTCCCTGAATCAGCTATTATTATTCATTTAACAACAGTAAGCCAATAAATACAATCTGTGATGGTCTAGTTCATTATCAATCACTGACTCCACGATTAAAAAAAGGTTTCAAAACAAGTTGAGATATACACGAGACAGCATACATGATGTCTTTGGAATGAAAGATTAAATAATTCATACTCTACCTCTCTTCATATAAGTTCTTCGCATAGCATTGATTAATGAAGACTTTCCAACATTTGGCAATCCACACACCAGCAATGTGTATGGTGCATCAGGGTCCTTAATAAATGCAAAATTCCTAATTCAGAGTTACATTTTCACCTCATTTCCCATCTGCATTTTTAAACGAACACTCTGCTTAAATACGTTTCAGAATGTTAGCTGGTTCTTTGTCACATAACTCATTTATTTCAATACAGAAAGCATGAAAAATGTTGTATTACAGATAGCCTTTTGACAAACTGAGACCAACTTTTAGTTAGTTAAGTTTTGAGCAATCTGGGAATACAGGGTTAGCCTCAACTCAGAGAAAATGAAAATTATTAATAGGGATACTGTAATTACAACATTGTCTCATGCTTTTTTATTGTTTTCTGCGAGGTCTTTGCATGAACAACATCCACAGTTTCCATATTCACACAAATGTACCTTTCTTGTGTATGAGCCTTCATATTCAGCATCTTTTATGGCTTCCATGACAGATGGAATGATCTGASTTGTCATGAGCATAAGCAATCAAATAACATAACAATGAATTTGTTTAATATTCATTAAACTGCTGGTACCTTTTTGATTGTTTGACTGGACTGAGATTTACTATCAATAAACACAGCTCTTGTTCCATGTGATTCAAGTCTTCTTTTGATTATCTTGATAAAATTCATGAAATTAGCATCTACATTTTCTTTGCTGAATATTCTTTAGTCAGCCAATTCTCCAGAATGGCATAAGCATGCATTACATATATAATGACACACAACACTAGGTTTCATCCATGTCTGTCTCTTACCTTTTGTTGTGAGCTATCAGTCAAGTCAAGCTTGCTTAAAATTAACACACTTGGTCTTCCACAGAGTGTATCTTTGAATTTGGGATTTCTTCCAGAAAAAGGTATATAAATCACAGTCAAGACAGAATATTATACAATGGCATTGTGAGCATTTAATAATTTAAAGAGATATAATGATAGTTGAAGATGTTTCACTTCACCATTTAAAATTCCACAGCTCTCAAACTCAGTCAATAAGTTCATATATGATCCATTTGTCGAGGTAACTGTGACATTGTATTTGAAGGCCCACAAGCATGCAACAACCCTTCCACCATTTTCTYACATACACAATTTGCTATATATTTTGCCATAAATCTATCTAGATCCAAGAAACAGACCATAATTGTGACAATATTTCGCTTTACTCGACTGTTCTTAAAAGTCACTCATAATATAAATGGTTTCCGTATATTTTCATAAACAATCGAACATGATTGCAGGATCTCAATCAATCAACAATATGATCACATAATATTAAAACTGTTTTCATATGATAAAATCCCAGCAGGTTGGACTCCTAGCCTAACTTTATTAGCTGCCTGGCCGTGTGTTGTCACTGGGAGCTCCAAGTCTGGGATAGGGTATCATTTTTTGCCCATTTGTCTGGGTTAGTGTAGTAGTTTGTCTGGGATAGGGTAGTTTTTTGTCTAGGATAGGGTATATCTCATTGTCTGGGGTAGGGTGGAGTTTTACCTGTGATCGTATCTGCTAGGCCACGCTTTCAGTGCTAAAATAATGTACCTTTGTACCTTTAGTCTTTGTATTGGTAGGGTATGTAAATCAAAATATTGTTCTGGGATATCCCTAGGGTAGGGTTTTGAGAGTTGTGCAGCACACCCCCACCCAAGTTGGGGAGGTAGCACATGTACCCCCTGCGCCCTGGACCTCTGCTACTTGCCTCTGGAACACATTAACACCCAATAACTACATTATGGCTAGTACAAAGTACTACATTAAAGGATACTCGGGCATCGTGGACTTCAAGAACACAATCACACTTGCGGACAACTGTCTGCATCACACGAAGACCTGTCAAGACGGTTTGGTTGGATGTCATGGAAATTTAGGGCCAATCCACTTTATATCCACACACCCTCCCCCCACCCTCCCCCAACCCCGGTCAAAGACTTTTTCTGGGGGTTCTTAAAATCAAATTTCTGGTGGGTAAAATGTGTCAGCACCTTTGATCTTTTGATATTTTATTGGGTGGTGACTGTAGGCACCTTTGATCTTTATTTTTCTAGGAGGTGCTGTGACACTATCTGCTCTATAGGGGCGGTGGGGGGGGGGGAGAATATAAAATGGAATGGCCCTATTATTAGCTTTCTTCGCTAAATTTCATGTATCATAAATACCTTTTGCCATATGCCCGGGGAACCATTTTAAAAACAAGCTTGGATGGAAGTACTCGGGGAGCTTAAATGAACTTCTGAAACTAGAGTTAGCAAGCCATATTTCGGATCTGCTTATGTAGGGGCCAACCGTCGCCATATTGAAATGGGCTTCCTGTGATTGCGGTTAACCGCTTTCAGGTGCATACCGCGGGAGCGTAAACAGCTTCTCCAAGATGGCTCCAAACGGTAAACAGAGTGTTATCGAGACAGCCTTGTAAAAGAGACATAATAGTCATCTTTTGGGCCAATAAGGTGTTACGAAATGCCCGGGGTTGAAAGTACGTATTTTTTATCATGATTTTATTTTAAAGGTATTATAAGAGAGGCTCTAGAAACTAGTTTTCATGCTCAAATAGTGTTTATATCCAAACATCAACTATCCTCAGGTAAACTACCCGAAGGCTGGGAACGTTCTGAAACTACGAGTGGAATCCCTTACTACATCGAGTAAGTTGTATTTTCAGTGTCTACCTGTATTGTTATTAAAGAATCCAGTAGTAACACAGAATATAACTTAGCACTTGAAATTAGAGAAAAGTTGTACATGTATCCGTAAGTAATAAAACAACATTAAGCACATGCAGCTCTACACTGAAATGACATCATTTTGTCAGTTTGTAAAATACTCAAGCATGTATTCCGATTTTAAGGGAATCTATTTATCTATCTTTATTATCCTTATAAAACCACAGGCATCACAAGGGTATAATGATTCAAAATAGTTGATGTACAATTTTGCGATGGCTCTTTTCTGGCTGTAAGCCAAAGTCTGTTGTGATACACTTTCAACTGCGACCGTAAGGGTGTATGGGAACGTATTCATTTAGTATAAACATACACAATACGTATATGGCACAGTATTTTAGGTACAAGGAATGGTAGTTATCAATCCTAAAATAATGCAAATTAGACCTCTGAAAAATATCTGAAAGATATTGTTTTTTGTTTTGTATTATTTTTTTTGTCAGTCTATTAATTTTTTTCATTATTTTTTTCATTTGATAGTGCTTCCTTGAATTTCAGAATTCAGAAATTCTTCATGTCCCATTTATTACAGGAATTGAGTATCCAAGTTTTGTATCATTCATAAGAAGTCAGTGTCCAAAACCTAAACAAAATTAAAATTATGTGCTGCCATTTTATCCCTTTACAGTTGTTTTGATTTTCAGCATAATGCTGTCATAAATTAAAGACCATATAAGAATTCCAATGGAATGGTGTTTTTATTTTTACAGCCATGAGACAGAATGTACATCCTGGGATCATCCTGAAATGGTGAAATTGCTGCAAGAAATTGGTATGGATATAATGTAATATTTAGTGTTTCTTAAACCAGACTTGGGAGAATACATTGCATTCCCAAGTGACATGTGTTTATTACTATATTATGCAGCTACTCTCAATAATATCAAGTATGCAGCCTATCGTACTGCTATGAAACTCAGAGCAATACAGAAAAGAACCCAAAGTAAGTCAACTCATTTACATTGAACAAACCAATTAAAAATGTAAAAATTAAACATTAACACTGCAATATTGTTATTGTTAATGTCTTTTCACCTAGTGTACTTATTGGAACTTCCTGTCATTGCGAGTACCCTTCAAGAAGAAGATGTTCGAGATTGTTATACAGAAAAAACATTAACTGCTTCAGATGTACATAGAATAGTTACTGCTATGTTTATCAATCAAAATGGAGACAGGACTAATTTTATTGATATACCAATGGCCAGTGACTTAACATTTAATTGGATTCTGAATACATTTGATCAGTAAGTATTAGTATTGACAGTATAGAAAAAATCAATAAGTGGAAGCTAGAAAACAGAGTAGTTAAATATAATGTACTACATTTATTAATTACCTAGCTTATGTTTGTAGGCAGAATTAATTCTTGATTATCAAAATATTGCAGGAATCGTACAGGATTTATACAGTCAGTGTCTTTGAAAGTTGGACTGTCTTTTATGTGTGCAGCTAAAATTCAAGATAAATATAAGTGTAAGTTTAATCAATTTGAATGCTAGGTTAAATTATTTTACAGTCCTGTAGTAGAAAATTACTTTGTTTACATTAGATAATTTCAATCAGCTGTGCAGCAATAAAGGATGGATGGACAGAAGAAGGCTGAAGATATTTCTTCAAGAATCTTTACAGGTACCAGATATGCAATAACTTTTCTCGCACTGAAAGAAACAGTTATCATCACTGCCAACTCTGACCAAAATTTGTTTCCTGTTGTTATTATTAGATTCCAAAAACCATCTATGAAAGTGCTGTATTTAGTGGCACAAGTGTCGAGCCTGCAGTCAGAAATTGTTTTGAAAGAGTGAGTTCTTCTATTAGAATCATTCTAAAATGTATGAATTACAAGCTAGACTTTGTTGGTAACTATCTTATATTTGTAGACAGGAGCAGTACTGGACCAGCTAAGCCTAGAGGATTTTCTTTCATGGATGATAGCAGAACCACAGACAATAGTGTGGTTACCAACTCTTCATAGACTGGCAGTATCTGAAGATGTTAAGCATGAAGCTAAATGTAACATCTGTAAGATGTACCCTATAGTGGGTTTCAGGTATTAGCTTTGATGTTATACTCTGCCTGAATCAGAGTCTGGATAACATATGATATGAATTTTTAGAATTACTGGAAGAACATATTTTTCTTTATTTTGAAGGTATCGCTGTTTGAAGTGTTTTAACTTTGACCTTTGCCAGGAGTGTTTCTGGCTGGGAAGGACAAATAAAGGACATAAGGTTGGACATCCAACTCAAGAGTACTGCTTGGCTGTAAGTTACCATACTATGATTGTTATAATCTGGCTTGCCCATTGATCCCATATCTATCTAGAATTGTATGGAAACCAAGATGAATCCTGCTGGTTTGAATGAATTCAATTGTGTGAATTAAATTATCAATGAAATTATTAAACACCAAATTGATAGGTTATAGTCATAATTTACTATCCTTATTGGTTTGTTCAGCCATGCGAACAATGGCAAAGTTTAATTAATATTATTGAATGGATTACTAGGCATCTCAAAAAGAGGACTTCAAAGACTTTGCAAAAGTTATGAGAAATAAAGTGAGTAAAAAGAAGAAATCTACAGATCCATCTAAAGGAAGATACATCTCAATAGCCAGTGAGAATGCTGCACCATCATCCGATGAAGAGTAAGTTAAACAGAAGACATCAAATAGAAGGTCTTGACTTTTAGAAGTTTTAGACAGACAGACAGTGTGGGATACATAATATACATTTTACTTAATTGAATAAAAATATGACAAATAGAATAATGAACTTCTATAAAGAAGATGTTTTTTCTAGTGTATCATTGTTACCAGAGTATACATGACAAACAAATTATCAAACTCATATTTAGTTTTATTAAATCTTGTACCAGGTATTCTGTTGATGGTCCACCCATGTCTAATGCTACCACACATGATAAACTAGGGTCCTATGCAGCAAAGTAAGTATCCATTGTGTTCAAAATAACTTTAGTTAATAGCTGCTGTTATTCTATTCCAAAATTGAATTAATATTGTATTGTCAGACTTGGTGATTATGATGAAGATCATAACAGAAAATCTAGAGATGAATCTTCCAGGTAAGTGTCCTGGCTATAATGAATTAATCATTCACTATTGGACTCATTGCTGGTGCTTTTTCATTTTGCAGAGATGATAAATTGTATGATGGTTCTCCAAGACAGGTGTAAGTACATTGTCTGATGTATATTAGTTTCATCTTATTGTCTGTAGCTTCATTAATATTTTTTTTTAATGTTGCTTTTTAGATTGTCATCTGTGCCTGATGACATTGTAAGTACAAGAAAATTCACATGAGATAACACAATTAAAACATTTATTCAAAACTCTGATTGCACTTTCTTAAGGAAACCTCTCTACAGTTATCCAGCCCAGCAGGCATACAGTCCTATCTTGATGTACACCAAAGAGATGACCTGGAGGATCTTATTTCCAACCTTGAGGATGACAATAGGTTGAGTGTATTATGAATTATAGTTTTTATTTCTAGTTGATTCCTACTTGCTTTTACATGTATTATTAGAGCGGATTTCGTATGAGTGGGAAACAGACGGTACTGTACTGTGACTGTAATCGTACTGTAACCAAATTCCAGTGGCCCATTGGTTCACCAAAAGTGTGAAGGCCAGGTCCGGTGACTGTGCGGTAACCATGCGGTAACGGTGTCCCACTCATACGAAATCCGCTCTATTTTATTTTAAATGTTATTCTCTGAAATCCAACAAAAAAAATTTAGTACCATAATGTGTTTAACAAAAAATTGAGAATGAACAAAGTTTTTTGGAGATTAATTAATATTGGTGGAGGACACAAACCAATCTAGCTGATCTAAAACAACAGTTAATGGTGGCATGCATTCACCTGTGCATTTATTTCAGTCTCTCTAAAAACCTTTATTTAAAATATGCATATGGTTGTCTGCCAATATGATGCAGATTTGTAATGTGCTCACATTAAATTTTCTTAACAGGGCACTGCGAGATGAAATTGATCACATCCATCAGTTACAATTACAAAATCTTAGTCTTGATACTCATCACACTTCTGAGGAAGCAGAATGGCTAAGGCAAAGAAAAGAACGGCTCTTGGCGAGGGAGGAAGTACTTGAATCTCATAACCAACAGCTAGAAATACAACTACATCGTCTCAGATCTTTGTTGCATCAGGTACTCATGGAAAATCAGCTAAGGAAGACTGAACAGTGGTGTTGAACAAAACAATTAATATTTTGGATAAAAGATGATCATCATGAGAAACTACACGCTAAAACAATAAAAATCAAATGCTACTGGTTCTCTCTGAAATAAATTAATTAACTCCAAGATAATATCATGACGAAGCATAAAAGTGGGCATGAATACAAATAATAACAAAGTGAATGTTGCAGCTTGTCACAGTTCATGCCAGTGAGATCCGTAGTAAAATCATTTGCATAATTTTTTGATCAAGCACATAATTTGGTACAATACTCCAATTTTCGAGTTCTGGTTTGCTCTGTGTTAGCCTGAAACCAAGCAACATATTCTTTTGTTTTCTTGATAGCCCGAGAAAACGCATGGAATTTGTGAAGAAAGACAATAAATTGCCCGTTCCGAAATTCAAAAAGGGACTGCTGGTGACTAGTCACAAACTCGATCTCGTTTGAAGCAATCAAAAAACAGACACCAAGACAAGAAAGAGCACACTAAAATTAGTAAAGCTGCTGAGTTTCAGTGTATTCGGATTAATAATTACAGAGTTTCAAGCGTTTAAAACTCAAAAAAATTACAAATAAGAATGTACTAAAACTATGGAGGTTTTGAGCAGCCTCCCCAAAAACATACATACTCTCTTATTTTCAAAAATGTGAAAAAATTCCTACTTGGTGAGTATTCAACCAAATATGCTCAAACTTGACAAGAACACTAATTGTAGTGCATGATCTTTCATGTGGTGAGGTTAAGTTTTCAATGAATGTAATATTTTCACACTCGTTCCCAGTCTCCTTTTGAATTTCGGAATGGCCAATTGATTTGAAATCTCACACTTTTATTCTCACAATTAGGAATATTTTACGCACAAATGAGCATTGGAGAATTAGAAATTGGATAATTAAAGGATCCTTTATTTTAAGTTATTTTAATTAAATAAAATTTTTTACCTACTTATCACTCTTCCTGATAATCATGTAACAAAATAAGATTCTTTGATTTAGATAGTAATGATGACTTAAACTTTCATATACAGTGTTAATTTGACAGTGTTTGAAGTAAATATCAGCTAATAACTCTTTGAATTAAATACTTTATTCACAATAAACAAATTATTTGAAAAAATATTAATATTATATTACTATAATAAAAAAAATAAAAAATTGATAGAAAAAAAACACAACTGTCAAAAATCAATGTTTTAATGCATCTTCAACATTCAATTTTATATGCAAGCATATGGAAAGATGCCATAACATTTAAACTAGTGTAATGATATATAAAATAAACAAAATAATATGCTGTTACGCGTAAATCTAATAGGATGCTTGGAAATGGACTTTTGTATAGATAATCTTCAAAAAAATGATTTTGTTTGACTGTGATATTTCATTGTTGATTTTTCAATTTATCTGATTTTATGTTCTTACTACTACAATTTGATTAGTAAATGACTCTCCACAAAGCCCTAGTAGTTTTAAAGTCTTTCTATTGTTTAATTTTCATAGGAAATATTGGTCATAAATTTCCTGCTAAGCAGAATTCTAGTCATTTGATATAAGAGATTTATTATTTGATAATATCTCCTGGCAGGATTCACCATATTCTTCACGGAGCAAACATTATGAGGTAGTTTGTCCAACAATTCCATACCAACCAATGCCATTATCAGCAAGAAGTAACACTGACCGTAAAGTACCAGGATTGTACATAAGCAAACATCAAATGAATAAAACCCAGCAATACTCTGTGACTACTCCAGTATATCAACAAAGTGATAACAGAACCAGTGAACTACAACCTGTCACACTCATTACTAAAACTCCTTTGCAAAGAAACAGAGAATTGTTGGAAATTGGTGGGATGGTTGACTGCATTGTACCCCCTAAGACCTTATATTCATCTGTACATGCAATGGATGGAAATAATCAGGGTGGGCATAGCCAGTCATCTCCTGATACCAGTAGAATTGTTGGCAATACATACAGAGAAACTGAGATACAAGCTATTGTAGACAGAATTGCAAGTTGTTTTCCTCTTTCTGAAGTAGAGTCAGGTATGATCAGAAAGTGCTAGTTAATATTTTAATGAAGTCATTTGAATTGTTTGTTTTTTTTGGTAGACATTTCAATGGAATTGCACAGTGATCTGTTTCTTGCTGCATCAATGGTCAGTGAAGCAATGCAATCACTAGTTACAGCTGTGTCTCGACAACGAGGTAAAGTTACTCTTTACATAATGGAACACTTGAACATAAACCTGAACTGTTCAATGAACCAGATTCAAAAACACCTTGTACATGTAATTTAAACATAAAGTTGTTAAATATGTGTTCTCTGGTTAACTGTGGCATAAATATCATTATTATATACCAAGTGTCAAAGTTCACTTTTCCTAGTTATAGTATTCATTGTGTTATTACATTGATTGATTTTAGTGACATTTTGACTATTTGTATTGCCATTTTTCAGTCATTTTATCAAAATCTTTAATAAAAACACTTCATTTACTTTTTTTGTTCTCTTTGACACTTGATATGATAAATAAACCACTTATTTACTGGAAACCTCAGGAAACAGTATGTTTTGTGGTCCCTCGACTGCTGATGTTTCCCGAAGTGAACAGCGGTCTCGGGACCACAAAACATACCGTTTCCCTTGGTTCCAGTAAATAAATGTTAATTACAATTTTTTCAGCTTCATGAACCATTGAAGTCCAAGCTACAGAAGATTATTAAAAGATTAATATATTATTAGAGTTGATGATGCGACTACAAATAATTTATATTACAGTCAGACTACCACTTTTCATAATACTGTCAGCAGTGTTATTGTTATGATCAAATAACGAGAACAATGAAGTTTTGTTATTTATAATTTTATTAAATTTTCCCATCCCAAAATACACTCATTTTGAATTAATATTGTTATATCAAGAACCTGTAAAAATGGTCTCAATCTTCCCAGCATATAAAATCTGTTACACCGTTATTTTGATTACCAGTATTGAGCATTGGTAATAGAATGATTTTCACAATTATAGGCTTTTAGCAGAAAGAGGTCTTATTAGACATTGAAATATTCTCTAGCATTTATGAATTCATTTTATATAGTAGCAATACTGTTACCTATTGGTATATTTTTAATAGAACTTCCTTATCCATGGATAATTATATCCATCTTTCGTACAACTGGCTCCATAGTTGCTCAGAAGAAATAAATAACATTAATGTGATTAACCTGAAAAACTAAAGTCTGTACAATAAATATCAATATAATAGCATTCAAGCCCTCTCATATTTAGGTTTAAGGCTTATCCTGTTCAGGGCATTTTAAACAACAAAACCAGTTCTTCCATTCTGTCTATAATACCAAGAAATATTTAATGTTTTCCATCTTAAATAATTCTAATACATGTCAGATAGTGTGAAGAATGCACAATTAACTGTAACATTAGAACAATTTCATAGAACCATTTTGAACATGCGAATGAGTTTCTTTCAAAAAAACAATCATTTTCTCTAACCCTGACCCTAAATTTATGTAACAGTCGAACTGCCACCATGCAAAGGCCTTGGTTAGCAGGGTAACACCTTATCTAAGGAGACAACTAATTTGCATATTATGTTAAATACTCGGAAAACTCCTTTGCATGTTAAAAACGCTAATGTAAAGTCATTGTATTAACAGTTTATTTTTGTTTATTTGGCATTTTGAATGCCCTGAAGTTCTCTTTTGGGAACTTGACAAAACCTGCTGGGGTTGTGCAGCCCATTCCCACAGAGAGTCAAATATCAGCAATTAGAGGGCATATTTCAACCAATTAACTAACATTACTGCACTGTAAGCTCCCTATTATTGTTTGACTATCTAATTTATGTATATGTGCCCTTAATATTTAAAAATAAATATCTGTGTCTAATTTAGAACGAAACTATTTATCCTCATATGGGTCATAACTTTGTCATCGTGACAACAATTGCAGTAAAACTGTCCAATAAATCCCAAAATAAGATAAGTTCCAGTAATTCTGAGCAAGAATCTATTAATTACATGGTTCACAATAAGTTATCTGTCCGTAACTATTGGTTCTGATTCATCATTAAGAGCAGGGTCTTGGTTTGATTTAGCCATGAGCATTGGATACTCGGCAGAATTAGATGAAAGTGCATTACCAGGTTGTACAGCTATTAGCTTGGAGGATGATAGCGATAGAAACCCTGTAATAACAATTATAAAACTCATTAATATTCATAAGGCAAAACACAATAGAAATCATAGCCCATGAAGAGAGTTGTATATTACATACAGATTTCTTGCTCATTTGCATAAACTTTAACTCTGATTTTCTCGGTCAGATTGATTTTTTTTTTCAAAAGTTTCTTTAAAACCTGAGCTAGTTTACCTCAACGTTTCATAAGTAATATACAATATTCGCGGGCGATCTGTATGAGGTTTAAAACAGCTCGCTTTCAGCTCGCTGTTTTAAATCCTCATACAGATMGCCCGCTCATATTGTATATATTACATAAAGTATACTAAAGCTGATAATGTGGGTCAACTTTTGTTTTACTGGACTGACTCGATCACAAATGAGATTTCCATATTGATGGGATGCATTTCCAGGAAATGTTGGGAAGTTTTCATAACCCATAAAATATTGCTGGCTCATTTCGTGCTATTACAATAAATACAGCTTAAGTCATATGAAAACTATTCTAAAAGTACATTTATTAAATACACTAGGATGCTGTAGCATCATGCAAAATGATATACAGTACCTGGAAAAAGATCAGCATTTGTAAGTAACAGTTGCTCCTCTGAATTCTCTACCTTGCGGTTTGATGTGATGAAGTATACTCCAACAAAAGACAGAACACACCTATACAAATGTATAATAATATAATAATGACATTGATTACAGCTTGTTGAATAAGTCCTCTGGTTTACAAACAAACTACAATAATTCAGAATTTTTCAGGATTTTATGATGTAGTGATGAAAACTTACCCAAACAAAAACATAAAAATTTCTAGAAAGGTTAACCCATAAAATTCTCGATATAATACAATACCTAAAAAAAGGACAAAACATCAGCATGAATGATTTGTTTGATAAACAGTTAAAAATTATAAGTGTTCATACCACTTATGATTGCACTTATTGTGAAAAGTACAAAGTTGGTAGGGACCACAACAGTAGCTTCAAACGACTTCATTGCTTTGTTTAGAAATCTATAGAAAAATAAAGTTGTAATTTCAATTGAACTTGTTGGCTATTCACCTGCTTTTAAAGGTCAGGGATACTTGTTGTACCTTTTAGGGGTAAAAAGCATTTACATTCTTTATACATACATGATTGTACAAAGCTGATGGACTTACTTGACTTGTGCAACTGCTGTTGCTACCATAACAATCAACATAACATAAAGTAAGGGATGTCCAAGTTGGCTGTCACCTCCAAATGTGATATTTAACATGGAAGACACTGCCTTTGCTGAGATAACTGTCAATGACCCTGCAAGTAGTTCATCACAAAAGTTACATTGAATGAACATAGCACCAAGCACAATGATTTCAATATCCCTGTGGTTTGGCAGATACAAATCATTTACTTGTAAATCAATCTGCTACATACATCAGTACAGTTTTATCAATACAAGAATACTTTTGCAAAATAAATTATCACTAACCTAAAAGAGCTACCAGCATTAGGAATACAACCACATTTTCCACATTATACTTCATTTGTACATAGAGTAGAACACAGAAGATCACTACTTCTATCACCTGTAAAGAGACAACCATGATCATCCCTCATGTCAATCAACACTAGTACCTGTCACACATGTATGTYTACAACCTTTATTACTGCTTTTTCAAACAAATTATTTAATGAATACTTCAAAGTATTGTATAGATAAAATAAATCTTTATATATCAGCTTTTTGTTGATTGTGATGTTATTTACCCACCAAATATACAAGAAAAGGCCACTGTTTCATGTAGAATGCCAGCTCTGAGCCAGTAAGTTCTGCAAATTCCTTGAAAAGAGATGTATGTAAGAATGTCAGTCAATATGCAATTAAACTAAATTTACCCCCCAAAATAATAATTTATTTACCTTGGTTGAGAAAGTTATCAATAGAAAGGCTCCAACAATGGCCAATAAAACACCTAAAAGATACAAGTAATTATTTAGGATATAATCTCAAACTTAAATATTTTAACATGGATCCTATAACAAAATGAATGTACTTACCAAAAGCATCTTGATATCTTACTTTTTCTTTTAGAAATACCACAGCTATGATTGCATTAGCTAAAATAGAAACCATGTAATAAAACTGTTCTTGCATTCACACTAATATTAATTAAAATGTTTCAGAAACACTTAATTAAAAAAAGATGTTTTAGAGAAATATAATATTTGAACTTCATTAAAAAAAACAAGATCACTGCAACCAAATGCTCTCTTTTGTCTTTTTAATTATATTCCATTTTACTATGTTTTTTAAATAGTGTTGATTTGTGCCTTCAAGACTGTGAAGAAGGCAATTAACTGCAAAATTACAGTTATTGTAAGTGATTAGTAAGTGTTAGGTACCCATTTATTTGGCAAATAAAGTCTCAAATTTCAAAGACTTTGTATGCCAATCAAGGGGTTTTCCAGAACCACTGGAACTCTCCTGTCCCTCCTCCAGCCGTTATATAATAAATGTTTTTTCATTTTCCAAATCATGATACCTTATTGTATTTGTTCAATAAAATACAGTGATTAGAACATTTATTTACCAATAACAGTTGTTGTTCCAAGGGGTGCAACCAGAGATGCTGGAGCAAAACCATAAGCAGAAAAATTTCCAATTTCACCAAGGACCATTAGAACTAATCCAACCCTATAATAATGATAATATTATACATATGTACACCTAGCCTCTTTTATTGACAACACTTTGTTTCTGGAATCCTCAAGATTGAGCAATGTGACCTCTGTCGTTTCTCTAGTAGCAGCTCTCCTTTGGTCATATTGGAAGCCTGTCAAAGTTTCTTTGATTAAGTTGGTATACTTAAGATCAAATGGATTTGAATAATTGTAAGGGGCCAAAAAAGAAATAATCTACATGGAATCATATATTTTAATGCTCAGTGAGATAATGGCTTACCACCAGGTTTTGCTCTTCAAATAATGGACTTCTTCTTCAGCTTTTGATTGTTGTATGTGAGAATATTTCTAAAAGAAAAGGCAAACAATTTTTATATTAAGTTGAAACTATTATGAGATCATCAGTACACACCTGAATATTCATTGATATACTGATGAGAAGATTTCCACCTATTGCCAGTGCAGACCCAATGAATATACTCTGTTGTAGAAAAACAATGAATTGTGAGTTCATCATAATTTACATACTAGAGTATTTTAGGTATTTTACTACATACTTTAATATAAATTCATAACCTGTAGCAATGTTTGGAACACCTTCTTCATTATTAAGTAAATTTTTAATTTTATAGTTTGTAAATTATTTTGCAATATCATAGAACATGGTTAGTTAATTTTATGGAATGAATGCACACAAAAGAATGTGTAGTGACTGCCAAATAAATCATGAAATATATATTGAAAAAAAAACATTAACAAAAAAGTGTATGAAATAAATATTTAATGAGATCATGGCAGTGAATATTTTCAAAACTTAAGAATGGTGCTGGTATAAGCAGGAGCATCTCTTTGTAAAGCCATTCAGAAAACATAAAAACTATTAACAGAAAGAACAACGTGAAAACACTGTTTGAAATGAGAAAACATTTAGTGTTATTTCAATCAAGACTCAATAAATAACGGAAATATTTATTCAGGATAATCAGTAGAGCTTTTGGATCTACCATAAAAAACATTACATCGCTCAATGTTGGAAAATCCAATGATGATAAAATCTACTTAAAATGTTGTTCAGACTCGATTTCATGTTTCTTTTTTGGAACTCAGGAGATTGCATAGAAATACACATCAAATCTACAGACACCATACATAGGTAAAGAAAACAACTCAAACTGAAAATAGATTGCAAAGCTTTCATATTATATTTAAGATAGGCATTCAATGGTTTGTCTCGAATACACATTTTTCTTGACAACCGACTACGTCGTCTTTAAGGACCCTCCTTTGATTGTCAAGTTAATAGAAACAATATCTTACAGTAAATGTAATTTGACCAGCAGTATATGGTCTTGTTTCTATGGTATATAGAGGATATTCAAGCATACCTTCGAAGAAACATTGTCCTCACCAGACGCCATCTTGTTCTAGGAATGTTCAATAGCTATACATTGTGACAAAATCCAGTGTACCCAGCAAAAACATTATCCACCTGCGTTAACTCGCCCAGCAAGATAATTTATGGAGTTCTACAGTTTTGTTATAGGCTTATTTGAMATGGGAAAGAAGAAAAGAGGTTGGTCCATCCAATACTACATTTGCATATCAATGAACTGCAAAAACGGCGGTAATTTGCATTTGTTTGTCATGCACGGGGGAGGGGTAGATATGTTTGGGTTTCAACCTTGAGTTGACGAAGTTTAAATTTATTTATAAACAGATCTTCATCATTGATAAAAATTCATGTGAAATAGAAATAGGTAAGTAGTGTATAAAATACACACATCAGCATTTTTTACGCATTGTTTGATATTCCAAGGAAGTTCTTTCCCTCCCCTCCCATGTTTCATCCTTTGCCCACTCAAGCTTGTCGCCGATCGTCAACGCATCAAATAGGCCTGCTTTGTTGATATCTGAAATCTGATAGTTTGAAGGCAAGTAGACTTTTCTTAATGTACTAATCTTTTTTGAGAAATGTGAAATATTTTTGTTTAAATATAATCATCTTGTGAACGATCGTTAAATTTTAGATTGAAGCGACTGAACGCAGCTACCACTTGTATTATAATATAGCTCAAGTCGCCGGCAATGGAAGGCGAAACAAATTCCCAAGAAAAAGGAAAAGGTTGTGGTTGTGGGTGCTTGAGTTCTGTTAGTACGTTTATAACGAATTCTTTAGAAGGCTTTTTTTACTGGTAAGTTAGAATTTCTTTTTTCTTTTCCGAGCAAAACATTTTGTTGGATCGCCATGGTTTCGATATTGAAATGAATTTTCTTGTTTATTCTTAGTGAATATTGCAAATATTGCTTGAGTTATTGTCGAAAACAACTTGGAAATTGTGAAACTTTCATGACAAGGCTGGCTTAAGTGTTCTCCTTAGAGATAACATTGAATTTCACGAAATCGCAATGACAGAACCTTCTAACCTATTAATAGTCTAATGTTACGTAACTTAGTTGCAAGTGAATTCTCTAGGTAGTGTACAATATGATTTTAAAATCATTCATAAACACTTCATCACGATCATCTAATACTTGCCCATAATTGAGACGAAAAGTTTAATAAATTTCCAACTGAAATTCGACCGTAGTCAGGCCGTTGACTAAAAACCTAAATATTACGTAAGAAGGGCAGTTCATTTCACATCGAGGGGGGGAAACAACCAGGCCTCCCCTCCCGATAAAAAATGAACGCAGCCTCTCCAACCTTATTGATTATATCTAGACAAGTTTCGTATTTAGGGACCGTTCATTTTTTACCGGGAACCGGGGGGGGGGAGGGGGGGTTAGCTTTCTCGAAAACAATTCCCCCCTAGTTGGATACAATTCTTTCAGCTTGACCATGTCTCTGACCATGGCCCCTCCTCATGATAAAAAATGAACGGTCCGGTGTGGTTATCTCTAAGACAAACACTGTCTAAATCACTTATTGAGTATACTTGTGACATGTTCCATTCATTTGCGCAGGCTTGGATTTAAAGTCGGAAGACATCCTTTAAAAACAATTCTGATTGTTGTAATCATAAGTGGTGCGTGTGCAGTTGGGATGTTAAAGTTCAAAGAAGAAAGTGATGGAACAAAGCTTTGGGTACCTCAAGATTCTCTTGCAGTAGAACATCAACAGTGGGTCGGAGAAAAATTTCCATCGAAAACACTTTTCACGACGATTATGGTTACAGCACCCAACGTGTTAACTCCAGCAGTTTTTGGACAAGTATGACATAAAGACCCTCAGATTTTCCATATAAAAGTTTGAATATGAAATATGATAATATTTTTCCATTTTCTGTTATCAGCTTTTAGAGTTAGACCGAAAAATAAAAGAGCTTAAGAATGGAACAGCAAGTGAATGGAAAAAGATTTGCTATAGGTATATAACATGTGAATGCAAGCAATTAACTGAAAACATTCCCTGTGAAACCAAAAGGAATGTCGAGATGTCAAAAATGACTGAACATGGCATGCAAAAAAGAAAATTATATTGCAAAATCAGGGACGGCGGAGCAGTTTTTAAAGCCGCGGTGGAGCTTGTGTTCTTCATTTCCAACCATCCAACCCTCGTGATCACAAAGATCAAATTTTTGGATGAAATTTCTTTTATTTTTTATTTTTTACATTCTACCTTAAAAAAATAGCAATCTCATTTTCACAAAAAGTGGGAGGTTAAAGTGCCTCTTCTCTTCCATCCCTGAAATTCACCACATTGACTTTGAATCATATTCGCAGACCTCGCACACCCGCGTTACATAAATTTTTTTAGTRTTTGGTCTAGCAGTTCCTCTTCTATCATAAATTTAGAAAACATCTTTGATTTAATGACAGAATTGGGCCAGTTTGCTTCGTCTCAAATGTTCTAGAATTATGGTCATATAATGCAGCGGTAATCAAAAACTTGACACAAGAACAAATATTGTCCAAGATAAACCAACAAGGATTGAGAAGGTGACATTTATTTTCCTGATTTTTCACCTTAGTGTTTGAAGTCCATAGGACATACTGTATTTAAAAAAATCTTCATTTTAATGTCCGATATTAGGATGTCAAATCTTGACCTGTTAGTCTGCCTTTTTTAGTCCTATTACAGGAAGGAAAGTCTCCATTACTGCGATGCTTGGTGAATTAAAACGTTCGTCAGATGACAAGATCACAAGTGCTGGTGCTGTAAAAGTCACATATGGAATACAAAAAGATGAAGAGGTAAACCTTACCAGGCTTCAATCATGGACC